GGCAAAAACCAAAGGGGACCCGATTAGTTTACTGTGTTCAGGGGCAAATGAAAAGAAAATAAACTTACATGCAGGAGATATAAAGAACCAAATTTAAATGCCGGATTTCTAAAGGCTTATTAGCACATTTCGAAATATCATTATCTTCGATAGAATAGGAAATCTTCATGTGTAAAAATATCATTTCTCCAAGGCAACCAATAACGGCTTAGCCGCTTAGGCATTAAACCCTGTGAAACTTCATTTTTTGGGGTAGACTGCTTACGATTATCTAAAGTAAGCCAATCAAAACCGTCAATCTATCAACGCCTATGATATAAGCAAGTCTATTTTATGACCAGTCTCACGTCCAGCAAACAAAAAGTAGAGTTCCCTAGGGTTCAATACTTAACCGCTCCCATTTTTTTTTCTTGGCTTTCATTAAAAAAACGTACGTTTTTCAACACGGATTAAATGACAAACGTATATCAATCCGACTTATCAGTATTCAGTGAATCGTTTAAATGCCCTCGTACTCAATTTGGTAATATAAATACCAAGAATTGAGGATGAAAAAAAAAATCAAAATCCTGAGATTTGAGAGAGTGAGATAATTTGCAATTAAAATCCCTTTTCAGAGAAAATCGTCTTTCATGGCCATAATTTAGACGCCATGAAGATGCCAAATCACTAATACTCCCCCAACTCGTTCTTCCTTAGACTAAAGCCATAGATCTTATTAAACCATATGCACGCATGATTGTCAGTGAAAAGGATGAATGCAGTTAAAACAGCGGGGGGAAAATACTCACCCGTGAGAAACTCGATAATAATATCAGGCCATTTACTTCGTTTCTCAAATTTCAATGGCGATGCATATTCCCATAGCTTGAACGCTTTATCAAATATTTCTTCTTGTTTTGTTTTTGAAATGCTTCCCCCCGACCAGGGTCTGTAGATTTGCCATGTGATGAGTTTCTTAGACCATTTAAAAATTTTATAACCATTGACGCTTTTGTGATAAATCGTGTATCTTTTGCTGCGATGGTGCACTTTCAGTTGAAACTGTTTCTCATAACCATCGTCAGATACGCCGCCGCATCGAGGAACATGAAGTTTTTTCGTCTCATCATTCAATTCTCCTGGGTCTATTAAACCAAGTGTATTTTGAAAATTTTTTAATCCATTTGAGATCTCGTCATCAGTGGAAGAATATTTAGTCTTTTTGCTGATAGTTGCAGCCACGTTTGATGTTTGTTTTTGAGAAAGATTTCTCACGTCGGGTTTCGCGTGTAAAAAACCATATCGCAGCAGGTATTTCTAGAAAACATTTATCACAAATTCCTTGATTCATTCAAGAATAAATCCTTTCTTATTATTTTAACCTTTCAATTCACAGCAAGAACTATGATATATGTAGAATTTTTTTAGAAATAAATAAGGACTTAGCTATATACCAAATATTGTTTTTGTGATTTTATGCTCAATACTAAATCAGTTTTGTCTGATAATAAAAAAGTTATTGATTTAGACTTTGAGGCTTTTCGATGTTAATAAAAGTCATAATATTGCAATGTTTAAATTACTGTAGGGGGTAATAAAAAACTATCAACGGAAGGCTTTAATATGACTTGATAATTTCCCCTACTGATTTTTGCTGGCGCCATGCACCGCAGAGTGTGTCAAGGCATCGGAACCGAAAGCCAAAACATATATGCCAAAACAAGATGAATGCCAAAATAAGACACCATTGACAGTCTGCAACTCTGCTGGTGATCCTAGTCGTTTGCCAACCTCCTTAACATTAATCTACTTCAAAGAAACGAAACTAAGAATGGCTCTTAAACTAATCTTTAATCTTGTAGTCACTCTTAACACATGTTTTACTGTAAAACATGCTGCGTGTTTGACCACCAGTAAAGGTCTGCTGGGCGCGTATTTTTAGCACCAACACTGCGTGCATACTGTTGATGTCGTATACATACAGACATGAAGAAAGAGCATTTCGCTCTCCTCCTTAGAGTCGCTAAATTGTTTTTATTTCCTATTCTTTGCGTGCATGGGAATATCCTAATGGCATTCATCGTTATTAAATTTCATGTTCTTCTGGTTATATTTCCATCTTTTACGTCTTTCATGGATGTACTAAATTTGTGTTCTGACAAACATGCACCCGGCGTATTGCGCATAGTTGAATCAAATGACGCGAGATATTAATATACAGCTTGCACCCACCGGATGAATTATAATATTTTCGTTACAGCAATGGAAGAAATGTTTACATAATCTTGTAAATATGACTAGCCTCTGGCGCCTAAGATTATCTGCATATAATCCGAAAGAGTGTTTGTATTGCGACTTTAATATTGCTGCTTGATAATCCAAATGAACTTAGGAAATTATTACTACCGTCTAACCTATGCGGTGATTTCTATATCAATAGTGTTATTGTTCTAAAACTTATATTCTAAAATTTGTATTTTTCACCAGCAAATATTGTATTACTTACCACAACCTTGAGATGGTTCTTGTTATGTTTAGCGACATTGTCACGTGTCAAAGAGTGTATTGGTAAAGCAGTTACGATTGGTACCATTGTCAGAAAAATCGCCAGATACATTTGTATCATTGTCATTTTGAAGTTCTTCTTACCGTCAGGTATCGTCTTGTGAATGTCATGGCGTGTCACTCCAGCCCTAAAAACCTATAAACAAATTGTTTAAATTTTTGGCATTTTACTGATATCAAATTAACTGGAATGCCGACACAACCGTTGATCATTTCCAGGATCAAACGTAATACTGTAGCAACGTAAATATGTGTTAGCAAAGTTGAAATAGTAGAAGAAACAGTTGTCGAAAGATTATCAATCGTAGGTAATAGTTATTGGTTGGTAGAATTTCTGCTGAAACGAATTATGACCAGAATAAGGCTGTATAAAAGTTTTTCGTTAAACATGAAACGACGTTTCGGAATTTATTATTATTAGATTATTAGATTTTAAAAGATTATGTACAATTTTGAATAAATCGCGTAATTAAAACCGTTACGTCATACGTTCTTGTGCGTGCAATTTGCATGTGTGGGTATGTGGCGGGGTTAGTTACTGGTCTGTCAAGAAACTTCCGATTAATTTACAAAATTAATTTGAATGAAACCGCCTGGAATAATTTTTCTGTCCAAACCTTGTCAAGAGTTATTTTGGAGTTGCATTTCATGTCAGCCAACTACGTTTATGTTGACCGTGGTTGAATTTACGATCTTAACGATGGCACTCAGGTAGAAACGTCAAGAAGGTTTTTTTTGTCTATTTTAGGCAGTCGGTATATAACATACTTGAATTTTAACTCTATTTTGACAGCATGACTCGTAGCATGCGTCCAGTCAAATTGAAGCTAGGCTTCCCACACACCATTTTAATAATATATGATATAAAAAAGTAATGAGCAATGCTTGTACACACTAGCGCGGATGACGAGCGCAGACGTCACAGTATCATCTATTTGCGTTAATGGCTCATTTTTAATGGATATCAGTTCCCTTTCGTCAATTGGAAAGCTATTTTATAATTCGTGACATCATAACATTAATTGAATCTTCTAATTATGGCACATTTCCAAATTATCACGGGTATAGTTGAGTCAGTGTGAGGTAGGTTATGTGTAAATGTTACCAGCTGAATGACAAGAAAAGTAGTAGACTTGCTACAAGTCGAAAAAAACTTAATTCGAAGAAAATCTAAAATCCTGGAGTGATATTTATCGAGTGTTGGCAAACAGGAATTAATTCCCGATGCGTCACAATTGACGTACATGATACAGATTTGTATTTTCTGCGTCATTCTGGCTTTTATCGGAAATGTTTAAACTCTCTGATATTCTATGATTTCGTCAGAATAACAATTCTAATATTTGTCTCTTCCATTCATTGCAGTTGATAAAACGTTCTCAGGGATGTTAGTTGTAATATTTTATTCAATAGTGTAGCTCTTTCAGGCAAGGCTTGTATCCAAAATACCTTCCCAACAACTATGAAAAATATAGAAAAGTAGTTAATGAGGTTCTGAATGTTGCCGGTATATTCTGTTCGACAGCGAGATAGATGATTTAATTCTTTGATGTTATAATAGGGTAAATATTTCAAAAACAAAGCTGCATATTTTATTGTGTGCTTCCAGTGTCTCTCTCCAACGCAAGACGTGAAAGGCAATTCAATGAATAAATTAGTGGAGTGGTATGAAACTTTTCACACTTAAGGCTGCTTTCCACTTTCGCGTTTTTAGCACGTACGTACACGCACGTAAAAGTTTAAGTGCTTTTAAATTTTTATTATTTAGCATCTAGGTCAGCAAATGCATACTAAGCTACGCGGAAAACTAAGTTCTTTCGATTTATTCATTTCGTTTTTTTAAAGATAACTTATATAAGTATTTAGACTTTTACGTGCGTGTACGTGCGTATGAAAAACGCGACAGTGGAAAACAGCCTTTAGTCTTTGCTTCATTTTAGGATACATTTGAACTCTAAAGGCAAGGTTTATGTTTTGTATTATGATTCATCTATTTGATATGCTTCGTGTGTTCGTGAGATGTTTAAAGCACTTCTGTTAAATTACAGCCGCTATTCAGCTAATTTAATTTTGTATTCATCACGGTAGGCATGTTTTCTATCCACAAATTGTTCTCCATGGTGACGTGAAGATTGAAGAAGAATCTGATGAAAAAGCTGTCTGTACATCACGTAATTTGCATGTCCATTCGACGACGCAAAGAATTAAACAAATAATTCAAGACAACAAACTTAGCAGATGAGCGTGCTTATTCTTGTTTTGTATGTGGGTCGTATAATTAGACCAATCAATTTTGCAATCATTTGGCATGCCTTTGGTTACGTGAATAAGTCCAGCTCAGGTCGTTCTATCGTTGCCTTACAATAGAATTATCTCTATATCCCTATAGGGAATGCTTTAAAAGGATTTTTTTATTGACAGACCTGCCTTCTTGTATCTACCGTGTTGAAGTAAAAGATGAAGGATTTTGTTTATTGGATACGGTAATTGATTTATTGGAGTGCAACAAATTAAAATGTATCAAAGGAATACAATCAAACTAGTATTTATAAATATATACATATGCAAGAGGAAGTCTCATTTATCTACATTTTGTATATCACGTGCTTGAACATGGCTAATTAGATGTACATAAGTTTGCTCGTCGCTGTGTCTAAATTCTAGTTACTATGTGCCAGTACGAGTTGTTGAAAGTCAAACAACATTCGAATGTGCGCAAAATAACCAAGTTAATCATTAATCTCGCAAGTTAATCCTTAATCTCGCAAGTTAATCCTTAATCTCGCAGACTGTACGCACGACAACCTCGGTAACCCCGTACGGGTCTGCATTAGCAGCTGGTCTGCGGTCTTCCAAATAACCCTTGCCATCCTCAGCACACTGACGTGGTATTCTTACGCTAGCACCACGATGAGCCACACCATGAGAGAAAGTATGAATATCAGCAGTTTCATGACGTCCAGTTAAACGTCGAAGGTTATCTTTTCCCTCTTTTGGGTCATATGCTTTGATGTGTAGGTCGTGTACTTTAGACAGCCTTTCAATAGCTTCATAAATATACGTCAAACCTCCTTCTTCTCTCATTGCAAGAGTGCTAGGGATGCAGAAAAACAACTTTAACAACATCAACTATAGGACAATCCTTACAAATGAATAAACGTGCCACTAACACAGTTGGTTCACCCAAAAATTAAGATTAAAATCTGCTCAAGAGAATTCATTTTCTGGTGTTGGTTGTGGTTTTAGATTGATCATGAATAATATATCACTAAAATGCCTTCCTTGTTTAGAGAAGATAAAGGTGTTATTCTTTGTAAGACCAAAATGAAAGAATAGGAAATCAAGAAAGAATAGACATTAGTTTTAGAGGACACTAATACTCATAAGAGATGTAAACACATGTATCTATTTAAATAGTATTGAATTTGGAACTACATGACGTTTTGTCCCCATGACTATGCTGAAGGGGCAAAAAATTGTAGAATTTGTAAAAGCAATGTTGTGAATGGTGCATGTCAAAAAACTAGTCAGGTAAATAACCTGGTGTCAACATTGAAACTTGGTAACCTTGTAGAAGATGGCAGTGGTTTGCAAGGCATATTATTTTACCTGAAGTTAGTGTGAGCCCCAGCACCATTCCAATCACCAGTCATTGGTTTAGGATCCAATGTTACAACAATACCAAAGTCTTCAGCAACACGATGAAGGAGAAACCTTGCTACCCATAAATGATCTCCCATCTCAATACCTTCACATGGACCAACTTGGAATTCCCACTAGAAAACAATGTATTTTTAAATTTTTGGAATCAATTAGGTTATCTTTTCAAAACATGCTGTAGATAAAAAAATCTCATTAACAGTAGGAATAAAATATTAAGGTCTGGCATGATATGGACCTATACTACATTGTTTCAACTGCTGACATATTACCTGAGAAGGCATAACTTCAGCATTGGTGCCTGCAATTTTAACACCTGCATACAAACATGCACGGTAATGGGCTTCAACAACTTCACGACCATAAACTCTTCCAGTACCAACGGAACAATAATATTTTCCCTGTGGTTCTGGGTAGCCTCCTTTTGGCCAACCCAATGGATGTCCATCAGTATCAAGCAAAGTATATTCTTGTTCAATACCAAACCATGGATGCTCATCCTAAATAACAGAGAAAGCGTTCAATACATCCATAACTTGTATCTGAAATATCATAGAAAATACAACATTGACTTTAATTTTGAAACAATAGTATTTTAGTACCTTTGCTAGTTCCATAACTGCCTTGCACGTTTTTCTTAGGTTTGTTGCAGTTGGTTTGTGATCATAATGATAGGTCTCACACAGCAATAATTTGTTTGGTCCTCGGCGGAATGGATCTCGAAACAAAGCTACTGGATGTAGATAAACATCACTATTGGCGCCAGTTGCTTGACCAGTACTATAACATAGCAAATATGTCAGAAAACATAAAGGACTAACTAAATGTTTCCTTACAAAATTAAAAGCAACCCCTCAGAGCTGGCTTGGATGCCTGCATTGTTTTTTTTTTGTAAGGGAAAGCCACATATATTTAAGGAATGCTGATAATTGCAGTTCGTGGAATTCACAACAAAATTCATGTACAGGCAAGCTCATGAAATTGCAACTGGTAACAAAAACTGGTAACAAAGAATTTTTTGTGAAATAGTTGCAATTCAATATTCTGTGTCGAAATCTGATGCAATGCACACGTGAATCACGCATGCCTGACATGCATGTTTATATGTAAATATGTTTTGACATATTTCCCAAAATACATAAATTCAAATGCATTTATAAAAAACAGTGCTTTCTTTATTTAAGTAAATAATCTAATTTCTGTTCAAAATTTTAGATTTTTAAACCTGGAGCCGTCGAAATTCCAAATTGGGCAATCACTTGGAACTTGTGGTTCAAAGTCCATCGTCTTCGTTTTACATCTCAAGAATTCACCGCTTCCATCTATCCAAATATACATCACTTGGACAAACCCACATTGGTCTAAATCTAGATAACGTCCTGCGTCTGGTTTCATAACTCCTGTCGTAGTCATAATTGATTGGAAAATTGTATCTGTTAAAAACCAAAACATGAAATTATGTACGTGATTTCAACTGGTTTCGCTTTTATTTCGAAGAGGACAAGCCCCCGTATACAATTAACTCGTATGGTATTCGAATTTTATCATTTAAAACGTTGTCCCTGATATTAACAAAAGCATGGTTTCGGGTGTAAAACGTGAATAGCAGATATTTTATGCAATGGAAAATTGTTTTGGGTATCGATGGGTTATGTCATTATGGGCTTCAAATTTCGCCTCTACACACTCTATATGTATATAGATCGTATATATCGTTAACATAAAAGCGATACTTACAATTTAAAGCGATCAATGAAGAAATAACGTACAATTCTGGCCTAATTCTTTAGTCTTTACCAGCCAAATCACAAGAACGACTACCGACTGTGTTGACTGTGTTCGTGGCACTAACTAATCAATTAGCTTCGTTCCCAGACTCTTTATTACTGTTTTGGCGGGATTTGAACCTATTAAACCGCGGGAAATCAATAAAAACATGTCATATGACTTCGTTATTTATTCCCTATTGGTTACTGGAGTAATAATTTGGGTTAATCAAATAGCGCATTTCTTGGTAATATTCACAAAGCCAGGCGCACATGAAGCGATTTGGAGCCGAATCGGGTATATGACGATATAATGGCTTCAAACGGAAAAGACAGCATTTTACCCAGAACTCAACTGTCACACCAAAAGGGTTCCGATTGCAATTTTCCATTTAAGCCCGCCTAACCTCAAATAGCAACCTTGATATTGCCATTGCGAACTTGGGACAATGAAGATCTTGTATTAAACATCACATGCGTTTTTCGTGACTTTTTGTGGTGGATATAAATTATCACAAAGCTTTGCGTGTCGGTCACAAGATTCATTTCTGGGTAATTGACTGTCGAGAACGAAACGTATCGGGTGTTTTAATTTCACCGAAGGCGGATTCCACTTACAGCGAAATCATTTGCTAGCGAAATATTTGCATATTTTCTTTTGAATTGAGAACTGTCAAGTCGCACTAATTTATTTATGCTGTAAGAATTCAAAAGAAAATATGCAAACATTTTGCTAGCAAACGATTTCATTGTAAGTGGAAATCCGCCTTCAGAGAAATTAAAACACCCGATACGTTTCGTTCTTCGACAGTCAATTACCCAGAAATGAATCTTGTGACCGACACGCAAAGCTTTGTGATAATTTATATTCACCACAAAAAGTCATGAAAAACGCATGTGATCTTCAAGATCTTCATTGTCCCAAGTTGGCAATGGCAATATCAAGGTTGCTATTGAGGTTAGGCGGGCCTAAAATGAAAATTGCAATCGGAACCCTTTTGGTGTGACAGTTCTGGGTAAAATACTGTCTTTTCCGATTTGAAGCCATTATATCGTCATAAACAGCTTTTCTTAGATTTTACCGTTTTAGCAAGTTGCTAGTTAGTACTTTAAGAGCACCTTAATGAACCAGTTAATCATCGGGATTCAGGAAGCTAAATGAAGAGGGATCTTTTCGTTATTTGTCTACCATCTGAGGTTCCTTACGGAAGAAACAGACGGTAGTGGACGACCTTTGGTAAACAAGACTTTTATATCTGCTCTATATAATAGTATAGTATCTGTATGGTATTGAACACTCTCTGGTATTTCGTAAACCAAACGACATTCATATTTATATATACACGCACAACTTTTAGAATTGAAAGTAGGTGTCTGTTGAAATAAAAATTAATTACTCAGCCTCAAGTCTCAACCAAAGCAGGTTCAGTTGTGTTATTGGAGCTGATTTTCCGGGTCGAGGATTTTTCACTGTTGATTGCACTAAAGCTAGCTGGTGCAATCAGACTGAATTTGATTCAGTCGCCCAAAAGAAAATATTTGCGATTTACGGCGCAAATCATGAACATGTAAACTTACACCAGGAGACAGCATCGTGCAGAGGAGGAAATATTATCTATTTACGTCTATTTGTTCACTTTTGTCTTGTGATATTGATATAAAGATATCATAACATAGTCATTACACAAACACCTGTACATTCATCAATACCATAGATACTTTCTCACAAGGCTGGAATTCTAGAAGTGTTGCTTAGTTTGAGCCATTGTCATTGCAATTCATTTAATTCGACTAGTTTTCTTGAAAAGAGTCAGCAAGTAAGTCAGCAACTATATATAACTAACTAGTAACTAAACTACCTAAAGCACTCAGTCTATAATATTTCATGCAAATATACTGAATTAATTACGATACCTATGTATTTATAAATTTACAATATATCGTTTTTGAAACCTAGCATGTATCTGCATAGGTTCACTATGTATCATCGATGATTCATTCGGGAGTATCTATTCCAGAGCAGATCAAAATCTGACGAAGCTTCGTCCCATTCTTAAAACATCGTCACTGAGTATTTTGTATGTGCGAATGGAATATTGAATAGCCATAGTCGTCTAAGGCTTTATCAAACGCTAGCCAATATATATATATATATACAGATAATTTGAGTGCCTTATGTCAGTTATGACAAGATGGCCACTTTTTCACAGGTCTGACCGTGAAGGCGAAGGTAAGCTAACCATTTCTGGTGTAATATCGGGTGATTAACTGTCATTGCGCAGTTACACCTTTTGGGATAACTTCTTCTAAGTTTCACTGAAATTTATTTTAATATAGGAGCAATAAATATTTTCCATTGTAAACCAGACTGTGAACATAGTTCATGATATCTAGTCTGCATGTTAGAATCTAGATGAGATCTTATACTAAAGTATTTGTAAATGTAAACCGCTATACTGAGTCAGGTCTTGTTTAAGCTTTGTGACTGTGAGGAAACCTGGTATTAAAATGACTTTGTCCAGGATATGGTAAAATAGCAATGATATGAGGGAAGAGAATAAGAAGAGAATTCAAACAGGCGAGCATTCAGCGCAACAATTCAAGTAGAGTATTAAAGCGGCGAGCATTTTAATCGTAAAATCATATAATTTGAGACCAATTTTATAATTGGATTGAACAGCGGGTGATTAAAGTCAGCGAAAAAATCCTTATCATGCAGTTCTAAATAGCTCATTGGGAAAAATCAGTCGAAGATGTACGATGATCCTTTATTAATTGCTTTAGGGTAGGCAGTCTTTTGCATTCATCAAATTATATAGTTTTTTTATTATCGTAACTGCAGCAAGGTCTACAAGGTAGGATATATTAATAGATATTTATCTTCATTTCTCAGCAGGGTTTTATTTCTGAGACGGCAATTCATCAATCGACTGGAGCTTTAAAGATATACGATAATGGCATATTTTATTACGACACTTGCACTTGTGATAAGTTTGACAATATTAAATGTGGAAGCAGCTCCAAGTGGGGTAAAGGTGGCCGCATTCAACGTGCAGGTTTTTGGACAGACAAAGATTTCTAAGAATCATGTTACTGATATTCTTGTCAAGGTTTGTTGCTATGATTCATTCAGGAGCTATGGCTGTTTTCAAATTACTCGTCTTTTTTTGTGCATGCATGCACGAAAAATATTTTGAACGAATATTTTGAAGAATCATTTGAACGGATCTCATTTGACGTTTTCGTGCGTGTGGTTGGCATATGAAAGATCAACTGATGCATAAATGTATCAGATCGCGCTCTCTTGATGCGTTTTTCTCAATGAAAATTAATTTTTGAACATCTTTGGTTTATTATTGCTACTTGCGTGTAGGCTGTAAAAAAAAGGGCGATAGTGGAAATCCGCACTTAAAAATGAGACAAACATGCAGCTGGCTTTTATAAAGATAACATGAGGAGCAAGAACTAGACTTTGTATAGTTGGCGTTATGACCTCAGCCTCAAATTAGGTCTTTATTAAAGGTCTAAAATATAGATGGAACTATATACGACAAACACGCCATCTTACGTGTGCGCGCGCAAAGCTTCGGTGGATGACTGAGTGCTTGTGAACCACTGACCAGTCTGACCTATATTATCTAGTATATTTCCTGAGCAATAAGAGCGACTTGAACTAGGAGGCCACATGACCTATTCCGCCATGTTGGATAGAAAAGGCAGTAGATTTTAAAATAAAATGCACCGTTTTTTCCAACATCACATCAACTCGCCAAGTTTAAAAAGAAATTAAATTCTTTCTTGACTTGTATAGATTATCAGCAGCTATGATATTATATTGATTCAAGAAATAAGAGATAAAAAAGATGCGATGGAAAGACTTTTGAAAAGTGTTAACGTCAGGTAATGTTAATGTTGAAGGAACCGAAACATTTATCACGGAGTAATTCTATGAATATATTCTTAAAACTCATCCACATTTTTGAGGGGGCAAAAATGCTGTAAAATATAATTTCTTTCTGCCATATCTCATCTCCCTTCATCCACTAATCAGTTTGAATATTGCAGGATTGCAAACAGTTCCAACCAGTATGAAATGATAATTAGTGGAAGATTGGGTCGATCTGCAAGCAAAGAACAATATGCATTTTTATACAGGTATAAGTCACAGTTGGTTATAGTACTTCACTGACTAGACGCAGTGTTATTCAGGATAAAACCCGTCAAAGCCACACTCGGACTCCTTAGTCAGGCCTTTGTATCTAACGTCTCGAAATTTGGTTTAGGAAAAATATTGCAACGGTGAAGGGAAATTATACTTACAACGACAAGAATGATGATTTTGAAAGAGAGCCTTTTGTTGTCTACTTTAATGTTCCTTCTGCAGGTCTGAATATTAATTTTATCTAGTGAAATATACGAGAAATTACCATTTCTTCTGCGCGAATTTATTTGCGAGGCCAAAAACAGAGTAAAAAAAAAACAATTCTTCTTGTCAGTTTGCGGACATTTTTTATGTCTATATATAATCACGTTATTGACGGGTTTCAGTTTTCCCTTTGCGAATCAAATCGCCTGGTAGGGAATGGTCCGGCATGGTTCTGTCAAAGTTCTTTGAACGCAAAACCAAGATATATGCATATCAGCCAAGGACGCTTTAGTAATATAATGCCGGTAAAAGTGCATTTATAAATTAATCTAGCGGTAACCGACATGGTGTTCATCGGTCTACACACGAAGCCAGATGACGCAGTGAATGAAATTGACAAACTGGTTGACGTTTATGAAGACGCAGTTAAAAAGTGGAATATAGGCGACGTCGTTATTATGGGTGATCTGAACGCAGCATGTGATTATGTTGGCGATTCAGACTGGGGAAATATACGTTTAGCGACTGATAAACGATTTTGGTGGTTAATTGATGACTGTGAGGATACGTCAGTACAAGGTTCAAGATGCGCCTATGACAGGTATTATCTCAAAGTAAAATAAATCTATATATGATAAGTTAACTTTAAAAAGACTGGTTTTCACTATCGTACATTAAACGTAATTGATTGTCTGTATTTTCGCGGTTGACTGCAGTTACACAGTCGACTCATTGCTGTATTTGTCGGTAAAGTTGAAAAATAAAATGATTTGAGATACACAACTGTACCCATCGGAAGTCAGAATTAATCATGATCGGAAGACCAGCCTTTTATATCAAAATCACTCACTTCGAAAATTTATAGATTTGTTGCAACTGGAAATAATTTACTCAAGAATATCGTCGCCGAAAGTCCAGGATTATTTAATTTCAAAGTAGCTTATAAGTTGAATATGCAAGAGGTAAACATATTATATCAATGCTTAAACTGATGAAACCAGCTGGAGTGATTCACTTCGAGTTACAAACACACTATCATCACTTTAATATATTCTATTCCATTGGAACATAGGCAGCAGATGTGAGTGACCATTTTCCCATTGAATTTGAACTTAAACAAAAAGGTAAAAATAAAATGATGAAATATTTGAAGGATGCATGCATGCCATGCAGTATATAGTTTCAGAACGTATATTTTTCATGACTTTACACAGGCTGGAAGGATCAGGAAACCATTGACTACATTCTCAGCAGTAAACTGTCGAATGGTGGAAAAGCGAAAGTTAAAGCTGTCCTTCGTAAAAATAGGAAAAAGCTGATCCCGACCTCCTATAAAAGAACTGGCGGTATGGCTGAAATCATGTTTCAAACGACAGAGAACAGCATCGAATCCACACTAACCCGCGTTAAAATGCATAAACAGCGTTTTGGCAATATTATGGGAGATATTCGCACTGACCATGTGGAAAAGGACTTGATGAGGCTCCAATCTTGGGCAAACAAATACCCTTATCAAGCGTTCAAAGAATATAGAAATATCGTTGATGTTAAAATTGGTGTTAAATTGATATGGAACATAGAAAAAACACCGGCTACTTGCCAGTTGGTGATTTCAAAGTATATTTAAGAACCCTAAATAAGGAATAGAGTTACATTAGCAATGCATGATGGGGATCATTCTCTGGTATACTTTTTGGAATATACATGAAAGTTGTAAGTTAAATATCATCTTACAATAAAACATATTGTCAGACGGGGAAAAAAGCAATCTTGCAGTGTGAACTCATATCAAAAAATACGGAATTAATGCAAACTGTTTAGTGATATACATTTATAAAAAAATTTCAATCGACAACAATTTTTTCTGGCCGTATTCCTTAAAATATTTCGATAAAATCTAACTTTTAATTATGAGAAAAATACAACGATTAATTTAAAATCCGACTCACTAACAATCTAACTTTATTTTTCAAAATTAAACTAAGAAAAAAGTATAGCAAAATGAAACGTATATAGCATATATTATCCAGAGCTACGCGGGGAACTGTGTGAAATGTATGGTTCACAAATCGATCGTTTTAGGTAAATATCTCATCGTACAACCCGTGCATGGTGGCATAAAAAATTTAACTTGGCTTTCTGCTGTCTTCATGCTTGATATTTCAAAGTTTTTGCATGGAAGTAATTAATATATGGTGAAATTTTTAGCGGAAATTCTTTACATGTCTACGAGAGATTGGTTTTATGACACGTCGTAATTTTATAGGTTGTCGAGACATTAATGATAGACCATCTGCTGGATAACGACTGAAATATATCTCAGGATACGTCTTCTGAAACTGAAATAAAATTAGTTAAATAAGCTGGATATGAGGTGGCAGCCTGATAAGTGCATATGTATCCTGTTTGGATATGAGGTGGCAGACTGATAAGTGCATATGTATCTATATGCATCACAAACCTGTTTCAACTTTTTTTTGCGCTCTTTATCACCGATTTCTTCATTCTGAACAATATTTTCAAGAAGATCCTCAAGAAATCTTTGCGTCCCGAATTGCTTTTGTTCGTCATAGTCTTGTTTGGTTACTCGAAAACAAAACGTGACATCTTTGCTTTGGTTTTCGACCTGAATGTACGGTATATTATACCCAGTAATTAACATTACTGTTTCATACAGTTAAATTCTTGGAAAGAGCTAGATGACTCATGTTCGAAGTGAACGACAAAATGTTTTAAAGCGAATATGTTTCGGCTTATAATTTGGCTAATATGTGTATAGTTTAACTCTTAGTTGCCAAAAATATTCATCATGCATGTAGTCATCATACAAGTAAAATTGCCTTTGAAGTAAGTCTGATCTCTGATCATGCACAGCTGATCTGCATGGAATGAAGAATTAGGCCGGGCATGATAACTATAGTTGAAAAGAAACGTACATTTTGTAATCCTTTATGAAATGCAATTTGCTGTTCCACTTGGAACTTTAAACCATCTGGAACCTATTATAAAAAGGAAGATCAGTCTAGTTATTACACTTCGCCAATATACTGTACTTTGGCTTTCGACTCTGATAAGCCGTATCTTTCATCACACGTAGCTATACATGCAGTTCTTGACAAAAATGAATGGAAAATGGAAAATTTGTAGTTTTTTACGTTTACCAAACCTTGAAAATTTCAGCATAATTCTCCATAATAAACGATGTAATTCGAATTCCAAGAATTTCATGTACATTCTGGCTTTCCTTTCCTCCAAAAATAATTGGAACAAACGACTGAATTACCTGAAATAAAGCATTATACCGCTAAATTGCGGGTCCTACGTGAACTATTTAGAATTCGTAACTTTCATAAACTAACAGTACACCGGAGAGATTAAATTTAGGTCAAAATTAGTTGGTGCTTTGTGAGAATTGTGTAACAATTAAAATAAATGAAATCTTACCAGTTCTCGTGTTGGTAAACGGCTGTTAAGGTTCAACTGATGATTATTTGAGATTTTAATCATAAATCTTAGAAGAAGTTGTAACTGTTGTCGTTGTTCTTTCTTCAACAAGAGTAATGCATGTTGAAGAGCTCGAATCCCGGACAGCTTGCATTTTGTTAGAAGACCTTTCCAATGACACAGAAATATATTTCGTAAATACCCTGCACTTGCTTTAGCCGACCTCTAACCAGGCTCTATTTGATTGTAATCATGAATTTGCTTTTCTACATACAACAGCTGTTAAAAATTCTGGTATAATATAATATAAAACACATATATCTCACCCGATATTTTAGTAAAACTCGATAAAACTTGGGTGAATCATTGGTTCAGGAAGTAATTGGAAATATTCTTGAACTGTCTTGAAAACGTCTTTTTCAAACCCTAAATAATCTGACGCACGAGCTTCAACACTCTGTGGCCCTAAGATTTAAGAAACACTGGTTAAACATTTCAAAGGGAAGCGAGCGTAACAATCAGCCCTAACACTAACAGTAATGATTGCATTTTAAATAATCAATTATATACATACAATGAATTAAACATTTCATTGCAGAGACCAACCATTTTGGTACAGCATCTGTGACTAAAATGATGAAAAATGTAGACTTAGTGAGAAGCGGTTCCATGCATATGGAACTACAGGAAAAGTTGATATTTCCCTTCTTAGATTGATTACCACATACCACATCTTAAGTCAGATGTAATATTCTCCATAACGTTCCTCCAACAAAGCAAACTAACATCCAAAATACCATCGAGGGTTTTAACATTGAGCGCCTGCTGTAACCTTAAAAAATTATAAAAATTGTCAGCCTACATTAAAAAATATATGTAATCTAAATAAACTAAACAGTGGTGTTATACTAATGATATGTTGTGTATGTGTATATGCAGTAGCATTCAAGTACAGTAGCAATTACAACTGCACAAAAATCTTCTTCTGTGCTTCATACAACACAGTATACATATTTTTGTATATTAGAGGCTATATAGATAAACTGGCAATTAGTACACCTTTAATACCTTTCAAGACAAATGGTCATCCAGAACTCATTTGCATCAGCTTGTGGAAGATGCATTTCACCATTGCAACTTTTCTCATCTTTATCTGGTGGATTATCAGAACTTATCATTGTGTTCTTACTATCAACATTTGTTTGTTCATTCTTGTCAGCCATTGATTGTTGAGCACCTGATTTATTATGATTTGCAATCTTTCCATCATGTCCATCAGTGTCTCCTTCTCTTTCATCACAATCTTCATGGATTTCCATTAAAGTAACATCATATTCGCTTCTCCATTTCCGAGTCAACCCTGAGATACTTGGACTCTTACCATTATGCTTCTTTCTTGAATGCTTATTTGATAATTTTGAGTTTGCACTATCTGTGCCTAAATCTTGAAGAATAATTCCACCTGTTTCATTGCGTGAACTTTGTTTTACTCTAATTCCTGTTGGTTTCAAATGTGTGGGTTTAGGGTTATTCTTATCATTCTCTTCTTTAGAAATATTCTGCAATGCTTTTCTCTCAGCTAAAGGTTTTCTTGTCAACTCAAACCTGTCTGAAAAACTAGAATGTCTCTTCAGAGATGATGCTGCCTTCTTAGAACGTATCTCTACTTTATATTTTGGATTTTCCTTCGCATCACAAGACGCCTTGTTCTCAAAAGTATAAAGGTGATTCTCTTCAAATGCTGGTTTTATTGATTTGAATTGGCTGACAATGTCTTCAAACACATTATTTTGTAGAAGTTTTTGACACAGAAGCTTTGCTTGGGTGCGTGACACATCATTTTGGTTAAAATTAGGATTTAATTTTAGGAAATCGTGAATCCATGCTAAGGCATCTGAGCCACTAAAGCAATCTTCATAATATTTCATTCGCCATCTTTTCTTTTTTAAACGAATGCCAGTTTTGAAGTTCCTTACAAGCTCGTTCCACTAAATCAACAGATAAATTGCATTAAATCGCGTTTGTTAGCTCAAGCCGTTTGATTGTCGGACATCATTGTTTTGCCGATTTTTTGATGAATTAAAAAACACAAATACTCACCATTTTGGTTGCCCTAAAAGGTTCATTCTCGGCAAATAACGCAATGTTTTGACCTGATTCCATTTACTCTATTAAGTCTGATCCAATACGTTGGAATCTTCAAAACAACGACGTGAATTTATAGAGAACGTCGCCAAGGTTTAAATAAAATGTTAGTTCTAATTTCATGAAAGAATTTCAATTATGTCATTTTAAAAGTTCCCCGCCCATGCACGAAGACATTTGATTGGCTGATAACTCGTGACGTCTCGGAAATATAATCAGTTTATTACAGCTTACATGACGTTTTGCAAAAAAAACAATATGGCGGACGAAACGATGCCGTCAGGTATGCCACAAAAAAAATATTATCGACAAAGAGCTCATTCTAATCCGATAGCAGACCATGCTCTTGATTAGTAAGTAGAACAACAAGTTCGTGAATTTTAAAAACTGTGAAATCAAGGTTATATCAGGCGCCGCGAAACGCAAGGGGTTAGGGAACCCAGGTCTTTCCCCCACTACTTACAGGGTAATCCCCACCCGTCGATTTGATGTTCTTGTGGGAACGTGAATATGGATATGGCCTTTAGAACAGCCCCCTTAAAATTTTAACCCTTTGAACAGAAATTTCAAACGTATTTTCCCAGCCCAACAACACCTGATGATATGGATTGGTTGTCGTTATACCCGGCATTTTTTGAAGACAAAAATGATTCGTGTCCAAAGGTGGAATATGCTGATATAGGATGTGGTTATGGAGGATTACTTGGTGAGACTTGTATACCTAGAGAATGATTCCTAGTCCTAAAATCTCCTGGTAAAAAGTGCAACGTGATGTTTTAAATTTTTTTTTAGTTTCTTTAGCCACAGAATATCCAGACACATTGATGCTTGGATTAGAAATACGAATCAAGGTTATTGGGAAGATTTGTGTGACGTTAGATGGTTAAATTATCAATCAAAGTTATTGTAAAGATTAAAAAAGCATTTTTGGAAAAATCACCAATGTGTTTATAGTCACCAGCATTACTACCTCAGGCCAACTGTATTTGAGAGAATGAAGTATATACACCATGTTCATCATGATCTTGCAAGAGTCTATATTTATCAACTTTTTGTAATAACATGGAGCTGTGGCCAAATGTTCAATAATGTGAAGTTGTTTTTGCACAGGTCAGTGACTACGTAAAAGACAGAGTGATTGCTTTAAGAGAAGCAAATCCAGGAAAATATCAAAATATAAATGTTCTTCGTGGAAATGCCATGAAATATTTGCCAAACTACTTCAATAAAGGTCAGGTAAGTATTGATCATAATAACGTTTTGGCTGAACAGCTCTAAACTTGATACTCGCGATATTGACGTTGCTGTCTCTATATTTAGTTAAAGAAGTTGTTTTTCCTTTTTCCTGATCCACATTTTAAACAGAAGAAACACAAATGGAGAATAATAAGGTGATTTACCTCGAGTTTCTTAGAGACAATATTTTTTTTAAAATCAAATTAAATTTAGCAAGTTATGCTGAACGTTCGTGCTGATAAAGAGCCAAATTTAATTGACCGCGGAAGACGCAGAGTTTCCCTGCTTTTCGGCGTTTGCATTTCCCATTGTTTGTTTCCTATTCTGTGCCTTATATTGCGATATATGTCATGAAATTATTCGTGTCTATTTTGTTTCAGTCCGACTCTTCTCGCGGAGTATGCCTACGTTATGGCAGTTGGCGTGAGTATTCGTTCAATTTATTGTTAACATCGTATAGTGTCAACATTTGTTCATTTTTTCCCAGAAGCATCAGTGGTTCATACAAAATATGTTTACTTATCTTTTTACTTTTCAGGGTATTGTGTACACAATCACTGATGTACCTGATTTACACGAATGGATGAAAAAACACTTTTCAGAGCACCCTTTGTTTGAAGAAATTCCAGTTGAAGAACAAGTAAGAACATTACGAGCAACCTTGCATTTTAAATGTCTCTTGTTTCATGATCTACGGCTATTACAAACTGGGAGGGGGTATCAGTTGTAAATCCATCCCAGAATTGTTGAGTTACGTGAATTTTTTGCTAGGCAAACGATCCAGTTATTCCAAAACTCGGTATTTCTTCAGAAGAAGCGAAGAAGGTTACAAGAAATGGTGGACTAAAATTAACTGCAATTTTCCGGAGGATTGAAGATAAATATTCGAGTGGCAGCTGATTAAACTCCAGTAAAAAAATAAAATAATATTGTCTTTCTTGCATGCAGTGAACATGTTTCGTTGAGTACTCTTTGGGAGATGAGAAATTATGAACACAACTATAGAGTGTAAAATCTGTTTTACGATTCTGGTTAAGCGACCAGAATAGAATGAATAGAATGAAAAGTCTTATGGAGGGATCCGTTCATGTCTGTTTTGTCGGTAAATCCAATTTTATCCAGCTATTTTATAACACACACTAAAGGGCTGTTTTCCAATGTCCTGTTTTTTGTACGTACGTACACACACGTAACAGTTTAAAATCATTTTAATGATACTTATAAAATCAACGATTGAATAGATGCATAGGGTTGGATTCTGTTGATGATTTGGTGTGTTTTTTTTCTGGCATAAAATTAATTATACAACAATTTTAGGCAAAGTTTAAGCTTTTACGTGGGTGCAAAAAATGCGACAGTGGAAAGCAGCGCTTAGACTGTAAATCCATTTTTCATGAATAATTAATACTCTATTTTCTGTGTTTGCGTAAGGTGCGTACGGAATATAAATATGTATATATTATTATTTCATTAAACTGATTTTGTTTGACATGACATGGTTTGACATGCATGCATTATTATCAGTCATATTCATCCATGTCGGCAATTTTATAGCCTACATTTAAAATTTCGAGGTATTTGTATGATTCATATTCATTCTTGATTTTCTTGTAAAGGAAGTACACAGGCCATCGTTTTATATAATCTCCGACTCCGTTTGGAAAATCTTTCCATCCCATTCTTTCCGCAATAAACTGGTTGACTCGACGATTGTGTTTCGGAAGTCTGGTAAACCAATTCTGTAGTTCCCACATAAAAAGTGGGCAAAAGCAATCTATCGCATATCGCTCAATCATCATTCTTAATTCCAGTTCATCGATGCAGAAACAAAAATGAGGTTGATTTTCTTCACAATATTGCACTTTCTGCAAGTCTGCATTAGCAGGGTCGCGATACTTTTCATCCCTTTCCTTTACATGGGGACAGTATGGCTTTGGTCTAAGAAATTGACTTTCAGGTAGAAGATCGTAGAATCCAGGACAGTTTGTAGGTTCATAATTTGGAAGTCTAGGAAGCGATCGGTAAGCGAGAACATTAGATTCTGGTGACGGTGAATAAAAGAAATAGTTATAAATCATGTGAAACTCGGCTTCGCGATCAGGATATTGCAACATGGTCTTCTTGTATTCATTATTATTATGCGTAGTTTGTTTTGGGCTACTTTTATCGGTCAAAGCATGAATATTATCATAAAAATACGCTAAATATCTTGGAGTAATCCAGTGTTTATTCGTGCAGTTCATAGGTATACTTGGGGCGATTTCTTGAGCTTTTTTATATACACGTTTTAGCATGTCCACACCCATAAGTGCTGCGATATGCAGTGGCGACATTCCTTCAAATGTTGAATCACATTGAAAACTGGATTGATAAGGTTTTGTTCGTACGAAGAATTTTCTCAATAATTTCTTAAACGTAGTTCTCTTTAATTGCGTCGCTGATGTGGGAGTTTCGTCCAAATGCAACAACATTCGATTCACGTGATAAATGAAGTCCTGATTGTGCGAAACATTTGCAATTTTCCAAACTGTCTCGCCAATACAATTTTTGTCAGTCATAGTAGCATTCCAGTTGAGCAGTAGTTTCGCCATGTGCCACAAACCATACTTCGCACTAAGATGAAGGGCTTTATTCCCACACGGGCAAGATTTTTGCTCTCGATAAAATGTATACAAGAATTTTTTGCCGAAAAAGTACCGACTGTTCGTCGTTTTTGGTCGAAGAAGACTCGGTGACATTTCCTTACCACATTTTTCTTCCACATTAGCGCCGTTTTCCAATAACAACAAGGCCATTTCCGTGTCGTTTCGTTCTATCGCATCCATCAAGGGTGTCTTTCCTGAATAATGTTTACAGTTCAGAGCCAAGTTATCGTACTGCAATAAAAGTTTTGTTATGTTCAAATGACGTTTGGACACAGCAGCGTGTAAAGCTGTTTCACAAAACATCTCGTGGAGTTGGTAGAATGATCTTTTATCCTGAACTGAGTTAGGCAGACATTCATCTTTTACACTAGCGAACTCCAAAAGATAATTCACGACGTCAAAATGGTTTCTTGCGGCAGCATGATGAAGAGAAAGAGTGTCCGCTTTAGCACTGTAATTATGCAATAATCTGACAAGATCTAAATGACCTCTTTCTGCTGCGAGTTGTAGCAGTGTCGGTACATATTTGTCGAATTCAATTAACGAAGCATTATGTTTTAGGACAGTATCGATCACTTTTATGTGACCATGATACGTTGCTATATGCATTGTGCTTAATTCTTCATACCCTTTCATTTGTACAAAGGTTCGAGCCTCATCCAATGCAGATATGTCGTTTAGAATGCAATTTGCACACGTTCCTTTAACTAGGAAAGGCTTTAGGTTTTCAACAAATCCTTCTGATGCTGCGTAGAATGCCGGTGTTTTCCCGTCCAGATCAAAAATATCGATTGAAGGAAAGGTTTTAATGAATATTTCCAGCAACCGAAAACCGTTTTCTGTTCCAGCAAGTTCATGTAAGATACACTTATCATTTTCCTGATTACGAATATTGGTAATGTTGAGAAATTTTAGCTGCTTTTTATGTTCGTCGTTTGGGCCACCAGCCTTCAAAACATGCATGCATAATCGTGATAGTTCATTGAATGTGATATTCGGATTGCTCATTACACGGTCAAGAAGGAAGTTACTGATATATTCGTGACCTCTATTTTTAAGGATTGAAAACCCTCTCCCACCGTAGTTCGTGCCATTAATCAACCACTCAGCAAAAGATTGATGATAAATGCTAACAGTGTCGTCTTGTCCAAAATGTAGCAAGGACGAAAAGTGGCTCACAAGATCTTGCACCCGTTTACCTTGATACTGACGTTTCAAAACACCAAAAAATTCTTCTTTAACCATTGAACCACTGGCTAAAAGAACTTCGAAAAAGATCTCACAGCTTTCAACTTCTTCTTTTTTAAAATATCGTTGAAATATCTGGTCGTAAATATCATGCAGACTATTGGGTAAGGAATTAAAATTGATCGTCCCGTCGTTATTCTGCAACATGGTTTTAACAAACAAGAAATTTCCCTCTGCATGTTGAAATTGTTCGTGAGTACTTTTCGATGGTGAGATTGCATTGAACACCTTGTTAATGAAAGAGGTTCTTCCCCTCAAATATCGCAAAATGTAGGAACGAATATCTTCAATATTTTGGTCGTTTTCAGGATTTAAGGATATTCGTTTTATCGCACGAGGTACTTTGGAGGTCACGTCGGTCGAGTTTCGTGAACTTATGATAATTTTTAACCACCATGGGAAGTAAGACACTTTGTAGTGAATAATATCTAGTATTGCCGACGTATCTCCGACACATTCATCAAGTGCGTCAATTACAATATATTTAAAGACGTCGGGCTGGTTTTCTAAATGTTGTAGAGGTCCAATTATGGTTGTATAAAAACAAGCAATTGGGTCTTCATAACAATGTTTCAGCTCAGCTTGTATGGGTTGCTTACTAAGTATAATAGACTTGTATTCGGGAAAGTTACTTGCAATTTGTCCGACTAAATTACGCACAAAGCGAGCGCCATTTTGTTTACCTTTCTCGGAATAGTCGCAGACATGATACCCAATGATGTTATCGTAGATTGCCAAGCTGGAAAAGGGTGAACAAATCAGTTGTGACATGAGAGCTGACTTTCCAGATCCTGGATCTCCAATAATAAGAACGCCTTGAGGAGCAGAATTACTTAGAAAGATGTCATCCAAGTCTCTGAAGAACCAGTTTCTTCCAAAAAAATTCTCCCGATTGTTTGACAAATGAGTAGTGAAATCGAATTCGTTGAAGCCAGTTGGTGAAAGCTTAATGGGACGATAACAACCTATGACAAAATTTAAAAAAAACTTATACAAGGCGATAAAATAATTTTTGTTTCGCACCAACCTGTAAAAACGTTCTAAGTTATAGTTGCATGGTAAATTTATAATGGCATTTCCGGCAGGTCTGACTGCATGATAAACTCACAACAATGTCCAAAATTCACCCTGGAATGTTTCGCCCCCTTCCCTCTCAATCTAAGAATTACTCCTTGGTCATTTTTTCTGCAAATGGATGTATGTACTACAAAAATTTCGCTAGTTGCATGCCAAAGTAACTATAGAGTTGAAGTAGCATTGTTACATACTCTGCATGTCAATATCTAAATATATGTATATGTCATATGACTGTTTCCTATAAACTTACCACTTTCAACTACAAACACGGAATTATCACTCGCAGAGGATAACAGTATCATGAAGAGGATTAAAAATGTTAAACGTTTTCTGTAACAGCAATCTTTTAACATTTTTATGAGAAATGCAACGATCTCGATGATTTTGATGCCAAAGTGTTTAGCATTTTCTGAACTATCGTCGTTATAGTGGTTGTTTGTATTTGAAGTAGCTAAGATCATTTCAATCATGCCCATCAATTTTTCTCGTTTATTTTCTGCCATCCTTTCCTTTTCAAATTCTTGGTGTCTTGTTATTTCTTTCAAAACAAGTACATCTCTTTCTTGTATAAAAGAAACATCACCATTTTTTACTTCCTCGATTCCTTGACGGCAATCTTGAACTTCTTTACACGATAATAATTCAAAATCATTCATTAAGCGGTCAATACTGTCAAATGCTGCTTGCTTTTCTGATGCACTGATCTTATAACTTTTTGTATGTGCTAAATCATTTCTCAAATCTCGGACTGATATAAGCAAGTGCTGCTGAACTTTAGACTGTTTATAAAATATTAAGAAATTTAAGAGTCCAGTTAAATCTGTGTCCTCGGGACTTTTAACGTCGTTCCACTTTCCTCCTAAATCGTTCATAAAAACCTTCGCTAATTCCCAGTAACCATTAGGATCATGCCATACTGTGTTGTCACTTTGATAAAACCGGACGAACTTTTTCTTTTTATTGGCATGCATTTTTTCCAATGCTCTTGCCCATTTACACGTATGACGACAGGGTTTTACTCCAGGTGTAACTAGGCAATTACACTCTCCTGCTAATTTATTCACTAAGCGTTCTTGTAGTTCTTCAGCCGTCAGCGAGGTAAAATGACGCAAACCAGCACTCAGGATTCTCAGTGCTTCACCTACAGCGATGTAGTTAAGGTAATCCGGATCATTCCTCAAGTCCTTTATATATTCCATTGTTGATCCCATCATTTATCACGAGCTCAAACTAAATAAAGATGTTAAAAGTCATCATCGCTATTCTTCTCCAGACGACACGAAAAACAATGTCGTTCAACAGCGAAAAGCCTAAATCTTAATAATTATTAATTAGGCGGCCTATATTAGGCCTCTATCTTTCCATTACTTTTCACACAAGTAGAGCGCTAAAGTTTAGTTGAGCTTTTTTATACATTTTGTATACTAATTTTCCATAGCTCAATATAAATAGAAATATTATTAGATACAAATTCTCAAAAAAAACCGATATAGGAGTGGCGTAGCCAGAATTTACGTCCCGCTATGTAATATTCATTTCGTCGGAAAACTCAGTGTTGGCATTTATTTAATTTTTATAAGGTTGATATTAATAGTTAAATTATGAAATCGAACAGAACTTCCTTATTTGGCAGTGATCGGGATATAAAATTATAATAAAAAAGTTATAAAACCGCGTACAGTCAACAAACACGAAAATATTAGCATATAGGCTATAGCGTCCTATATACTATAGCCTAAGACAAACATGCAATCGAAGTTGATAACCTAAATTGTTTTCGGCATGTCAAATTCCACTCGTTTAGTGAAATGTTTGTATCCCACTAATCTTTGCAATACTTTTAATAAATAGCAAAGAGTAAACTAGTTTAGCATGAACCACACGATGCTAATGAGACGGTCAGATTGTCATAGCAGCACAGCTAGGTAGCTCGCTAACAGGCGCAGTATGTATTATGTGATAACAGGGTGCTATACATGGCCGAGTTTTATTTATATAATGTCGAGACTTGGGCCTTTATTAGGGGTTACAGCGGCTTTTATGCCTCGATCGTTTTGCCCATATAAACATTGGCCGGTTCCACGTCCACGATTTGGAAATTGCCCAAATTTCGCATGTTTTTAATATTTTTGAACATAAACTTTATCTGTTATTCATTTAGGAATTTAGTGAACTGAAATGGTAATAAATATTCCGATAGGACAGGATATTTTAAGAGATAATAGCGATTCAATATGTAAACAAAGCGTGTGTTTAAATTACCGACGGTAGCCCACCTTTAAAGGCACATTTAAACTACGCGTTTGTCGTATACGATTCGTACCCTGGAGTATGCGAACGTCTGAACACACGTAAAAACAAGACACTTTAAATTCCATCCTGCACAATATGAATAAAGATTGTGGCATAGGCCCTCTTTTCATCCGTCAGAATGATAATTGCATACAACTTATCGTGTAGTCTAAATAGGCCTTAATGAATGAGGGGATTTAGGGCAAAACACTGAAAATCAAGCTTTTATTCGACTGAAAATACCACCGTGGGAAGATTATGAGAAGACTGAGATCTCCACTCAGTGAGTTTGAGGGCGAGTGAGCTTTTAGAATATAGGCCTAATTTTAGTATCTCAAGACGTAGGCTTTCTCTTCATATATACGTCTGGCTTGTCCCAGTCCAAGTTTGGCCGCCGGACGCCATCAAAAACGCCATAAAAGTACTCATATCCAGTCTACGTTTATGAAATATCAACATCACCAAGGTCATGATGATTGTCATTGTATTCAAAGTCCTTCTTTATCGCCTACTAAATATTTTGACCAAACTAAGTACGTGGCAATATTTAACAGCTGTCGATTACTTACCTAATCTAATGGTCGCAGATTGCAATCGAAAACGTAACTTATATTGAACACTTTTTAATGCCACCACATCAATAAAGAGAAGCTAGGAGTAAACACCGCAACATAAACTTCGTTGTAATTTCGTTAAAAATCCAAACCACACAGGTACAACATAAATTAATAACCCAAATTATGCAAATTTTATAACTCAATTAATTTTACCGGAATTGAAGTGGCAAAATTTCTTCCCAGAATCACCATAACTTATACCTAGAACTGAACTACCGCACATATCATCACAAGGGGAGGGGGGCATGATAAAAATGGTCCTAACTGGAAATTGGTAATTTAAAGATGGGCTAATTGTAGGGGTTCTGCAGAGATTTCTCTGTATTTTTCAGTCCCTATGGACTTAATTTCCAGCATGTTGGGGGATAATTACTGACGAATCCATCTTAGCAGAGGGAGGTCTTTTGAGAAAACACCATTTATCTCTGCACATTTCTCATTTTATTACTCCACAAATTGGTTGTCACTGCACACTAAAATTAGGTATGACTTGCTTACACAATCTAGAGAACTTAAACATTAAGGCCTTTAAGGATGTCGTCGCTAAAATCTGTTGGAGAGATCTCTTTCGTGTACTTGCTAGCGAATTCTGGTTTGAAACGGCAGGGGAAATTGATAAGATTATGCAAAGTCCATATCTTTTCGAATGAAAAGATTTAAATTTAAAATACCTAAATAACACCGTTTTTGCTTAGCAAATGTGATTATAAGTCAGAACGGTACAATTGTACGTAGTAATTTATCCTGCCTTTCTCTGGATCCATCAGGCCACTGGTACAGTGGTACTGCCATGCCAACCTCGTATCCAGGGTCTTTTACCTGCAGGCCAAAAATGCTTCGATTGTCTTGACCTCAGTATGGTCTTGACATTCTAGATCATCCCAGTTCACCGGATCATCCTTGAACCCAGATTATTCCTGCCACACCCGGGTTCCGGTTGTTCAAAAGCCCTTGGTTAAAGCAAATCTTTACATTTATTTTTTAATTGCTTGTTTACAAAATTGAACATGCTTTTTTCATAAATATATTTAAGACGATAGAAGTTATATTTTCTGAAGTTTTAAAACAAACAGCGGTTCAGAATAGAAGCACACAAACTAAAACACTGGATTAAAAATTAAAAGTTTGAAATAATGTACACAATGCAGCTCTACAAAAAATCAAAGAAGTCAGAAACGAACTGCACAAAAAGATTCCATACATAACTCTACAATGACCATATAAATGTACGGTATGTTGCAAGAACACATCCCGCGTACCACCCTCGATCGTGCATAAATATCATGTCAGAAATATATATATATATCTTTCATGTATCTAATATCGTGTCTAAAAGACTAAAACCTACAGGAACATGCTATAGTTGCAATTTTCATGTCAACTTCATTACTTAATCCAGTAAAAACGTACCAGAATGTGCTATAAATGCATCTCCACCACAGAAATTCCCCCGTTAGATTTGGTGTCTTTCGCACCCTCAGCGTCAACGCCAGCGTTTGCTGCTGCGAGGGTTTCATTATTTGTTTGCTGCATATTGTTGAGGATAAATGGACCTCCATTTTTTACTGGATAAACTTCTGTACCAGTTTCTATTGCCTCGTTTGAGTGAGAGGCGACATTTTCAGTATCATTTCTTTCTTTTCTCCCAAAATCTGCCTCTTTGGAAGTACTTTCCATCTTCTTAGCAGACTCGTACGGAGCTGGACCAATCATTGATAATATCGCTGGTAAGAAAAACAGGCCATGAAACACACCAAATACGACAACACCAAAAAGAATCTAAAAGAAAAGTGAAGTCGTTTGTAGAAATCGTGGCAATTTAGTGTCAGATGCACAAAAACTTTACGTTATGTCCTTACCCTAAAGAATGTGGTAAATACGTGTGACTGAGATGTAGCTAATGGTACAATTGCTAGGAAGGTACTAAAACCACCATTCCAGACCGCTGGACCAATATCCCGGTACATCTTTATTGTTCTCTCTACAGGATGTTGAATTTAAATAAATGAATTTAATAAAAACAAAATATTCTCTCGCGAACAATGTACATTTATTTTTTCATTGCAAATGCAAAATGCCTAATTTTCAAGGCGTGTCGCTTTACGAGAATGTCAGAATGAAGATCAGAAGATGATCCGAATAACAGGCAATAAAACGGCCTCATTTAATGCATGGGAACGTTAATGAAGGGATTTAATAATCAAAGATAGTATTTTAGGTGTTCAACCTTTTCTATTTCCAGATTTCACCAAGAATGTGTGTCCAACATGAGATGCATAGTCCACTGATAAACCAATAGCGATAATTATTACTACAGTTGAAACTGTATCAATGGTCAAACCCCAAAAGTACATGAGTCCAGTTACGTCAACCTAAAATTACAAAGTTCTTTGCGTCGTAAAACTAAGGCTCTATCGAATTTTACACCTTGAAATGTACTTCTATTCAGAAATAGTTAAACAAGTATAAGCGCAGATGCTTACCACAGTAAATACAACACAAAGGAAAACCAGAACTGACATCACTGGACTTGCAATGATTACCAAAGTTACAAGAAATACGACTGCCATGGCGAGTAGAATATTTCTGAAAAGTTCCTGAGATATAACCTATAATTGCGGAGTTGCATTCTTTAATAAAGTTAAAAAACAAGCTTGTTAAGTTTGATCTAATAATCTGAAACATCAAATGAATATCTATATGAATATTTGAACACTAACATTTTTTTTGTGTCATATATATTGAAACATTGAATGCTATGTTGAATGAATAATTATGTATAGTTCTTACTAATACTATGACCTTACCTTGTGGCCTTCAGCAAACAGTATTAGTCTGTTGTAAACAATTGGATCTGAACTAAAGCCAATATTTTCTATGATATTCCTGAGTTTATCCATCGCCTTAACATGATCCTGAGTTTCCGTCAAGATCTTCAAAAACGCCCGAATCCGAGTTGCCTAAAAAATAGAATAAAAAATCAGCAAATGGAGCCAGGCCCGGCGCGAGGTGTGATGTTCTGAAGACAGCTGCCAGTGGAGCTATACGCTGTAATGATTAGTCTATGGTCGGAGCTGCTACATACATGTATGTAAAACTAATTAAAACTTGATTCTCAAAACTACCAGCTGATTTCATGTCACGTCCGAGTCGTAGGTTTGGTGCATCTTAAGGTTCCTAATCGTTTAGAGACCTTGGCTAAATAAGTAAGGAACTTATGCAAGTCCTTTGCAATAGTGTTTTCAGTCGAGAAAGATTGATGCTTAAAGCAAAAAACACGTTTTCTAGACGCTGACCTACCACAATTTCAGTCTTTTGTTTATTCCATACGATGTCGTTGGTGAATCGTTTTCCATTTGAACTATTTAGAAAACTTTTCAACTCGGTATAAAATTGAGACTCAGTCTTGATAGTTCGGCCTATAGGATAGATCAAAAAAGTTAATGTTTCATCTGTTTTTAAACGTATTTCATATACACATGCATGAGTGCAAGAATCTCAGGGAGAAATTCTCTAGAAGATCGGCAAAACATGACCAGGACCGTAAATAAAAGTTTAGTTGGGGATAAGGGAAGGATAAGGGTGCATACATTTGTTTTAATATCACTTATTTGACATTTACAAATGCATTGCATGGCTATAAATGAAATCCTAATGAAACGGTAGTGTACAGAACATGTATATTCAAGTAGTGTATATACTTACTTGTATTGTACACAGAATCTGGTACACTTTTATTCGCCCATTCTATGTATTTTTCATACCAACTGTCGATAGTATTCTCTGACAAGTACGTTGTTTCCTTTTGTAATTCTCGGTTTAGTTCGTGTAGTTGTTTTTGTTCTTTGAAGTAGTTAATCGATCCTTTGAAAAGACAAGACAATTATTATACCTCGTCGATATCCTTATTGCCGAAATTGACTTCAGTAAAGCAACATGCGTTAAGATGATGGTCCATGGACCGACTATGGAGTAATCGTAATTAGCTAGCCTTTTCTTCAGTGATGTGTTTATATGCCTGAGGTTGAAACATGCATATGGAGTCTTCATTTTCGGGTATACATTAATATTGTGAATTCACTCTTCGTATTTTTTATTTTTTCACATTAGTTTTTCATGGTTTATTTGCTAAAGAGGTCGACACAGGATACTAAAGCCTGATTCTCCCGAAGAAAATTTATTCAAATTATAAATAAGAGAGCACTTTATTCTCCAGTGATCACTGACAATAGCCATCGCCCACCGTCGGTGACATATGAGAATCAGGCTTAAATGTTCATTTACCACGATTCATCAAGTTTCGACGAACGACAGCAATATTTCAATAAAACAAAGAAATATTTCACTCACACTGTCGTTTGGTGAATATTTACTGACCTGTATAAAAAGCGATGGGTGATCCACCTTGGACAAATTTCTGTAAGATGAAATCGACCCAGCATTAGAAGTTGAACATATTAAGTGCTTCCGAGTATTACACGTGCGTGCAGAGGTAGTGAATGGCGGTACATAGGGTAGTTCGTTAGACAAGGAAAAGATTATCATTTCATGACGTTTAAAATGAAATTACTGCAAATGTCACGACAGTGACGAAGAGTTAAACTGAAGAGTGGTGGGATTTCATCACCTCGTCATTCAGGTCCATGTAATCCCTGACAATAGTACCGGGAGGAAGAAACCATTTTGGTTCAAACTGTTGCTTTAATTCTGTTGTACCGTAAATATTTACACCGAGAAGGGCGATAACAATGAGGAAAATAAATATCTGAAAATAAACAGATCTGAATTTAAAAGTGCGAAGGATCGTCATACAATGATACAAAAAACACAAATTGTAAATATAGTTTCTCCTGTTGATATATAAAATTGGGAAAGCAGCAGTGGCATGAAAATGCTGGCTCGATAAATACCTTTACTGGTAGTTTCACAACGCCGGAACCAATTACTTTTTCATAGAATATTTGCAAATAACTCTTCTCCCCACATTCATTTGGTTTATAATCTTGAGGAAGAATGCAGCAACAACAGCAACCATCACGATGCTTGTCAGCTCTGCATGATAAGATGAGAATTAGAGAAAGAGAGAATATATCAATAAACTTGTCAATTGCAACCGTCCAATATATATGTGACGCATTAAGTAAGACTGCCGTTTCCATCACGTCTTCTTTGCTCGCATGGGCGAAGCACGGAAGCAGCATTTGGAAATTTGCTTCTACAGGTAGATGTGTTCGCAAAAATAAATTTAATCAAAGAACGGATAGGCGAAACTGGCGTAATAAAAAGTAGCTTCACCACTGTGCTAAATATATTATGTATACCTTCTGGCATCAATTGACAGCCAGGCTACGAAAAATGTTGTTTGCAAAATAATAATCACAAAGAATTCCTAAAAGATGAAAATGACTGTTTTAAGATCAGTGTGATACAACACTTAGTATTATCTATTAAACTGTATATTATATCATGAAGGTTCATCCACAAATGGCACCGAAGAAGAGTCTGGGTGGGAGAGATGATGCTGAAGACTAAAGTGATGAGTGGTACTACATCCTCTTGGCCTAAATATAAACCAGCAAGATTGGAATCTCACCTACAGCTGCATAGAAGCAAAAAGACCGAAGACCAGGGATTATCTAAATGCCAAGAAAAAATCTACTTTGTATTGTTTGGCTTTTGTTAAATAATAGCATGTGAACATCAATATTAACATTCTGCGGCATTAGATATCACACTTTAAAACTGTTAAAGCATTCTACGCCCTAGCTTTAGTACTTTGCAAGCAAAATCTATGTATAAAACATTCTTACCGTTGTTACACCAACAAGAAAAGCCAATAAATCAGTTAACGTCGTTATTGTTATGGAAGGTCCCTGGCAACAAAAATAATGATCACATTACCAAGTTACCGAAGGAAAGTAATAACATTAAAATGAAATACAAAACGATATAAGACTCGTACCGCATGTTTCAACGCCAAACCAATTCTCTCTTGAACGCTTTCACTTTTATGAATATTATCTGGCATATTGGACCAAGACTGAACGATGACGAAAAGATCATCCACGCCAATACCTTAATATAACAATAAAAGATAAATTCATTGATGCAATATTATCAACGACGATATATTATTGGCTCTTATATATTGACTATAATCCATACCAAGTAAAAGAAATGGCAGCGTTGTGTGAGCAGGTCCATAAAAAAATCCAAAAGCACTGCAGAGACCCATCGATACACCGACTGATAATCCTACACTTATAATACCACCAAGTGCTACCCAGGCCTGACCAAGAAAAAGGGAAAATTAATTTCTTTAACATTGAATACAAAATATCAAAATAAATCAAGTGAAACAGAGGTCTGAGTGGAATGAAGGGATTGTATTGTATAAAAGATATAAAAATATTGAAAGAATGGAGAAGAAATAGCATAGTAATGATAGTTATGAATTATTTCTTCGGTGAATTAATGAACTTGGTTAAAATTCAATATTTCATCAAAAATAGAATTTACCTTAATTTCCAATCTGGTAAATTTACCCAGAATAATAATGACGTAAAGCAGAATGATAAAATATCCCGTTGTGAGAAGAATAACATCGCCAGCGATAGCGTCAGAAGAGATTTCTCTGAATCTGTAGAAATAATAAATGTTTTACATTATGCTACGAATTTGACGTAGGTCACTCCATTCCAAAGGGATGATGAGGACCGTTTAGCAACGTTTTTTTAGATTCACTCTCAACGTCAAGATTGATCTTTCAACGATCATGATGTGTGACAACGTAGAAAGCTGACGGCAATTCGGAATGGTGACATCATGAAAGAAAAAAATGCTTTTATAAAAAGAGGCTGAAGGGCTTATACCCGCATTATATAGTTAAAAAGATTCTGGTGATAAACATCTTCAAAATACTCGACAGAAATTAATATTCTAAAACCTCACTTTGTTCTTGTCATATACAGTAAATCACTGTACTTTTCCACAATTTTTCCAAATGCTTCTTCCCATTTCCCTCCGCGGGGATCAACCTTGGTATCCAAATAAAGTAAATGATGTTTTAGTTCTGTTGCATGCTCTTGACCCACATAACAAGCATCATATAATACAGGACATTTCCAAAATGTAATAAACTATTTTCAGCATTTGCTAAATACACTTTAATAATCCTCTTACATTATCCGTCGGGTCTATCAAGGATGGAAGCCGTTCATAGAAATACGATGCTTTAAGAAACTTCGCCCCACGTATACTTCCATTCTTATAACTAATATCTGCCAGAAGTCTGGCTATGTTGAACGCGCTTTTAGAATATGGACTGAAAAATAAAATGGTAACAGTGGAACAGTTTTATATTACTATAGTTTGCAAATATCATCCTCCAGACATAAATAATAGAATGAGTTATTCAGTCATGAATGAGCTGGTATGACTGCCCGAAATCATTACCTTAAAGGACCTCTGTTATTAATGTCTTCTAATACTTTATCATCATTTAACGAATTTATCGTATTTTCATCAAAGGACCACAGTTCCAGAATAGATGCAAGGGAACATATATCTCCCTTTCTGAAACATTAAATTGTTTTTAAATTAAATGAGCTTCAGATACAAGAAGGAACTTTTTAACATATTAACTGGAGAACCAAGACTCGGCTAGAAGGTATTGCTGTAGTGAAATCTTTTTGTACAAAAGATAAATTCCTGATATATCCTTGTCACCGTCACCGTCTGGAACAGCTAAACCTTTTCATACAAAAATTTACTTCTTTTACCAGAACAATTATAACAATAAGGTGAAATTGGATCAGAACACCATGCATATAGGTAAATGTAAATGAAAATCGGCGTTTGTAAACAGCCGGGATAATGGAATGACAAGTAATAAGGTTCCTTAATTAAACGTACCTGAAACAGATGTCTTTCCACTCAAGAGACTTGTTCTCAAATGTTATTGTTATATTCATAACCTCTTGATGAATTTTAAATACCTATATATATACAATAGCAAAATTTCAACTGATTGCGTGCGGTTGATAAGCAAGTTACGAAGTGGTTTAACATTAGAATTCAATCATCCTACCTGTTGTATCACTTCGGCTTTTAAAACATTTGATTTTTCAAGGATAAAATTCACTTGACCTGATTCCTCCGGGAACATTTTTTCAACCCATTCTTTATCATCCTGAGCTTTGGAATCCTGAGGGACCCAGAGCTTCTCTCCACGACTTTCTTGTTCAAACCTCAGAAATCCCGCCATACAGGCACCACAAAGAAGCAGTGATACCAGAATGGTGATCCATGGACTCCCACCTACAGTTCTACCAAGCCTAGATTATTGAAAATTGAGGAAGAGAAGAAATGGCGTTTAGAAGTAGAAATTCACTATTCTTTATGTGAAGTATATGGCTGGAAAATCCAAAACTATGTGGGGGCGAAACCATTTTTGCTTCAAACCACGACTTCAGTGCCGGAGGGAAAAGCTTTCTGACGTAATGCCTAAAGCATAACATTTTCTCAGCGAATTTAAGATAATCTTAACAGTATTGAATATAACGTTAGGAGACGCGCCTACCCCCCTCCCCTGGCGATGGCACGCAATGCAATATGGGGACAGAAACTGAAATCGTTAATAACTTTAAAATGCATAAACAAATCAACAATTTCTATGAGTGACAGCTAGTTACTGTTGATTGTTGTAATAGAAATTAATGTTTGGGAGCTATATTGTAACTATTGTTCATTAAATTGTGAAAAATTCAATTTATTCTTTAGATCTTCCGATCTTAAAGCCAATGTCGTCTTCATTATGATAATTCATCGTATGATGTCAATTGTTGGTAGTTAGTGGTCCATTACAAGTGGTCCAGACCTTAGTTGAGATGATATAAATTATGATGTAGTTTTAAAATGTGTATTCAAAACAGGTTTCTAAAGTACCAGATGTTGGACCATGCATGTATACGTATTACGTAGCTATGTTTCTATAACATGTTTTCCTATCAATAAAATCAAATTGAAAGAGTTAAAAATGATTCGCTATTTCAAAAATCGCTGTTCCACCACCACGCTTGCTATTACGATCTTGTCTTACTAACGCGTGGCCAGAAACTTGATCACAGCTGCATGGTGAATATCACGATATTAAAATGCAAGACTCTCACAAATTAAAACTTTTCAATTGACTTAACATTATCTTTCCTTGCGATATTCTTCAGGAATTCAAATAATTTTTCACTAGTTCTCAGTCACTATATTCTTCCGTCAATGAAGAAGTTCAAGAGCCTCACTTGTTTTAACAAATTGCGACTCGATTGCCTTTGATAGATATTTTACTGAAAGGCCAATATCCAATATAAAACGTTACAATTAATTACCATTTACCAACGTTACATAGATCGTGGCGACTGGCAATCAGTGATCTGCAAGTCTAAACTACATGTATATACCTAATTAATCTGCATTTTTAGAAGACACTTCTGCCAATTAATGCCAATACCAAGATGGCATTGCCGGACAAAAAAAGAGTGAAATTAAATGTTTTACAAAAGTAGAATGGATGGGGCATGAGAATTGACTTATTGACATTAATCAATCACAACCATGGCCTGGCTTGGCACATAAGAAAGCAAATAATTATAGGAATATTGGAAACATGATGGGGAAAATTTCTCTGGCGACAGAAGTCACAAAATACGATGACCAATTTGACCAATACGCAATACTCCATGTCATAATATTCACGTATACAATACTTATAACATAGCGATCGAAAAACATATAACTTGCCTGTAGAAAATGTTCTCCAAAGTACCGGTAATGATGCGACTAATCTTTTGTAATATTCCTTTCTCGTTTGCTTCTTGGGTTTTGCATTCCGCGTTTGATGACATAATTCCAGGTCTTTGCCTTTACTTTACTCTTCAGGTTCCGTTTATTTTAAATATTTTCAATATAACAGTATTGAGTATAAACGTCAAGTGTGCCGTGATGGCATCACTAAAAGAAAATATATCGAGAGGATGCAGCTAAGTTATTGTTATTGAAATTTTTATGGCACTATTCATATTTATAGCAGTAATAATATATTCACAAAATTAAATGAGAAAGAAATTTGCAATGACAGTACGTCCGCTACGGTCGCTTATGCCCACTTCAGTTCCACGATTTTTTAAAATATATACTTCGATAGTGACGTGAAGTGTTATATGTTATTATTAACAATATCGCTAATAATGTTGTGATATAAATTTTGTTTACAGAAACCTGAGAAAGTCATATTCCAATCTACTCAACGAACTGATATTAAAACTGCAATATCTCAGTCGTATTTCAATAGCAAGACATTACTTATTAGGACTGAAGTTCACAAGACACAAACCAATGTATAGTGATATACTAAAATGAATATATTCAGTCGAAATGTAGAAAAATTCATCTTACTTGCCAAACTTACCAAAGCAGCGGATATCTTCGTATACTGATGGAGAGATTTTTATCGACCCGGGTAGTCAAAACAATGTTTTAGATGTTACGTGTGTATGAATATATTACACGCAACTACAAGTTGAGGTTTTCAGCGGGTGGACTTTGGCGGGGGTGTATTAAAGCACAATGCACGATGCGGCAGAGAAAATGATGTATTAAAATGTTAAAATGGTACCAATAATTTACACATACATGCTTTTAGAATCAAAAGAATAAGACTTTTCCATTAGTCTTGATCCAGCGACTAGCTTAGAGTGAAAAATATCTGCAACTGTTGGCAGTGTTGCATTGAGATATAACTATAACATAAAGTCAAGCCAAGCAAAGCTGAAGAATACAATCATTGTAAGATTCATTATTCCTTTTAATTCTTTGTGATATCGAACTTTCAGTATAGTGTAGCCGGCCCGGTTCGTTTATTCCCTACCTCACTGCCGGCTTTGGATTTTAATAAGTTGCTTGCATGTAAGTCGTCAGTTTAGTTTAGAAATTAAACTCATCCTGTCATTCTTGTGAATGAAGGTGATCAAGGTAATAAGGTGGACACTGACACACAAAATGCCTTCCTTAAAATGACATGCAATGATCGGATTCTCCTAACTAGTATCACGAATAGCAACGGAACTGTTTATAATAAGACTAAGAGAGAATATCTTTATGTTAAAACCAACTGGCTAGCAACATCTTAATTTCAACTGAAAGTTCTTTATTTTCGGACGATATTGTATAGTTATTTTATTGTTGTGTGATTGTGTATAATGAGTCAGCACTTGGATTCCGCTTTGTGACTGCCTTAACATTCTACCTGTTGTTTTCCGGTAAATGATGAAATGTGTCGCAACAAGTTTGACACAAGTTTTGAAAGTCGTTTGCATTAGACATTAGACTTTGTCCTGTATGAAGGACCACACTCCTTAGGTTAAATGAATCTTATAACCATCTATAATATTATATACTCAGGCAGCGTAGTTCTCACAGACTATTGACACCAAACATACCTGATTATTGATCAATGAAAAAGTTCGAGGCGACAGGAACCACTGTTGGAAATAAGTACAACAAAGATTCACTCCCTCAATGTCTACGTCTATAAAATAAAGTCTATAATTAATTCCAATCACTCTTTGGTACCTGCACAATCACAACTGACTCTGCACGCGTCATTCAAAGATAACGCACGCGCGTTTCTATTTTAAAAAGTTTGTCCATAGAAATAGTAGTCGACATTATTTGTCTATTATTTCTATGGTTTGTTCCCATCAAGTCAGGGGTGGATCTAGATACTGATTTTGATGATCAAGTATGAGACGCTTAATTACAGTAAAAGTCGATTAAAATATTACTTCGATCTGTTTAGTTTCTCTTTTTCTTTTTCTAACCACTTCTTTTAGTTTCTCTGTCAGAGATGTTACCTGCCACAGTACTTTGATATGACTGATGCAAACTCTTTTGACAACTCAATAAAAATTAATATTGATATGAGACGTGCTTATTATTCGCATTTTATCGTGTTGTCAAGGAACCAGTTTCGTGGCAAAAAGAGATCTTTTGCAATTAACCTTAAGTCTAAGTAACACCTTGAGCAAACGGTTCGTAGCTTTAATCTCAATCCCAATTAGTTATGACCATATGCCGTGGGCAAATGATTTTAGCTGGGATAAATTTCATACACAGAGACAGAGTCAGGGCAGCCTAAAGGGCGGGTTTCGTTTGTCGCGTTTTTTGTACGGGCGTAACAAGAACGTAAGAGGTACGCAGAAAATTCTAGCTATGTTGCTGACCTTGCTGAAAAGCATGATATCAAGGCTGTCAGCTGAACGCAGCGCGTTAGACTGGTTAAACCAGTTAATCTGGTTGAACAGGTAAACGCTTCGTTTCGCTTCAACCTTGATTATATAAAAAAACGGAGTTGGCTGCATAATATGCTTGAAGAAAATGAAACTCGGATCTAACCAAAAGATATGGTTGCGATTAGGTTTTAGAGGCAAAGACATTCGTTTGCATATACATCTGATCTCTGATACAGTGCTAAACTTATGACGTCATTAACGTTTGTTCAATATGAACGAACTCAAACTCACGTGAATCAGTCGCATGTGTAGCTATTACGTAACCTGTTTGTAACTTAGTTATATTACATAACAACACACCATAACAACGTGACACCATACATATCTGTGTTTCTTATCAGCCATAAGGCCATAACTGCTGTTGGTTTATAGACTTCATACTGATCATTTGAGTAGAAACATAATCATGACTGATTATATTTTTATTCAGTACAACTATATTTGATATATTTTAGATGTTTTCAATGCAGCAACAATATAGCGGCTTCATGGTGTGTCTGTGTAACCACAGTTAACGAGACTACCTGAATATAAACGGTCAAATATGATTACCTAAATACTGGCAGCTCGTCGGCAAATTCCAACCTTCTCACACGATGCATGGTCGGCTAAATTGCGGAATACGCGTGTCCCGTGGACTCATCGACGAATATATAAATGCTCAAATCTTTCTTTATAGGAAAATTTATTTTAAGACAATAAATCCAATACGGTGTAGGCTTTTATACTGCTGTGACTAGCCTAGTTGCGCGAAACAAGATGCTTTTTATCAAGGCGACATAACTCATAAATATCAGATGTTACAGTCGATCTGAAAACATTCAGGGGGGGAAGAGAACGGTTGATGGGGGGAAGACTGTGAGGGGAGTACATTTGATCAATTTCTACGGCTGGCGAGACGCGAAGGGGCAGTGGGCACGAGTACTATATAGTGTCCGCGCATAGAACAAGCCTTTTTAATTTTGCAATTGAGTTCGTACCAGCAGAAGTTTAAGAAATTTGACGATGAATAGTTCAAAAATGTCTGAAAGGTGGGCTGGACTACCTTATTGTACGCCAAAAGAAATTAAGTGTGGTTCAGTAAGCTGAAACTAGCCGCTTTTTAAGTCCAAATCCTTAAAAAATATGCTGGCAAATCAAATCTCCTCTAGCACATGCAAGATATTGTATAGACTATAAAATCTTAGTGGGATTGCAATTCGTACAGTAGCAAACAACATAGAGTATAGTGATTCTTACCTGTCAGAATTCAACAAGTTTTGCAGCAGGACAATTATTTAATAACAGCAGTCTCCCGATAATCAATCGTCTTTAGTGACTCAGTAATTTAATCATTCATGCCGAGCAAACACCTTATTGTGGGCGGATGTAGGAAGCGTTAGACAGGCGGTTAGACAGCTGAAATCTGCTAAACGAGACATGAAAAAAGAAGAGAAATGAATTATCAAAAAATTAATGAATAATTCTTTATTCAAATTTCAAATAGTCGATTTGTTGAGGAATTGCCTACGCTGCAGTAGGACAAAGGTAAGCAACTTATTGTTCAGTTATAATTCATAATATATTCATAAGTGGATGATTATCTAGAAAAAGTATGAGCCAGTAGATCTGTGATACCATGATTGATTTATTTACAATGGGTTTATTTTCACTTTGAAATGTACGTTTGATCATTTGCGCATTTGAATTTAATATATTTAGCTTAAAAATATTGTAATATCACATGTAGATAAAATACGATATCCTTTTCTTTCGCAGCACACGAAAAATTTGCTTATATTTATTACCGCAGGCTTTCTACAAAAGCTACTACTATTAACGCCTACTGTGGGCAAATGATAAGAAAAAAAGACTGCATACATCGTCTGGTCAGAGATTTGAACATCATTCATAAATTGAACAACAAATCATAAATTGAAAAACGGCATGCGGCTCACTATTATTAGGATAAAACACTCTTGCCGTCTTGGGTTTGTCTTAACTCTCAAATGTTCCTGCCTCTGTACGTATTATCATATGACTACCACCAATACAGACATGTCTTTTGAAAAAACAAGGTATCTTCCGATGGCAATAGTGCTAGTGCTACATATGCCTGTCACTTGTCAATTCCTCGTATTTATTGGTAAATATGGTAAATTCACGTGTTGCTGGCAAAGAATATTTTCAGACAACATGCAAAGGGATGCGCGGCTGGGGGACATAAACTTAAAAGGTTCCGAGTGAAGTGGTCTGACTGTTCTTCTGCTATCATTTCCTGCACGGTGATACAGTCGTGCACGGATATGCCATTAGCTGTGCATAAAGTTAAAAAATCTGCGAAAACTTCATTTCTAAATATATTTTTAGTATTTGCCTTCCATGCAATCATTCTTGTTGTTATTTGTATCGTCTTTTCTCACTGCATCACTTGGCTTCACTTGCAAGGGTATCACTTTAGCAGCACGACGAGATCCACTCCAGGCCTCCGGCCAACTGCTTGTGTTCTCCAAAGCGGATTTATACGGAGGAGGAGAGAGAATGGACAACATCACTGGCAGAAATGCCAGGCCGTGAAATAAGCCAAATATTACGACTCCACATAAAACCTGCAAAAATGTATAGAAACCAAGTTTGCTTGGTCTCTTATCCCGTGCTGTTGGTCATTGTGATACAGTAGCTTGATACACACTTCGTGCAAGTATATATAGGGACGATATTTCAATACAGGGGCAGGGGCAGGCCAGACCTGGGAAGGTAGGGGGGACAAAATGATGAAGCAAAGTCTGACGATACTTGAGACGGGCTGATTTCCCAAATTACTTACTTTAAAGAAAGTTATAAAGACATAAGATTCAGAAGATGGTAAAAGTACAATTGCAAGGAATGTACTAAATCCACCATTCCACACGGCAGGCCACAATGCTAGCGACTTTGTTGTTCTTTCTATATAAGCAACAAAACTCTCAATCGCCAGAGCTTCATATAGTAGCGCGTTGGTTTAGAAGTTTTTAGCTTAGAAGTTTCGAAACTTCAATACATTGGTGATAGTTAGGATTCCTGATTCCTAAAATCCTGAATACTTCTGTCCGGATTGCACATTATAAACTACTGCAAAGTCAAAAGTGGTCAGATTTCGGATTACCTTACATCGAGTCGAGACAAATTCTGATTGCGATTTATAACAATTTAATGAATCATTGTTACCATTGAGCTTCCAGTTTGAACCAAGTAAGAATGTCCAACATGTGACGCATAATCAACAGACAAACCAACACCAATCACCAAAATGATGGTTGATACAACATCGATGGTTAAACCCCAATAATACATCAGACCAGCAACGTTAATCTATAGAAATGACAGAGTCAAAGATTTAAAGCTGAGAGAAAGGCGCATCGTCATACCTGGAAGTGTTTTCAACCTAGACAACCAGTTTATGTACTACTTTTACCAGCGAAAAGTGATAACTGTAATGATGTTAACCTCGTACTTACAATGGTAAAAACAACACAAAGAAAGACGAGAAATGACGTTAGAGATTGGCAATAATCAGAAACGTTACAAAAAATACGACCAACATGGCAAGAAGAACATTTCGGTACAACTCTGTCGCTATAACCTGAAGAGAAGAGAAGAATATATCGCTACTGACGTTGGACGGTAGTTTTCAATGGTGTAGGGGTTCCAAAATGTAATATGGTGTCAAAGAAATAATATTTATGACCATTATGTGCAGTACGTCAACACGATTTGCCCAAAAGCATTATGCGTCAGATTTCTCTTAATTCATAGTAAAATTAGATATAACTATGCATATAACAATCAGATTCATTGCTGCTCAGATTGCCGGAGCAGAAACTGGGGTAAGTCGGGCAAATTAAGTTGATAGAAAAATTTTCAACCCAAAATGCGACAATTCCCGTTTCTGATAGTTAAGTATATTACAAATTCTCTGGTGAGACATGCCTCTAAATAACCCACGCTGGGCTCGCAACTTTTGCCACTCGTTCGGTGGATCTTGGTCCACCTCCTCCTAGGAAATGCCTATGTTATAATATGAAACTGTCAATCTCGTCTGGAAGACTGGAACGATGCAACCCTTTCCTGAAGGTGTCATAGTTTGCTCGCACACCAGCGATCTATACGATTAGAAATCTCTTGAGGTTTACCTTGTAACTTTCAGCCCACAAGTAGGAAAATCCATACACTCTCGCTTTAGGGGATATTTTAATGCTCTTCACCAGATTTCTTAACGAGTCCATTGCTTTCACCTCTTCCACGGAGTCAGCGTAATTACGTTGTAGCGCTGAGAAACGCGAGGCCTGCAGGAAATTAGACGGTGAAATTTCCAAGAAATATTTCTCTTCTATTTCATATGAAGTATCGATATAGAACTTAGGGAAATGCTGATGACGTATGACCCCGCACGACCGCAACAGCTACATGCAGTATATGCTAATAAACACAAAATTCTTTACCTAATTTGAAATCCCTATACCAGTGATAAACCTACGGGATCGTGCGTGTGTGAAAATACAATTGACCTCGTTTGTTCTGTCTGTGCTGTGAAATATCAGACAGAGGTTTTTTTGCATGGACCTCTCTACTGCATCGCTTGCGATTGGTCCATACAGACTTCACAGTACAAACCTCACGCTCGGTCAATAATCAGTAACTACTTCGTAGGCCTTGTTTCGGGCGTCGAAATTTTCATTTGTGATATCAGTCTTGCTGGCTCACCTCAATCCCGTCTCCTGCATCATTCCACTTGATATGACTGGCGAACTTCCTTCCTTCGGTTTGATTGAGAAATACTTTCAGGTTATAATAGAACGCTTCTCGATTATTAATCGCTGGAATACAAATTTAAAATGGTGAAATGTTGGCACTTCTTTTGCCTTGGATAAAAAAAGATCTACATCACAGATGAATAGCAAACTACCAGACTCTTCATATTATATAGTCGTAATTATCGAAAATAAGCTGATGGGATCGGAATTTGTTTATTCTCTGCCGGTATTTAAATTGTCATTGTTGACTAAAAACACATTTGATGAATCACATACTTGAGTTGGTGAGATCGACATATTCTGGTTTATTTTGTTTCATCCATTTCACGTATTCCTCATACCAACTCTCAACACTATTTCTGGATAAACCCTCAGTCTCATTTTGAAGTTCACTGTAAAGATTATGCAGCTTTATTTGTTCTTCGTAATAATCCATTTTACCTTAAAACAGTATGAAATGAAAATGTATACAATCACATGCGGCCATTGTGCGGCCTACAGTGCTATAAAAGCTGTAATAACGGCAACGCAAGGTTTCTCGATGCTTTCTATAACTATTAGAATAAAAATTAGATATTGGTATTGCTTTTCTTACCAGTATAAATAGCAACTGGATTTCCGTTATGCGGGAACTCCTAAACATCAAAATAAAGTGTAGTCAAACACATATACAAATTAAAACCTCGTTATTATAGGCGTTATAGTTCTCAAACAGGTGATTACAGAATATGTATTAGCCAAACCTTATAGCCTGCAATTCTGCGTAACTTACTTGATTAACCCGCGGTGTAATAGATTAGGATAGATTTAGCTTTTTGCTGTTGAATGACGTGCAATGTGGAGAAAAAATAAGCAAACACAAGTTCAATGAAAAATCCTGATGAAAATCGTATCTTTTCACCCTCGTGGGCAAATGAACAAACATGTTAATTTAGAAATACTGTTTCACAAAAGGCGGCTCTCGCAAATTTGTGATTAATTACTTTTTCTCTTGTTTAGTGAAACTCTGATTTCCACTACAGTTGGAGAATGAAGTGCTTTGAATAGATTTCTTTGTTATATCGATGTCGATTCAGTGATCAATGACGCCTAGGTTATAGATACGTCGCATCTTCGTCGCGTCGAATACAATTCAAACAATAGATAATGAATTAATGATAAACCTCAGAAAGCCTCATTATAATCTCATTATTTGAATTTCATTCTACGCGACCAAAATGCGACGTATAACCTAGGCCTAACTAAGACCTGAAAATATTTCTAGACTTAACGATGCTATCAATACCTTTCCGTCAATTTCTAAATATTGTCTGATAACTGAGTCACGTGGTATAATCCATTTAGGTTCAAAATGCTGACGCAGCTCTAAACTTCCTGTGATATTCACACCCAGAAAGATGGCAACAAGCAGCAAAACAATGATCTGAAAATATGGATGATAACTAGCTATGCTTAATCTTTATATCCTCGTTACATAAAGCGATATATATATATATATATACAGGGTGTATCAGAAAAAACTAGAAGATTTTAAAATGTTCAGAAAACTATCATTTTATCCAGATATCTCAAAAATATATTTACGTCTAAGTATTTTAGCATCTTCTGGCTTATCTAACAGTAAAAACTAGCAGAAAAATTAACCTCGAAAAGCGGGATAACGTTTTGTAAAAGCCTTATTTTTAACCGCTTGTGCAAAGAAAATGAGACGTTGAAAATCCAAGTTCAGTTAAAGAGGGGAAAGTTTGGAATCTTTTGTGCAATCTATCGCAATTTCAAAAAATTTGATAAACATAAACCGCGAAACGTTTCAAAATTGGATTTTTTTACCCCGTTTACTCCGCTCTCTCGTAACTTTTTACACGCAAGAATGATTACATGCATGAGTGATAGTTGGAATGACGTACTTAAACATAACTAACAATGAATACTCTTGTTTTATTGTTTTCATTTAACAAAGAGTGCTGGTAATTACGTCATTCCAACTATCACTCATGCATGTAATCATTCTTGCGTGTAAAAAGTTACGAGAGAGCGGAGTAAACGGGGAAAAAAATCCAATTTTGAAATGTTTCGCGGCGGACCTAATGTTTATCAAATTTTTTGAAATTGCGATACATTGCACAAAAGATTCCAAACTTTCACCTCTTTAACTGAACTTGGATTTTCAACGTCTCATTTTCTTTGCACAAGCGGTTAAAAATGAGGCTTTTACAAACCGTTCTCCCGCTTTTCGAGGTTAATTTTTCTGCTAGTTTTTACGGTTAGATAAGCCAGAAGATGCTAAAATACTTAGACGTAAATATATTTTTGAGATATCTTGATAAAATGATAGTTTTCTGAACATTTTAGAATCTTCTAGTTTTTTCTGATACACCCTGTATATATATATATAGAACTTACTTACCTTCACTGGCAATTTTGTCAAAAATCTTGCGTATATTTTTTCAAAGAAAAGACGCGCGTATTCCACCGTCCCAAATTTATTTGGAGTGTAATTAGACGATAGTATGACACAATTCAGACATCCATCACGATTTTGGCTCTGCCTGGGAATTAACATATCGTATGGGGAGAGTGGAGTGAGAAGGAGAGTGAAGAACAGGTGAAGAGATTGAGGAAAGGAAGAAAGGAAAGTGAAAAACGTTATAAATTAATTTATGATAATTATACCTTCTGGCGTCAATTGTCAACCATCCAACAAAGAACGTAAGTTGAAATAAATATCCGGAGAGAATTCCTATACAGAATAAAACGGTGAGGACCTGGTATGTTTGAGTTATTATTATTCGTAAGAAAGAAGTGAATTAAACTCCACTGACAACGTATTACGGCTGTTTTATATTTTATTGTGGAAAGGAGTGAGTACAACTGTGCAAGTAAACCTGATAAAAGAAAACCTCTAGAAAATCGATTGAGCTGTTGTGAAGAAGATTCGTGACAAAAATTTTAAATTACTTTCTTAGAAATTGAACTCACCAACGGCTGCGTAAAAACAAAATGACTTTAACCCAGGTAGAATCTAAGGAAACATCATCAAATCTGATCTTAGGTGGATATATTTTTTCATTTATGAAATTAGCGTACCTCAGAATGTGGTATAGGAAAGTAGAGGCTCATGCTGGTGGAAATGAATGAAAGTGTTTGTTTTTTTACTTACAGTTGTTCCTCCAATTAGAAAAGCTAACACGTCAGTAACAGTTGTCACAGTTATTGATGTTCCCTAGAACATAATAAGGCCTTCAGTTTAGAAAATGCATCTAGTGTCAGTGTTTATCTAGCATCGAACGCGATGTAACACAATCAATTAGCTTGAGGCCTTCAGTTTATATCATGATACTGGAATGCATTTGATATCACTGTATCACGTGTCATCTGGATCTGATCGACACGCGAATAGAGCAACGTTTTGCCCAGGGGCATTTTACTTTATTTCTATTTCAATGTATGAATTTTTCCTCACTTACCGAATTTTTTACTGCAATACCAATCCTCTCTTCAATTGATCTACTGCGATGAACAGCAGAGGAGATGTTGGACCAAGACTGAACGATTACAAATAAATCATCGACGCCAATACCTGAATTTGAGCATAAACTTTAAAAACTCAGTCAAACTAAAGATAACAAAGAAACAGTTTAAGAGATTTTCCCAGAATTTTTTTAAGCTTGGTGCTTGTTTGTTTGTTACACCTAATTCCATTTCAACAATTATAGTCCATATATCCACTCAATAGAAATATTTTAAAACTTTTGTGAAAGTTCTGATTGGTTCATTGTTAAAACAAAAATGAGTAGGTTGTCAATGGTTAGCAAAAACAGTTGTCTTCGCCTGATTTGCCCCTTTTTACAATATTTTGGTTTCACATTTCATTACGCAATATCACTGAGTTTCTTACCAAGCAAAAGAAAAGGTAGAGTTAAATGAGCAGACCCAAACAGCAATCCCATGGCACTACAGAGACCTACAGCTACACCAATTGACATTGCAACACCAAACACACCGACACATGCCAGCCATACCTACAGAAGTACATCAGAATTCCATGTGTTTACAAATATGTTTAACAGTGTACAAAATTCAGTTCACAAAATTTTGACTAAAGGGCCTTCGTCAGGAGAGAGAGCTTGCTATATAACGAAGGTCTTTTTTTAACGATTTTTCTGGCAGTTGAAGCTTCCACACTGTTTTAATAAAACAAACAGAGAAACAAGTCATTATCGTCGGAATATCGCTGACGCTGAATATATCGAAATATTAATGCATGTACAATTCAGCATCTTATCGTGATAAGAAACCTTTCGCCTTTCCCTATTATAAGTTTTCTTGGGCATTTTAGGGCAGTTCATGAATAGTCGACTGTCATGTTGTGGTTTAATTGTTATTTGAAGATGTTAGACTGCAAACTATTACTAATTATCAGTGTCAATGGTGTCAACTAATCTGCAGTATCAAGATACAAATCTATATTTAGATGTATAGTAATATATACAGTAATAAATATAAACTATGAAATTTCAGCCAGATGGAAACCAAATATCTTATATCTTCCATATGTTAAAATTAACTGACATGCTCCTTTTACCTTTATTTCCAGTCGGGTAAACTTTCCAATAACAAGAGCAACATAGGCAATGACTAAGATGTAACCAATACTCAAGAGTTTTATATCGTTCTTAATTGCGCCCTGAGATGTTGCTTGAAACCTTGAGAAGTAAATAAAATACTGAGTAAAAGTTCACTGGCTCATGAAGCTATTAGATATTTGAACCTGGCAGTACTCCGGTACTCAAGAATGCGTTTCATTGTAGTTATATGGACTGCGAGTGTTACAATTGGCAAAATGGATTGATGGCAGAACTTTTCGTCATCGGTACCATAACCTAATGTTGCATATGCATGAGTCAACTGAGAATGTATATCGCAAAACCTGCATGGTTTCCATTGCATGGCATCCACTTTGAAAGAGATTACCGGACTCTTCTGAGCAGGTCGGATCCCGGGTATTTTGCCCCACCTGCTTCTATAACCCAACCCCTTTCCCCCTCTCACTGGCCTTGCCCCCTGTCACGCACTCACGGTAAATTTACTTACTTTGTGTGGGTGTAATACACTACGTCAGGGTATTCATCCAGAATGTTAGCAAATTCCTTCTCCCACATTATCGCTCTTTTGTCGACCTGGAAAAGGAGAGAAAAGATGTATTTTGTTCATGCAGCTAGGGATTCCATCATCAACATAGTCATATAGATATTGTATATAAGATATCCAGTTCAGATCCTAACTTCTTCTCTCGAAGATTTATCCAATTCCAATCTGGACTCGATGGCATAGGATGCCTTGAGAGCTGTCGCACTAGAAATATTGCCATTTTCATATGATATTCCACCAACAACTCGTTCTAGACTGAATGGTCTGTTTGAATACGGACTGCAAATAGAAAATTAGGCGATATTTTGCCACGCAGATTTCATACCACAACATGTCAAATATTTGTAAAAATACCATACCTGAAGGTTGGTCTTTTCTTAACCTCAGAAAGAATGTCTCCATTGCTCAAATTGTTTTTAAGATTTGCCTTGTTAAACATCCACAATTCAAGAATTCCCTGCATCGCACATTTGTCTCCGATCCTTTATAAAATATCCAAAAATAACGAAAGATTTAGAAAAAATCCAGTCACAATGTTCCTCTAATACTCCTGGAGTTATTTGATTTACCGTGCGTTAGTTGTAGCTATAGGAATAAACTGGTTGGAATTACAGTTGGAAATGTAATTATAATTAATATTTGCCTGGGAGTTTTGTTCCATTTGTATAGACTATTGTGAATAAACTGAACAATACACTTTGAAAGAACCTTTTATGATCACGAAATTAGAAAGAAGTCAAGAACTAGGAAATTTATGTTTTAGTTTTGGTCTTTTGGTTTCCAACCTGCTTATCACTATCAACTTACTTGAAACACATATTCTGCCAATTCAATATCTTTCCTTCGTATAGTATGGTGATATTTATAATACGAGAATGAATTTCCATCATCTGGGAAAAAAAAATGTTCTCAGTACAAAACTTTTCAACATGATAAATTATTATGCATGTGTAAAAGCTCCCAAATTATTGCCCGAATGTCGAAATTCTGCACTTGTCTTTTCGTTACACTATATTTCGGCCAAGATATTTGATTAAAGATAAATCGCTATTTATTAGAAAATTAAAATTGCAAACCTTGTTCAGAGTTTTAACTGTGAGTACATTAGGACGTTTTAAAATGAGAACAGAACTATGAAATTTCTCCGGAAATCTTTCTTCAACCCAAACTTTGTCTTTTAAAGCTTGAGACTTCTCAGGAACCCACATCTTTTCTATCCTGCCTTCTTTTTGAAAGTTCAACAAACCAAGTAGACATACAGCACTTAATATAAGCGATACGATTATTGTAATCCAAGGTTTTGAACCAACGCTTTTACCCAGCCTGATGAAATGAAATAAGATGAAATGGCAACGATATCTATATAAATTCTTTGTTAAAAGAATATACTCTATATATTCTATGTAATACGCCGTTTTCCGGCGAACTCGACCATGGTCGAATACGCCATTTTCTGGCGGACTCGACCATGGTCGAATACGCCATTTTCCGGCAAACTCGACCATGGTCGAATACGCCATTTTCCGGCAAACTCGACCATGGTCGAATACGCCATTTTCCGGCAAACTCGACCATGGTCGAATACGCCATTTTCCGGCAGACTCGACCATGGTCGAATACGCCATTTTCCGGCAGACTCGACCATGGTCGAATACGCCATTTTCCGGCAGACTCGACCATGGTCGAATACGCCATTTTCCGGCAGACTCAATGTATAGTCATTACCCGTAACAGCAAATTATAAATGTAATTAAGTTTTGGGCATTGATGGAAATAAATATCAAAAGGGTTTTTAGTTGATCTATGACTGAGGCATTATATCACAGAGCGATAGTTGCTTCATTTTTTCTGACTTTTCCTGGCTACAAGTTTCACAAATGTATAATACCCACTGGATCTCTATCAACCAAGTAACCTCTAATATCCATTATAGTCTATTATATCAGACCAAAGAATGAAATTGTAAATGATACTTGTCTTCTAACAGCAGCACTCTCCGCTCTCGCAGTGTCATTCTAGGGCACTGTGGCAATGTGACACTTTAATCACCCTGCTGAGTTAAGTGTTTTCAAACACTGTCAAACGAAATTTTAGCTTTGTTTAATCTGTTGTGGACAAACATGGTTCCAATTTAATCCTTCGTTCTAATGGTACCACATAAAAAGCCTATATATCCCAGTCCTTCACCCAGTGATATGATTCCATGCACATTTTCGACACAGTTTGAATATAACCAACACCATAGCATTAAATGTGGTTTCTTACCAAGCAGAAGAAGACATCGTTTCGACCTGAGGGCCTTCGTCAAGACAGTTAGTATGAAAAAAACTGACTCTCCTGACGAAGGCCCCAGGTCGAAACGTCGAGAAGTGTTTTATTCATTTTAGGCAGTTGTTATACCACATTTGATGCTAAGTTGTTTGAAGACGCTGCCACGCTGCTTTCTGGTTATATTATAACCAATACCATGCACATAAAGACCTAACAATTGCAGCCGAAATATGATCTCTATAACCAACCCTCCATTATCATACTAACTTTCTGACGAAGGCTCTTATGCTGAAATGTCAATCGAAGAATTGTAGAAACCGGCTCTAGCTAGTTGCTAATTTTCATCGATAATTAAGTTTAATAGCAGCGTGATTTATCTTGTCACAACGTATTCTTGTTGTCACGAGAGACTATTGTATTGCCATGCACACATTAAACAATAGCTATTATTTCATCACACCTCATTTACTGCTTTTTACCCGGCAAAGCTACAGGTTTTCATTGCAATATATATTGTAACTTATTTCCCGTCAAATATGGTTCAATCCATTTCTATCAACCTAGGCCTAGCTATCTATGAACCTATAGCTAAAAATTTTATCAGAAGACTTTTTTTTTTCTTCACAAAAAAATCAAAACAGTACAGTAGAAAGATCAAATATCTAGGCCCAGTTCTATCGGGTGGCGCATCTCTGACAAGTAAGATAAATGACTAATTGATTTTAATTGAGTATGCATTTTGAAAATACCGTAGAGGCACAAGGTTATACTTTATATTTAAATGTCAATAAATAAGAAATAGTTCATAATATTTGATGTTTTAGTGAAGTGAAAGGTCACAAAACAAAATGACACATTTCTGTCATCTCCGTCTGAAGTAACCGATTTTCAAGGAAAGATTTTCTAACCCTGACTTGAATGCGAATCAATATAAAATCCAACGTCAAATAAATTTTTTTCTAAGGTTTTCTTTTATAGAAAAAAGGCTAAATTAGTGAATGTCTGGAAGTATTTACTCGGGACCTTTGATTTTTCATTACGAAATATTCAATAATTATTTTAAAGAGGCTCTCGAAATGTCACGTGAGGAAAAGAATCAAGAATCATGATTTTCATTATAGGTGACGGGTGACCTAAAACATAATATGCTTATTTTCATGTTTTGTTGCAGTCGTTTGAAGTTAAAATACGATGTGGCGTGTTTCAAGCAGAGGACACCCGATCTTGATCTTAAGTACTACCATTTTTTCATCAGAGACATGCATGCATGACCTATATGTCAATTTGCGCTCATAATATTTATCTTTCGTATTATATGAAAAGTCAAGTTTATGCGTCTATGTTTTGCATTTTAAGATGAGTAAAACAAAATTCTATTTTCTACCAAATACTGTTACGAAAACACCGGCAAGCCCCGTCACTGATGAATCATCATCACTCTTAAGGGATTATTTTAATGGATTGTTTCATGACTTGAACGATTGCAATAATTTTTAGATTTTTGAAATTGTAATTATATTTTAATAATAGCGGATAGATTGATTGGCGAACCTATGGCCTATGGGGAAATCATGAAGTTTATAAAGCATTACCTATTAACGCTTGGCATGTTGCATTTAACTCAAAAAAGCCAGTCAAGGTCATCGATGACGCTATATTCTTTGAGTCGCAAAACATTGAAAACAGTCGATCACTAACAAGATTAGTCACGACTATATATAGTAGGAAAAGGTGATTGTAGAAAAAATGAACTCAGAAGAATCAGGATTTACCTGTAGAATGTTCTCTCTAAACCGCCAGTAATAGCATCGCTGATGCGTTGTAAAATTGGGATTTTAGTTTCCCGCGCAGTAGGAGGGGTCTCTTCACTTCCAATTCCCTTTTCTCGGTCAACTGAACCATGTTCTTTGGTATGAATACAGAAAGGTCTGCACTGAATGCTAGCCATGGATCAATGCACCAAACTTGTCGCATCTCGCGCAAACTGCACGAGCATTCAATCGTTAAATGATCACCTCAAATTTGACCTTTCAAGAATGCATGACTGACCGCTTCTATAGGTGTCCTGCGGCTTGTTGCACAGACATCTTTAATATATATCAAATGATGCGAGGTTATCCAGTGCCACTAAATAGATCACAATAAGATATTTAGAGGTTGGATATCGTCGAAAATCAACAAATTGAAAGTATAAATAAACACGCTCCTTTAAACAAAGGAAAGTTAAGACAAATATAATCCTTGGATTACTATATAGAGATTAACGGTCATAGAATACACACGACTGCACACGAATATAAGACCCCGTGCATCGGGAAGACGTTTCTGAATTCTGTGCATGTGACATGACGAAAAAGACGAATTTCGGCCCTTTTAAATCGATTAGAAATTGTAGGAACAATCGAATGAATTAAAATAATCCTTTGAAACAAAAATACTAAATACATATAAATAATGTGGAGACACCGAGGAAGACAAACTGGTAATAATGGCTAATTATTCATGATGGAAAAATGTATCGAGATGAAAACATATACTGCTCAATAATTCAACAATTTCTTTGATGCGTGTGCATGTGGCGGTGTTGAGCACTGCCGTGACTATATCTTGTGGAGTTGTGGTAAACTTAGGAAAGAAATAAAAAAACTATGAAAACTACTAAATTATCGCCATCAGAATACGGAAAAATCTCCGAGAAACTATTGCAGGTATATTAAACTCGTGACATGTATTTAATTATATCCATGATAGACAGAGTCAGTAGCTATAGTAGGATAGGAATTTTCCCACATCGTAATCAGATATAAACCGTTTATAATGTGTAACACCTACTATAAATCTGAGGAAAAAACGCTTTATATAAGGTGATTTGCTTAGATAATAACAAACCTGTTACTTTTCGTGAAAATACAAAACATGCCTGAGTGCATCCCCTTTGTGAAGCTTTACTTTAATTTACGCAATCTGATTTGGATTTTTTTTAGATTTTAAAAATTCTGCTGGTTCAAGAAACTTGCGCACAATAGCGCGCCGAAGAAAGATGCACCCTGTGGCTTGGTAGTCTCAAAATACCACAAAAAATTTCAAACTAGGATACGTGACAGTGTGGATCTTCGGCTATCCTATTCTGGATTTAAAAACCGATTTCGTCCTAAAATCCTCCAATTGTTAATTTTTACAATGAAATAAAAAGCTACATTTTGTGATGACAAGGCACTCAAGGGTACTGCGAATATCTGACGCAGATGTTTGACGCGTCTGTTGACTAAAGTCCACTAAACTTATCAATCAGTTGCGACATAACTACCAAAAGATTAGTCGGTAGTCTATTGTTATACTATAGGCTTCACCGAATCTAAAAAAAATTATTACACAGACATTTCTCTAATCACGTGCTGAACCTGAGGGTTTATTTGCATTTGATCCGGTAGATGAAAAGTTAGACATCTTAAACATGCAGGTCTAAAAACTTCCAATGTAATACACATATTCCTTTTTGTCGTCTTACTGAACACTCAAGACTTCTGTGAGTTAAGCAGAAACAGAACTGATTTCTGTATTCACATTTTAAATAAGAAATGTTATACGCTATTACAATTTCAATACAATATATAGAAGGAAAAGACTCTCAGTATTTCAATATACGTTTATATACCTCAAATGCATCTCTCGCTTCCTTTAATCTCGCAGTATGTGAAAGATGGTATTTCATTTAAACGGTGATTTGATTTAGAAAATTCTACTGCAATCGAGTGCTTATGGATTGAGATATTTTTGAAAACTTGCTAAATCTCATGGTTGGGTCACTTGGGTGCTGCTTCTATTGTCATCCTGTGACATCAAAATACCACCATCCAACTTTAATGACCTATTACAAGACCATATGTGCATTGAGACAAAGAAAACAAGGAAACTATATATTAATGTAGATTTAAATATGAATTATATAATGATACGTCCTCAAACACAATGTTCAAGACGATCGTAAAGTTGTTTGTTTTGCAACAACTTGTAAAGAAATGCACCCGTTTAACGGAGACATCGTCAACAACAATCGACTTGATTTTGTCAAACGCTGCACAAAACATATCTGTAGCTGACGTTGTTGCAACATCTCTCAGCGATCATGACATGGTTGCTTGTATAAGAAAAATTACCCACAAACGCTACAACCTTAGAATGATTAAATGCCGAGACTATAAGAACCATACGATCATAATGAGCTCTGTAAAGATATGATAAAATGAAACATAAATAAACTGGCAACCTTTATTTAAAATTATTGACGTAAATAAAGCACTGGATTATTTAAAAAACATTCTTGAAGAGAGGTTTCGTAAACATTCTCTTTAATAGAGAAACACGTAAAAGGAGGAAAATGTGAATGCATGCATGGCTAACAAGTGAATTGAGACGTTCGCTGCATGAGAGAGTGCGACAAACTATTACGAAAAGCCTGTCGACTGAACAAAAGATCCAGCCCACTGGAGAGCTTATAAAATACCACGCAACAGGTGCACAAACGAAGGCCGCTATGCCCGTGAAGGCGAAATATAATTGTAATCTGTTGAACGAGAAGAGTGGTGACCCTTAGTAAAAAGTTCAGGGACTGTATAAAGAATATTTATCCAAAAAAATCATCCAAGTCAATGCTAGACCCTTTGTCACGGGAAGCACGGCAGCATACTAAAGCTACTGGTATTGATGAACTACCACCTGGAATGCTGAAAGACTGCACGGGCGAAGTACATTTTCGGGCCTTTAAGATTGTAAAAATTGTGCCAGTCTATAAATCTGGAATCGCAAACTGCTAGAAAACCATCGACCTATATCAGTGCTGCCGGTATTGTCCTAATTTGACACGACTTCGGCTAAGATTTTTGCTGGTCCATGCCTGGAAATCTGGGCGCATCACAACATATGGTGGCGACCAGGTGAGGCGAGTATGCTTGCATGTGTAAACGCCTCGTTTCTACGCGAAAACATTGTATTTAACGCAGCGATTGTATTTATGGCTTGTATTGTAAGGCTTCTTTGCGAAAGTCATATATTAACTACAAAACACGAGAGTTTGGATTGATCGGTGCTCGTGATATTCTAGTTTAGCAGAAATTCTAGTTTAAACACACTTCTGATACAGCTTAAAGGTGCTGCTTAATGGAAAAATTTTGGCAAATTTCAATAAAAAAACGTCCGGAAATTTCAATCAATTCTTTTAAGAGGCCAAAGAATGGCATTAAATATGGAGGTCATCACCCTAACCCTAACAAGAAGGCATTGAGCATAGGGGCATAGCAATTTGAAACACATAAGCCTGGAAGGTTACTACAAATAAGATAAAATAAGAAGAAATTTGAAGAAAAATTCTGAAGAAAAATCTACTAACCTGATGTAGCAGGAGAAAGAGGATGGTAAAGATTTAACTACTGCGCGTGCGCTGATCGCTGGACTAATTGTGATGTCAACAGACGGTAATTGTGAACCTCACGATTGTGAAACACGCGATAAAGAGTATATCAGCATTCTCTCTTTTCCATTGTAAATGGTTCTCTGAATTTCAAAACGCATGTAGGAAATACATGGAGATTCCACATAGTTGTCTAATCTATTTTATAATGGCTTTTTTGAGAAAGCATTTTTTGGTAAAAATTTTTAGTAAAAACTGGTTTTGACAGAATTGGCCAGGTAATGCCTGCCGGGCAACGTCAACTTTTTTTACCTTTTTTAATTGAGTTCTAATAATATTTACGATAATCACGCCCCCAAATTGCAACACGCGTTTTGTTACTGCTTGCCGTCACGGATCGCATGCATGTATGTATGTTGTATAAAATATTCTAAATCTACATTACTTCGTAAAATATGTTTGTAATTTGTTATCGCGAAAAAGCAAAGTGCTGTAGACGGAAAATGAGCGACGTGCATATGCCACCATATCCAGTATTCAGATTATGTTTTATCAACAAAAAAACGAGGTTCTATTTCTTTCACTTGGACTATTCATCACTTATATAATCAACTTCATCGTCATGTGGTTCATATCCCGTGCTCTTGCTTCGAAGACACTTAAAATAAAAATGAAGCAATGTCATAGATCGACTCTAGGAATGTTGTTGTCATCAAAAAATGGTTGCGAAATGAGATGAAAATATATTAATTTAATCATTGTTGCTGATTTTAAGTTGTGCAATCTATAACAATGTCACAATCCAGATCTCAATCTTTTTCTGTAGTCTTATATAATAATAATTGTCGACTCAATTTTCCTGTTGCATGCATGTGCCCAAGAAAGACCAAAAAATATTATAAATTACACTTACATTAAACCGATCAAGAAAAGTGAACTCAAGAGCATAGTAAAACTAGAAGAAAGATAAATAAGATCGACTAGTTATATGCGAGGAAAACTTGACAGATAAACTTATATCATATGTTCCAAGACAACATTAAATAACAACGTATAATTATGCTTATAAAAATATCATCAAATCATCATCAAATATAAACCGACATTTGACTCGTATTTGTGATATCTACAGCATGAAACTAATTAGATATAATCACATAATCACATTTAATCTTAAAACAAGATGGGAGATGATTTAGTTCGTAGCTAAATATGTGAAACTAAAAAAATCTAGTGAAAATCTTTGCAAGAATTCTGTTAACGTTTCCCTAAATATGAAAAAAAATGAATTGTTGGCCATTTTTCTTTTAACATTAAAAAGATGAACTTGACGATATATAAGAGACATCTGGATTCTATATTGTTGCCCGGTACGCTCGCGATAATTCACTTAAAATGGTAAAGTTCAACTTGCTAGCGCTGAAACTGCAAATCTCCCGCTCAACAGGAGGTGATAAAATATAACAATCAGTAAAACAAAAGAAATATAAAAAAATACGCATGACTGTGTTGTTGACTGTGTTGTATCCACAACACCGCACAATAGGGAATGTTGATGTGAATAAGGGAATGTTGGTGTAAAGTAGGGAATGTTGATGTGAATAAGGGAATGTTGGTGTAAAGTAGAGAATGTTGATGTGAATAAGGGAATGTTGGTGTAAAGTAGAGAATGTTGATGTGAATAAGGGAATGTTGGTGTAAAGTAGGGAATGTTGATGTGAATAAGGGAATGTTGGTGTAAAGTAGAGAATGTTGATGTGAATAAGGGAATGTTGGTGTAAAGTAGGGAATGTTGATGTGAATAAGGGAATGTTGGTGTAAAGTAGGGAATGTTGATGTGAATAAGGGAATGTTGGTGTAAAGTAGAGAATGTGCACTTACTAAGAGTAGAACAAAAGCGCAATAAAAAACAACCAGGATTGAGATGAAGAACAACAGTGCAACATTTTTCGGTAAACTCGTCTAGAAGTAGAAATTAAATTATACAATCAGAAATTGAAAAAAATGTTGAATCAGGAAAGATTTTCTTTGGTCAATTTTATAATAATCGGAAGCAATTTGACACAGGCTGTCCAGGTACCCATCCCCACCCCCCCCCCCATTTCGAGCAGTTGAATATTTGATACAGGATATTTAGTTAGCAAGATTTTGATGAAACATTACAGTGTTTCGCCGACAAAAAAGAAGTTGATTCCTAATTCACAATGGAGGACAACCCATGAAAAAGCGCACATAATCCTTAGAAGAAATAACATGTACATTGTTAAGGAATTCAAGAACAGCAGGTAGGCAAACACTTTCACAGTAGTCTGTTGCTTTTCAAAATAAATAGTTTTTGAAATATTAGAGGAATCTTACACTCTAAGTAAGCTAGCCGAGCTAAAGTTCGAGGCAAAAAGAGTGGAAAAAGGGAAACAATTTACCTTCCGTTTACAAAACTGCCCATCACTTCTGTTTTGTTCGTAAAGTACAACATTGGTAGCAATGCGAAGGGAAGCTTAAAAAATAGAAAACAAAGTACAGAACAATGTACTGAATGGCATGCATGCTGAAGCGAAGCTAGTTTAATGGCAAACCCAGGTCTCGTGCACGTATTTTCTTCATTTAAACCTGGAATAACTACTGCGTGCAGAAAAAACATATATCTAATATGCAAATATCGTGAACAATACCTGCAAACTTTGTAAGACATTGAGAAAATCATTCATTCCAGTGAGATTATTGATTCCTAAGAAACCAGCAACTGCCAAAGTCGGTCCTATTGCTATAGACCGAGTAAATAGAACTCGTTTCCAACGTGTCCAAGACATTTTGAGAAAACCCTAAATCGTGTTTGTTTTGACGAAAATAATGAAAGAACATTGCTGTATAATTTCAGGAAGTAATAGAATGAACTGCATGCATGGTATATCATATAATACTGTTGAGGTTTAAATTGTCATTTCCAGAGCAGGAAAGAGTGAGAAAAATAAAGCACTTTCTAGGATTTTTAGGGCAACTAATTTTTGGTCAGGCTACTTGTATTTGTTAGATGTTAATGTTATTCACCTCCATAGCAAATTGACCAGCATAGGTTCCCTAAACGTAAAATTTAAAACATGTTTTTAGACATATTCTTTAACATAACGATCAAGATTTTATATGTCTATTTACTTTCTTTAACTGATGTTTTCAAGGACTACACAAAACTTCATTTGCAAAAGTATAACGAAAGCATTGAAATAATTCACAAACTGCGCTTACAGTCATAGTAGAACTCTGTCCAGCGGCTAGGATACCAATACTCCATATATATAACGCCGCGACACCATATTCACAACCAAGGTATATTCCCTTTAGACACATTCAAAAAAATATAAAAAATCCTCAGTTTCCAATAGGTTTGAATCACAAAACTGACAAGAAATTTCATGAACAAAATAGGGCCACCTGTTCTCGTAGACATGGGGACCGAGGTATAACAACAACAGCAACGACAGCAACGTACTGTAAGCATATCTATTACACTCAATACCAATATTTCTTAAACATGGACAAACTTACGCCTTATAAGATCTCCATCAACTACGTCTGTATTATTCTAAGATAAATATTAATTGCATTTAAAAAATGCACCTGGCGTACGTTTAAAATAATTATTATATTGTTAATCGCCATGCAAAATTACAACATTATTACAGTAATGGACGTATATTATCAATATTATTCATGCATGAGCACTGAGCAGCACTATGCAGAGCTGGCACAATATAAAACATAGAATACTTTCTACACACATATTTCTATCTCATGTTCCATACAGATTATGGTAAATATAGAACATTTAGGTTACCAATTTTCAAATACACTGTATAGAAAATCTGGATTAGAAACTCACGTCAAAAATGCCTTCATAACGAATGTCATATGTCGCATTTTGGCAAATACCAATCTGTAAAAAATTAAAACTTGCAGACAAAAAATACTGCGTGGAAAAGACATAAACATTCACACGAAGAATGGAAACTACGAGTTAAAAAATTGATGATTAAGGTTTCAAACATCAAAAGATGAATTACAATCTAAAATATTTGGCACTCACCACATCCTTATTAGTCTTATTATAAAATCCCTTTAAAAACAAAAAAATACGTTGGTTCACTTTTACGAAAGGCAAATCAGCGTTTATATACATAAACAATACAGTATTGTCATGCACCATTGTAAATAAATAAAACAATACACGAACCTCTGCAAAAACAGCAACGACAAATAAATTAATCAGAAAAGAGACAAACAAGGCGATTCCTTTAATTAAATTGAATTTAAAGAAATCATGAAAAAAGGGGAACGTGGTCAGATCAGAGCTTAGCACATGGGGCAATCTCCCCCCGGGCCTGAGGTTTAAGGGGCCCTAAAACTCGTTAAAATACTGCATATTATGTTTTGTCAATAAACAGCTCATATTAATTATCAGAAAACAGTAGAGTGGAAGAGAACAACGTTAAAAACAGAAGGATTTATACCTGATTCAATGGTGTAATACATGTTCGCTTCTTTAATTTCTTGATGTTTACTTCTGTCAACTTGTCGCGACTAAAATGCAAGTCAGAAAATCCTCACAAATTTTGAACTACAAAGCTACGTAAAAAATTCACTTTTTCTTCCTGACGCGACTTGAAAGATATATTGTAGAAATCCGAATCTAGGGTAAATTGCAATTTCTTGTAGGTACGTCTTATTCTGAAGAGACATTACATGGAAGATATAGATCATCCCCATGCATACAAAGTGAAATATCTCAATTAAAGCAATAAACTGAATTGTGGATGTTTTAACGAATCAAATTTACTCATCATTACTGTATAAGAAATGCTGAGTGAAATAATTACCTTGACAAGGGCTGAATGCAAGTAAAAGTTGTGTGGCATAATGACTGCACCAACTATTCCTACAGCTTGTTTCCTGGCTTTTGCAGTGCAGTTATCACAACCAGGTATAAACATTCCTTTCACTACGGATGCTTGATTTGGTTTAACAACACCATACTGAAATAAAGCAGTAGCGGTAACACATTTTTAAATGACGATGTCGATACGCTGTGAACTTTACAATTATATACACGCTGTCTGCTGTCATTGAGTAATACAACTGTTTACGAATGTGACTTTTAACAATTTTAATCAAATGCAAAACAAACCTCGTATCCAAATGTTACTGCCATAACTGTAATTAGGAAGCCAAAAAATACTTCAAGTTTCCTTAGACCTGAAAAAAAACATTTCATACGTGCATCTGTGATATTATACATTTAGCCTATATATAGTTAAGGTTGCTTAACTATATATACAACAACAACCAAAGGTCAAAATTCATACCCTATGGCTATATATAAGGCTCGATAGCCAAGTTGTTATTTAAATCGTGGAGGAACACTGAGAATATTTAAAATAATGACAACATTGTAAAAATATTTTCAAGGATTTTACAAATACACTTACCATATTTATCTAAAAAGAGGAAAACAAACGTATCCATGATTGTAATAAGTACGCCAGCGTACAGAGGAATTCTAAAAGAGAATAAAATACATTGGTATAGTTTATTTAATTGCGCTGTAGAACAGAATTGGAAAAGAAAAAACGTAAAAAAACTACTAACTTTCCGTTTGAAAGAAGATAAAACGCTATTGCAGTTCCAATGACTTCCTGTAACAAAAAAAATGCAAAATTGAAAATTCATATTGTAGCACGCGCAGTTTTTGATAATGTGAATACTCAAAAGTCTGCAGCCAGCTGTAGTACATACCTGCATGTCGCTGCCAATTATAGCAATCTCCACCATGATCCATAATATAATCCGCGGTACTTTTGGGTATTTCTCGTAACATAACTCTGCCAAATGTTTTCCTGTAAAAAAGACCCAGCACAGTTGTTTTTTAGCGAGTAATGTCACAATTACTCACGATGGCGACGTTGTATAAGAATATTGTTTTGAAGTATTCTTGAAATGTGCGAGGCAGTGGGCCAAAGCCAAGGTCAAAGGACTTTTTGAATGGTTTAAGAAGACTTGGACAGTATAGTAACACATTTCTTCAACATTTCCTACACAAATCTCTTTGCCTGAAAACCTCGTTGCAAACTTATCTCTCCTTCTAAAATAAATTTTACTTGCCAGTGATTGTTCCAAGACGAGCTGACAGTCTCTGGAAATGCAAACAATGTTGTTTAATAAAATTCTTGTAATTATAATATAACACGTTTGTAGGTAAACTAATTATAATAATCAAATATACAGGTGCAACTAAGTTGACCTAACTTCAGGTTTCCAATTTAAACTTATAATGATATGATTATCTGGCCTCTCCTTTCTTCGCTAATCTCTTTTGCAATCTTTGGTCCACAAAAAGGTCGCATTTCTTGTATAACTTAAATACCATGAGAATGAACGAGAGAGCATATGGAAGGCATTACTATCTCTCAAGTTCAGATCACATATACCTGGTATCCAATTCCAACTCAAAAGATATCATTTATTGTAAATCAAGTTTACACATAAAATTTGACTACTCAATGGTCACATTTATTACATACAGTAATTTCTGAGACTCTAATGATATTGCTCACCTGCATCAAAAATCCAATAAATGTTGCTACCATGAGAACCCATAGGAGCTAAAATAATGATAAAAAAATAACATACTTCAAAATTATTTTTATGGTGCACTTACTCTACTTTCAGTTGAACCATTTGTAGATAGTTGGTTAAGAGATCAAAGGATTATGAATTATATTATAATCTGGGTGCAAATTAAAGCAATGATGGAAAGCAAATATTATACTTAATTAATATGTTACAATCAGTTGTGATTATTATTAATATCATATTATACCACAATCAATACCTTAAACTCTGCAGTAGTCCCAGACTGAAGATCTGATTCAATATTTCCCGGATCAAGATACGCAATACTCATTAAGAATCCAGGACCAGTAAATGCCCAAAGACGTTTAAAACTGAAGCCATACTAGAGGACGGAATGATAGTAATAATAAGCGACTATGGTTTGTTACTATGCCAGCTTTACTAGGGTTATTACTAGTATGTCTACAATGCCTTTTGTTGTCTTATTCAAAAACAAAACTAAGAAACAAAAACACAGTATTTTACAACATCTTAATGCACTTCAACTTACATCTCTGTCTGCCTCGCGAGGTATTGGTATTCTTGATTCAAAGTATGTTGTCTTGTGATCATGACCTTCCTTGTTTTTATTATTACTTGCACAGTGGTCTGTTACATTACTACCTTGACTTCCATCACAGGTTGCTCCATAACCTTAAAATATACACATTCATTTAGTGGGGTTCCAATGTTGCTAGAATTTTGATTTAATACCTTCAGCATTAACTGCACCATTGTTAGATTGAAGACTGGCTTTTGTTTCATTCATCTCATTCATTTCAGCACTTTCTATGACATTGTCTTCCTAAACAAAAACCAACAACAAACAAGATGTCATATATTTATATTATCTACTGCTATATACATACACTATTATATTATTATTAGTAGGTACATACACTATTATATATATACATACACTATTATATATATACATCAATGTTATTTAAATGTTAATAAACAAACTTTCTATAACTATGTTTGTTAAGCATATGGCTAACTGTACGTTAGAGCAAGGATTGCATGCTTTAAAATAATTTAATTTAGATTTTATCAAATCACAGTCAAGTGATGATTTAATAATACGTCCAAATACATGTTGTTATACAAATATGCCTTACTATGGTTGTAGGGAAAGCAAATTCTCTAAAAGCATGATTGCTTTAACATGATCTTCCAAATAAAAACGTTCTGGGGACAGAGATATTGTAAAACAACTTAAACTGATTTTGTGAGTTTAAACTGTTCTTTTATATCAATATCTGTTCAATTTATCTTGATATGCCACAGTAAACTTACATTGAATTAATTTGAAGCTTTCCACAATGGACATTGTACACCACTGTGTTTGGATGGTCAACATACAAAAGTATCAACTGTTTATTGTATTGTGATTGTTGTATAGAACAATAAATATGACATATTTAATATCACGTGATATGAATGTGTCAAAAAAATTAAATTGCCAAATTCATCTCAATTTTAATAATTTTACAATATATACTTATCAAACACTGATCTAAAATCGACCATTATTTATCTTAACACACTTCCTTGTCTTCCTTAAAATTTATACATGAATATACATGAAAATGTATATTACAGACAACAAATTATTGGAAACTGTGAAACGGAAGTCTACATTTCATTGGAGTCGAGAAAGCACATTAAATATAATGCCCGTGAATATTTACCTTAATATAAAAAAGAAATCTTACCGTAATCATCTCGAAAACATTGGGAAGATGGGGATGGAATTTTTATCAGGAATGATATAAAATTGATACACTCTTGATCATTCCATTCGTTATTTAATTGGCCTGTCTCGTATTGACGTTCAGGTATTTGTATTACGCAATACAGGCCTGAAATTTAAATAGCTTTTCATACTAATGGAGTTTATACTATATAGAAGTAGCTTAAAATAGAAAAGCGCAAACGATCATATCCCTTCCATACTTTTATAAATTTCAACAGATTTTTTACAATATACCTTTGATCACATGTACACATTATTGAACGAACCAGTCTCTTCTGACCAGAGATCAAACTAACGTTACGTAATATTTTTCCATGGCTTGTATAGATGATATAAGTGTGAGCAAGCGTGTGAGCACATGCGTCACATCACTCACATGATTCTCACATGACAACTTTTTATTGATATATGCTAAAAAATGTCTAATTTGGTAATTTTAAATATTACTTGGACAAAATTAATTCGTTTTTAACATGATATTAATTTATTCATTGTTAATTTTATTTCTACTCACTCTATTCCCTGTGGTAATAACTCTCTCGACTCGAGATCTGATGGTACCTAGGATGGTACATGATAGCTAGTCTTCTTCCACTTCTTCGTCCGTCGCAAAGCGATGAGGACAATCTTTACATCCTTGGGGTGGGGTGGTCAAGGTCTGTGATCTGATGAGTGATAGCATTTTAAAATCTATCGTTATTCGTTATTATTGTCGAGTTTTTGTCGAGTCTGTCTTGACATTCTTGAATATCAAGAACACAATTAGATGTTTATACGTCGTACGAAATTTTAACATATTTCCAAGCAACCACAAAGCTAATACCACACCAACATTTCAACTCAGTCAGTAAACTACCCAGAGTCTCGATTTCGAACATAGACCATAGATTAACACCACTGAGATTAACACCAGATTAACACCACTGAAATCTATGACGTCATCACGTCAACCAATGCAATGCTACGTTACCATGACAACATTTTCAGTGGAACATTTCATGATCAATGAAAGAAAATATGAAAGAATGTTTCAAAATGCTCTGATCGCTGAGCTCTGATCTTTTGCAACGAAATGCAATGAACAGTATACAGTATACGAGGGGAAACCTTTCACAATTTAAGCTAGTATTAATTGAATAAAATCTCAAGCAATGTATTATTCCAAAGAAATAGACGTAAAAGAGAAATTAAATGAGCAAGTGAGTCAGAAAACTTTACAAGATATTGAAGATTTTCTACTGCCAAAATTTGATACGAAACTACCTGACAGTAGAAGAAAGTGGAGAATTGTTCAAGATGGACACGGTAGATGGCGGGAAGTAAAAATTGACTTGCAAGATGAAATGCAAGGGAAATACAGAATTCCAGATAAATGTTTACCAAACGAAAACAGTATAACTCAACCTAGAAACAAGTTATCATTCTCAAATAACATGCTAAATTCAGTAAAAGGACCAGTTGTTGCACGGATTGACAAAAGTGGCAGATCATCAAGACAGGATTCAAACTACAAAATGCTCTCAACCAACACTCGAGCTAACATTTTCCCTGGTAAAGGTAAACATAACTGGTTTAGCCAATCAAATAATGTGTACACTCAATCTGCATTGAAGTTGGGAGATCAAGGTGGACATGATCTACAAGATGGGTTTTATGGGATCACTCGGGATGCTTTAGGAGCATGGAATGAAGCAAGTGTGCATCATGAACGGATGAAAAAGGCATGGGATGTATATCTGGAATCTATAACAAAACCTGGAGCGGGTAGGTAAGGGTAATTCATTTTTTTCAGAAATTATTTCATATTTTCCACTTCAATATGTTCTTGAAATAGATCTTCGATCATATTGTATAAGTACAGTTTAATTTATTTCAAGAACATATATTGAAGTACATATACTAGTATAAAGGACCTTCCTACAAAAAAGGGCACAAGGTTGAAGATAGATGTGCATTGTCATATAAAGGAACAACTTTTGGTGATGATGTCTTTCCCTGATGTCTCATATATTAGAGCAATACAAAAATATATGTGATATACCATGAATTAATTTGGCTGCGGACAACCTTGGTTAGCTGCTTAAAGTTGTAATGAAATGTAGTTTTTATAAGAAGTACATATGGTTAATGTATATTTCATTTTATCATTTCTGTGTTTTAGTGTTAAGGAGAAGAAAAGAGCCTGATCAAAACAATGTAGATGTATCTAAAGTTATCAAAGAAACAAAGAAAGTTAAAATATCAAATAAAAAACAAACTCATAAAGAAACTGGTGAAGAAATTAGACATAATGAAAATGAATTTAAGGTTGTAGATGATAAGTCAAATACTTTGCAAGAAACACTAAACAAGGATGATGATTTTTGGGATTTTTACGAACAACCTTTTTCCAAATCATAATTTTAGGTAAAATGTAATTAACTGTTTGATTCTATGTATTATAATAATTGACTCTATATTGGTAGAAAAAAAATAATAGCATCACTTAGATTTCATCTCGTCTTTTTTATTGTACGTCCCTTGCGGGTAACGCGTTGCTTCTTTATATATAATCATGGTCATGCACACAAATAAATATTTTTGTGTTTTCATTTTCCATTCGGCCTCCATCCTCTCTCATGTATAGTCACTTCTCCTATCTCGTTAAATTATAAGCTCTGTTCATCCTTTCGTACGCCGCTATGTGATCAACTTCCTATGTACCTCTAATTTCTTTAGTTCTTTACTCATCAGTCCCAAAATCAATCATGCGAATGGTCAAAAACAAAATTTAATAAATATTATCGCGGTGAAAAATAATTTCAAACAATTTTAAAGCAGCTTCGTTGAAGATTTAGAAGTTAACCTTTGCAATATCGTAGTTACCAAACATGCAATATCAATGCTAATTTCAAATTACATTATAAAGAAGAAGTTAACCGTATCTAACGATTGCAAAAGTCGCATGGACAATTCCATTTTATCGTGTTTTCAACATCAAAAGAATACATATCTTGATTATCTTCGGACTCAGATAATTCATCACTCTTGGAGTTGTTGTGTTGAGTGGTGCTTCTTTTGTTCCTGGTTTGTGCGACGTCCAGTTTCCATGGACAAAACAAGGAAAGCAATACAGGAAGAAAGACCAGACCATGAAGTAAACCAAGGATAACAATGGATACCAGAATACGAAATAACAACTGGAATAACTTGGATTCAGAAAATGCTATAACAATCAATCCCAGAAATGTACTGAAGCCTGAAAGAAAAGTTGAAAGAAAATTATCATTCAAAAAGTTTTCGTCCCTTCGAACCCTAAAACTATCGACGCAGAGAAACTTAGGAGTGAGTCGATGTAAAATTATGACGATTTTGCTATATCGTACATGGCGTCACTTTACTAAATGCTAATAGCTTACCTCCCCAAAACACACTGGATCCAACGGTTGCCAACGCGTGTACAGTTCTTTCTTTTGCTGTTTCTTGAGGTGAAAGAATGAACGCGTGTGCAATATGAGCGCTATAATCAACTGAGTAACCAACCGCCATAACAAAACCAACCATTGCCAGGGTATTCAGTGGTACAGCGCAGAGATGAAGAACACCCAGTAGTTCGATAACAAGAATACGAAGTTTATGAATACCAGAAATATTGCTACAGGGTGGACCAAATATACACTGGTTATCAGGACTATTGCGAGCGATGAGAAGAAAATATTTTGTATCGTTCTGGTAGAGTTGACAAATAAGTTTCAAAGCTGAGAAACTCTTTGGCTATAGCGAATACTGGCAATTTTGACTTTGTCTTTAAATCTTCCCTTATTCCAACCATAGCCTGACACATTTCTATTGTATCCGTGGTACTTTTCATGTAGACATGAACACGAGATGCAACGATTTCTGTCCGATTTTGCGAGAAAACTATATCTTGATTAAACTGACGGAATGCAGGGATGGTGAGGAACGTTTTTAAGGAGTTGATAAATTCTCTACCAGTTGTCTTTATATTGTATGTGCTCGACCACATCCTGAAAGCGTCCATCCATGAAAGGGAATTATTATTATAAAATTGGTTTCCCTCGCAATGCTGGATAATCTCAGCACCTCATTTTGTGTATTCCACGATTTGTAAGAAATTTTCGTATCGATAATTATGTCGACTTCCAAGGATTCACTGTAGTATTTCTCGAATGTTTGCAGATATTCTTCCAGGTAGGAACCGGGTTTCGCAATTAAGTCGTTATCAAACCTCTGATCTATTTTTTCCTCCTATAAGTCCACACGCAATCATCCAACTAAAAGAAGAAGAACAACAATTTTTGATGGAGTACGCAAAATGAATTCCGCCCAAAGCTTCATAATTCTGTCCGCCATCAAAAATATATTCTTTCTCTTTTTGTGTCTTTCCCTGTCAAGGGCTGGCTTTTCTTCCTCTTCCTCTTCGACGGCTAAGCAAGGCAAGCAATCTAATCTTCCAGTTTTAATCCGTCGTCCGTCTAGAGACAAGGCTGCCACGAAGAAACCAACAACGAACAAGTACGAGAATGTGATACAAAAAGTCGCGTACAGACAGAAGTAACGCAATGCCAGAAACGTTGTCGATGTACTTATCACGTATGCAGCTAATGTGGTAACTGTTGTCATGGTAATAGACGAACCAGTATTAGTCATAACGATGCTAACACAACGCACAACAGACATGCCGCGTGGTAACCTATCAAACTCGTTTACGATAATAAACATGTCATCAAGTCCAATACCGAGGATGAGGAATGGCAGGAATCCCACGATGCTTATGAATGGTACGCCTAACCACATTCCAAATCCTAAACCACATACTATCCCATAACTAACAGCAATCACACATGAAGTAGCCAATAACGCATGTCCTTGCGTAGGTTTGACAAAATTTGCTGAAGCCAGACATGCAAAAATGATCATGCTTAAAAATGTGACGAAGAACAAACTTAAATCAGAAAACGAGCTCTCATTAACAGCATCGTCAATACTTCGAGCACTGCTGTAAAACACGTCCACAAACTTAAACTCCTTGCTTAGTTTAACGACTGAGTTTAGAAAAGCTTTTTCAAATGTCAATATTTTCTCGTATTCTGCATCGTTAGATGGATCTTTCATGACGTAAATCATTTGCAGGGCATCAGCCTTTTTAATCTTTCCACTACGTTGATCTATCATAAGACTTGTGCCAAATATTGCAGGAAAGTTATAATATGCTGGTCGATTATTTGACATAAGATAAGATTTATTTCTGTAGGCAGATGTTAGCTTAGTGGCGATATTATTTAAGTACGCTGGATTAAAATGGATTTCCAAGGGTGTAATTGTTACACACTGATTGCCAGTGAAAGGATCTTTCATACAATATTCTTTGTAATCTTTCAGGCTTGTGATAGCTCTATGCAAGCGTAGAGCATCCAAAAAACAATCTTTAGTCAAAACGCCTTGAGGGTGTTGGCTCTTTGGTCTGAGTAGAACCATTTCTCTTCGAAATTTAAGCGGGAAATATTTATTCCCTCTTGTTAAGTCTTTCTCCGCCTGACTATTTTGAGGATTGTATAGTTTAGCTGTATTCTTCTCAAAATTAATAAAGATAAAGCCAGTGGCGAAGAACAAGACTAGGAAATGAGTGAGAATAATAACACACCAAGGATGTTTAGCTATCCATCCACCAGCTTTACCAAACAAAAATGAAATCCACTGAAGAAGATGTGTGCAACAAAATTTCCAAAATGAGAATGGATTCTGACATTTCTCCTTTGTTTCTCTACAAAACAGAAAACCCTCATTAGAATTCAATTGCCTCCTTTTGTACGTTTTAATATCCCGAGATGTCCACTGACTAAAATATGACGTGGTCACTGACTCGCCAACTGCATGTCTGAAAACAGTCTTTAAATGAAATTCCTCCCGTCGTTCAATGAATAGATCATTTTGTTGAACTCTAATTCTGGTGGTTTGTTGTACGTCTATGCAACTATATTCAATATAAATTCACCTTGCCATTTCTTCTTTGACTAAATGTGGTTAAATATGTTCCCAACGCTTCTCAACCAATCTGGAATTATTAATAAAATTTTTATGAGTAAAATCACATGTGGTAAAATAAAAGTAATAGAAATGTCACAAAATTATTTTAAAAGTCTCCTCCACAGAGGGTTTCTTCTGTAAACGCAGTAGTTACACAATACTTGGTCGAGTAGTGTTCGGTGATTTTCGCTCTATCTTTGTAAACTCTGGTGATTATTCATTGCACACTGCACGTATCCTGGTCATGATCCTGGTAGAGCAATTTTCCATTCAATTTGTTATTCTTATTTCAATAGTGGAGAGGTCATTGAAGTTGACATTGTATTATGGGACTTTTTTCATGACGTAAATAAACTCAAAAATAGACCCAAGTTTTACTACAAATCTCATTCTTGTCAGGCGCAATGTCAGAACGGCCACTTAATTGTTTCTGCAAGTTCAATCAAATAGTCCATAAATAATATCTAATTAAAGATTCTACCGCAGGTGGTATAAGTATTTTTCTTAAGTTAGTCTTCCAGAACGGAAACCAACTGAGCGCTCAGCTTGCTAGAAGTTTTGGTTTGTATAAATCCCTGTGCAAAGTGGTGTATTCTATATTTCTACCAATATTTATTGAACATATACTGTTATTAAAACACTACTCTAAATTAAATGGCAAAAAACTACTTAATTAAATAGTTATATCAAAATGTCGCAGCCTGTAAATACACAATTTAATCCTCGAGTATAAAGAGTCGAAAGAAAACAAAACTTAATGAGAAATCAAGAATTTCTACTCCACAGGTAGTGTAATAGCTATTTTTCATACGACAATCTCGTAATAATTGTATAGTTTCAGTTTATACTTTTAAGACTTTAATACAATAAACGGCGAAAGACGCGCAGTTCGTGATTTTTAGATTCAATTTAATTACCGCAAGCAGTCGGTACCACATGCGGACTACAGTAGGTTGATGCAATAATGCATCTTTCTCTTTAACTGAGTTATTAGGCTGAAAAATTTGAAATTCCTCAGAAAATATCCTGCAAATTCAAAGCAAAAGAACTGCAAGTGCAAGTCAGCCGAGTGAGCAGCCTTCGAGAGGGTGATTATAGAATACTGCGGAAACTCCAAAGTAAAAAGGCCTGGTTCGATAGAATCACGGATGAAAACAATTTGAACATTAAAACTTAAATAATGCTGCATGTGATATACATAAGTATAACATACCGCTTGGTTTTTTATACAATACAGCTAATAGGAACTTTAAGAAAATAAATACGTAGCTATTACCCTATAAACCCAACTTTGGCTGTATGAACTTACTCAATGTCATGAAAGCTTTAAAACCTGGACTTACCGAAGAATAAGAATCCTTTTTTCAGCTTCAAAAGTTTTAAACGAATAGACAGAGCAATAATTTTGAATCACAATAACTTAGATTAGTCAAAGAGAGAAGCGTCTGACTTGTTGTTACATGCATGCCATCGCTACTAAATGTTTTATGCTAATGACGCGTTATTAAGTTTTTTTTAAAAAATGCGAGCTTCATTGATTTTGGCATTATTGCGTACAAAATTTCCATTGCTTCATGCTGTGATATATGATTGGCAATAAGTCGCTATAAGGATTATATGAATGCGGCGACGCTTCGTGTAAAAAAGTACCTGAAATTATATTATAATTGTGTTTCACACTTTATATGTAGAGGGGTTAGAAAAGTGAGGTGTAGGTACAAGGTCATACTGGAATAATTCATTTAAGACTAAATAAAGCAAGTGAGAAACTAGAAAAGTCTCATTATTTTGATCTACGATTGTATCGTAGATGAGGATTGGTAGAGACATTGATGATATATAAATATATCTAACAAAATGAACAAACTTAGAATGATTATACAATAAGCAATCAAATCTTGGTTTTCGAAGAGGCACAGTTTTTAAAGCTGATGATGCAGGATAGAGTCGGGCCACCATTGACAGTCAAAAATGGAAACAATTAAGGCTATAACTAAACTATTTTACTCTACGGTTTGCAGTGTATTTACAAAATAGAAAATGAACGTTCAGAAACAAAATGAGATAATAAAGTTCTATTTCCAGATTCTATCCAGTTATCATAGCAGTTTGTTCTGAACCTTGGATGCAGGTTTTTCTTTCCTCCTTTTCATCTTTTACAGTATCCCATTCAATCTTAAATCGAGTGACTCTCGGTTCAGAAGAAAGAATATTTCTTTGCAACTAAACAAAGCACATAAAATTGTCAACTGTGGATCACACTTTCAAAATTCTAATGATCCACATCGTCAACAAGAAAGAACACTTTCAATTGATAATTGACTTTAAACTCACAATCTTAATTCTCAAATTTGATTTTGAATTTACAATAACAAGATTAGTTGTACTTGAGCCATGAACAACTTGCAAAGCAAATGTGTCAGCTTTTACAATATAGCTTATATTTATAGGAGTTGAATTTATACACTTTTGCAATTAATTTACAAGTACAAACCTTCTGAAAATCTGTTTTATCTGGTGGATTTTCTTTTAGTTCAGGATCAATATATTCATTATTGATGTAGTATCCAATCCTCACAAACTCCTGTCCTCGATATGCACAAGTTAGAAGAAGCACTGTCACTCCAATTGCATCTTGAATTGGGATTCTTTTTGGGTCTGGACTGTCAGCCTGCAAGAAATGAAGAAAACTTTGTTAACTCTAATTGGGTAAATCACAAAAAAATGCTATCAATGCTGCACAAAAAATATTTATCATACCACCTGAAATACAAACATATGTCTTCCCTCAGGAACTGGTCCAACCAAAACAGAATCCAGTACTTGATCATGATCAGAACTTTCAGCAGAACCAACATATATAAGTTTCCACTCTAGATCTGATAGAGAAAAACAAAATCTTATTTCACTATACCAGCAATATCAGCTGTTGCAATGAAAGGAGATTGGTATCAGCGAATGGCAATCAAATATTCATGAGGTATCTTTCTAGTATAAAGTTATTTTCTGCAACACAACAACATCAAAACCTACATTTAAAAAGATTTGCCACTAAAGTACTGTCACACCATTATATATATCCTCATTGTCTCATGAAAACCAAAAACCTTAGCTATCAGAAATGCCAGGACATTGGGGATCCATCAATTTTTAACGTAAAATTTGAATACTTACTTCAGAAACATGTTATTGTACATTGTCTGAGTGTTAATAACGTTCTTTAGGATTGTGGCAACAGAAATATTCTCACACAAGTTTAAATACGAGTCTACCCATCATTCCTTGGCATCCCTGCTCGTTCAGTGCAGTGATTCATGAGGTTTATGATCGTGATTTTGTAGCAAAACTATCGCTGTATTAATCTCACAATAATGCTAACATGATTAACAACTTCAAACCTCTTACCTTCGCTAAGATCCTCCAAGCATTCAAACGTAATTTCAAATTGAAATGGATTGAAATATGGCGAAGGATTATCAAGAACTGTCACATTACAAATATTAACTTTTGCCATTCTGATTTTGAGTCAAATCTTAGGCAGTTTGAAATGGATTGAAATGAAAATTATAACCAATGATTTTTCATGAATTAACCAGCAATAATAAGAAAATAAAAGATAAATAAAAAGAAGAGCCAAAATACGTATTAAAATTTCCCGCACTCTTTTCCCGAAGTAAGACTGATCTCAATATAAACTGGACGTGGAATAAGTGGCAACGCACTTCCTTTCATAGCGCGGCCGCGTGGCATGATAATGAGGTCCATAGATATGATAGATATATCTATGGGTTATTCAGACTGGCAGCCCTGTGCAGACAGCACAGTTGTAGTTTGATCACAGTCAGTAGACACCGAGAACTGGGCAAAAAGAGCATTTTGCGAAATAGCGAATTGTTAGCGAGAAAATAACGTGTTACAATACTGTGAAGTATCAAGAACTGGCTAAATAAAAAAGGACGAAATCAAATGAGAGATACAACGCACCACGTACTCAGGCAACCTTGTACCCTGGCCTGGGTCTTTTCTTTCATTTATTTCCCTGGGTACGACCAATGCCCCCCTTCCCTGTCTTTTTTCAGCTTCTGGCTGCGCTCCGCACATTTGCCGATAAGATTACTTCTTGAATAGCATAAATAATCATATATTTTGATGTTATACTTACACAATAAGTTAAATACAACAAAAATAGAATTTATTCAACATGTATGATGCAGTTTGTACGACTTTTACGCCCTAAAATTTTTTAGAAGGACCCTTCATCAAATACCTCGCCAATAGTACAAAGACAGAAGTATTGTTTCTTGAAATGGTTAGTTAGTAGCTAGTTTACATGTTATTTACAAACTTATTATTTAGCCATTAATACTTTAATAGTTTATTTAAATCACTGTACAACCCTCTCAATTAAAAGATCTAACTGTTGATTGTGGGTCAAAAAGAGAACAGCGTGTTCATGGGAGACGCATCGCAAGTTGATCTCATTCACCTGAAATAAAGTTAAAAAAATACGATCTTTTTAACTGCATTTGGAAATATTCTACTATATTCTAGATATTTTACTATAGAGCAATGTGCATGTCAGTATACAAGTTTCAAAGACGACAATCAACTCAATTGGCGAACAAGAAAATGAAGTAGAAGTATGATTTACCTCTAAAATACGGTCTCCTGCACATAATAAATGAGATGAAGGTCCATCTGGATTGACAGAGACCACGTATATACCCTGAATAGAAAATTTTTTTTAGCACAAATAGAATTTACAATAATGAATTATATAGTTTATTTTCTAAAACAGAGGTTCCCTTACTACCTCTCAAGGGGTATCTTAGCTAGTTTCTAAATGATATTACTTTGCCCAAAAGACTTGAAGTTGATTTTAGAAAACTAACAGTATTAAGAATAAAGGAGAAAATTTCTAGTTTGCAACTGATTCCACTACATCTATAAAAAGCAATGTTCTTCAACTTCCGATGAGATCATGCCTCTGAAGTACTTCTTCCTCGACAGAACCGAGAGTTTTTGCAATGCCAATAGGTTTTTGTGTTCTTTTATCATCATCATCATCAAACATATACGTTTTATACAAAACCTCGTCACCAATTTATGTTGGCAAACGTCAAGAAAGTTACCTCGTGAGATCCACTGTTGGCTCCACCACCGATAGTGAATCCAAGACCAGGATTCCGATACACCGTAACTTCAATCTAAAAATATTAAATATAATCATTAAATCGCTCACTTCACTCATTTGCACGTCTCTCACAGACCCACATGAATGCCAGGTTGAGAAAATAAAGCTAGTAAACCGTGGGATATTATGATGTGAATGAACATATATCATTAACGTTCTTTCACTTTTTAACGAAGGTAAATCTTACTTGTGATGTTGAACCAGAAGAAAGCTTTAAGACTTCAAATCTTTTGTTGTCGCCATGATTTTCTCCTAATGTCAAAAAAAGAAATAACGTTGACACGCCTGCTTGAAAATACCCAGTGAGATTTAAAACAATTTGTTAGTGGAATAATAATAAAAATCTACGTTTTGACTGTGTCTTTTTGAATAGAACTAACGAGAAAAGTATAGTAAGAAGTCCCCAGGAAGAGAACCCTTCATTGCTAGCGGAAGAAGAAACGGTGCATGACTATACACATTGACCTTGATAGACATTAAATTCCTAGTTGAACTAAGTACGAATTGTCTGCAAGGTGATTTAAATAACACAAGATATTAACATGAAACTCTCTATTAGATTATCATGCTCAAAGTATTTTTACATTTTACAACAAAGTACAATAGCAGGAAGGCACATTTCATATTATTATCATGCAAACACTGCTTCAGTAATATTGGCCTGGTAAAGATAATATTGTCTTGAAGGTAAAATCTTATATCATATCCCAGTTGAAATCTATACATCTGATATACTGAGTTAGTCCTGAGTAATGTTTAGCGATTTTCCTGACGCCTTATAATACACATCGCACAAACTTTGTATCAAAACACTTCAATTTTACGGATTTATAAAAAAAAGGACATCCGATCATAATCTATAGAGATGTGGCAAAATGCCAGATCACGGCTATTCTTCACTCTTGAGTATCAGGTTTCTATGTGATTTACGAACTAAATGTTGTAAATGTTGTACTAAAAATTGTACAAAAAACTATATAAGGCTATAAAAAATATTCTAATTGGATCTGATTAATAAAACAATCTAGTTTTTAAAATATTTTCAAAACAACCTTGTATTGTCTCTTATCTTTTTGAGAATGATGGCCAATTCCACGGAAAAGTACGAAACTTGATTTTTAGAGAGTGTGGAGTTTAAACCACTTGTCACGCAACAATATACCTAACTATATGGCTTAAAACATTTGAAAAACTGATTTGAAAATACTTCAGAATATTCACAATATAAAGTAGCAAGACAATGTTTCCTTAATGTTCAAGTTCCTCATCCGGTACTTCATGAACAACACAAATAATCTACTTCAGGTTTGTCGTACTTGACGTCTGTGCATACATCTATAAAAACGTAGCTTTGTCCAATATTTCCTTTAATAACACGATGTGAGAAATCTTTAACAAAACACTTTATTCGATCATTTCTATGCTTATCAGTATATTACGTTAATGCCAAGGCAAAGGTCTAGTTTACTTTAGAATTATATTTGCCAACCAATGGAGTATTTTATACCCTATAATTTATCTAACACTAGACTACTTTCGTATGAAGAGTATTTCCATAATCTTTTTATATAAAACATCACGTATGTCGATGACGTTGTTCAATACTGTTATCAACAATGGTCCTAAAATGGTTTCCTATCAAGCCTTATAATTGCTGCTATTTATAAAAGAAACGTGATACATAAAACAATGTAAGTGAGTCGAGGTACGCAGCATTGTTTGATAATCAGATTTAACATTGGATGCCAACCTGTGAATTCATGCATGATTCCTATGAACTCAAGTTATAGGCATTAATTTAATACAAAGACATTGACAAAGGCGGCCAACAAATGTTTTAAATTGCAACAGCAATTCTAGCACATGCGCAAGTACAAACAACCCCAAGTATATCGTATCGTATACCTAAATATATTATTCAATAAATTTCAACCACAATATAGTTCACTACAATGTATGTAATTGACTTGTATGCAAATAACAAACAAATACTGCATGTGAACCTATAGCTATATGTATACTTTGCTCAATGCTGTGACTTTTTGCCAATACAAATATAAATAAACATGATGAATATATAGCCTTCGTCTATACGAGTTTACTCACAAACAATGATGGAATAATTAAAGAGGATTATGGTGACAAAACAGGAAGGATTGCAGGTTAGGTCTGTGGAGTGTTGGCACATACTTGGAGTAAAGGAGTATATAAAAGGTACAGATTCTCGCATAATACTAAACACTACTAAAACAGTACTAAACACATGTAAAAAAAGACACAAACTCACCTTTTCGCGTAACGTGGTGTCCATTCCTTGATAAGGGAGATGCTGCACCAGGAGCGTCCAAATCTGTGACCAAAAGTATTATTTCTTTAGGCTGACTGTTGTTAGGAATCTCAACTTGACAAAACTCTACCAAATGTTTTGAAATGTTCTTTGCAACATCAGAAACATCACAATCCATGGATACTCGCTCATGAACAATACCATTTTGATTTAGTTCAGGAGTGCAAGTTTCAAATTTACAACTTTCAAAATCAAAACCGCTTTGATCTTTTGGTGTGAGAGTCTTGTCATCGATATTCTGAGCTATAAATGAAGCGACATCCTCATTTCTACATTCTGGTGAAAATTGTTTGAAGGTGGTGGTGTCTTCAGTTTCTGCCTTTACCAGTCTTGGTGAGAGGTCTAGAGATTTGTCCGCTTTTTACAGTCACATGTTGTACAGTGGCATTTGGTGTCCTTGTCTTTCCAAACGGTCTGTCTGTGGTTTTTGATTTATTTAAAGACAAATCTTTTTCTACTTGTCCTGTGTATGTGACAGAAATAGGGGAACTTGCTCGATTGTTCAACGATGGCCTAAAATGAGGTGAATTATTTTCATCCTTGCATCTTTCCCTCTCACTTTCAGATGTTGACACATAATCGTGTTTATATGATTGCTCTTTAATGCGGTCACCTTGAGTTCTTTTATCATCAAAATCGTTATTTTTGCGATGCGAATTAATTCCTTGGTTAGCTTTACTTTCTAACGAAGTCTCGTAATGTCCGTTCTCAAAAGACTGCAAAATTCGTTGATGTGACACTAGATTTTGCAAGATTCCGTTTTGTTTCCGTGGTCGGTTTTCAGTATTGTATAAATAATGAGGCTGTTGAAAGCCATTGGGTCTGTCAACAGGTGGTGAACACGCTTTCTGTTTCTTTTCTTTTCCTTTCTTCTTCTTCTCACCATTTTTCACTCGCGATGATCCTAAAGCAAAATCATTCAACTGGATTGCAACAGAGTCGCCATCATCTGAGATAAAATAAACGGAAGGTGACGGAAGGGTTGCGGTTGGATTGGATCGATACTGATAAAATTCGGCATATGACGGCGGATGAATATCGGGAGAAAATGTTAAATCAAGATTTCCAGCTCGACTGAAAGTCTGATCTATATTATCAGCACCGCGAGATGAATGATTTCTACGACGAGATCTTTCCTTCTGCCTTTGTTGTTGCAAAGCACGAATCTTATCTTCATATTTCTGAGTGACTGTGTATTTCTGTTTCTCTGAACCGTCACTGTAGCATACCGCAGGGGGACTCTCGTCGCGTGCTAGTCTCGCTCCAATTAATGGATTTAGTTTGCCTGTCACGCTTTTCTTCTTAATTGTTGGCGATGAACTTTCTAAAGAATTATCTTTCTTTATTGTGCTCCACGATGGCTCGTCAGAGTTTGTGTAGGTTAAACCGAGTTGGTTTAAATGCCTCGTACGTACACGAAGGATTTCCATTTCTATTCCTCTTATTGTTAAATCGTAGTCGCATTGCTTCCTCATTTGATGTGGTCAGATCACAACTCTCCTCTGTTATGTTAAGATTGTTCAAATACTCCAACTCTGATATTATGACTGACGTGTTTCCTTCATTATGACTGCTGCCCTCTGCGTCAACCAATAATATGTCATCATTGCGGTCGTCTTGTGTGGCTCCGCCTGCATCCGAGTCTTTAAAGGAGTGGTCTTGTGCAATAGAAAACAAAGACAAGTCATTAGATCCTTTATTAGATAAACGTATAGTTGTTTCATTTGCATTAATACTTCCTGACGCATTAGTGCCATTTTGACAGGAAGGTGGCAGTGAGTTTGATGCATTAATTAGTTAAAGGAATAATAGCTATATACCTTGATCCTCTACGGACGACTGTCGACAATCAAAACCTTGTTTATTTATCAATCGGTTCAAATGATAACTTTCTTCTTCTGTCGTGTTCTGAAAGATTCAATTCATGAATGGCATTAATTATAGATACAATGAATATTTTAAAAATATATGTTTGTCTTTTGTGGGCAACGATGATTCTATGCATTCAAAACAACTAAGAATTTACCAGCTGCCTGGAATAACAGCCATTAATATTCTCTCAGAAAACATCGACAGAAATGCAAAGATTCCATATTGGAAAAAATCAAATTTGCCTGCATTTTTGCTTCCTTGTTAGACATTTTCTCTTACACAATTTTAGAATTTCAATATTTTAGAATTTCGATATTTGAGTCGACTTTGAAAATATAAACGAAACGATGTTCAACAGGTGTCTCATGAAAACAAATATTAATAATAAGAGGACATGCATGCATGATGCATGGTTTGAATATACATAATGAAGGATATTGAAACTATCAATTCTTATTGAAAAGTCAACTAACTTCAACTAGTCATGAGGGAAATAAATATAAGTATATCCAAGCAATCAAATTAACAAGGAAGAGCGTGCATGGCAGTTCCCCAAGTAAATTTTTTCACATGTGGTAAAGCGAATCCAAAAGTATACAAAAAATCTCCGGACCTTCTCCAAACTTAAGAGCCTTCGACCAACTCTCGCGTAGAGATTGATAGGCCTTGGATCTTAACGCCGAGAATTCTTTGTATACTTCAGGTTAAAACAAATTTTAAAAAGTTATGCGGCTATAACCAGCTGAATTGTTTAGAGGTTGACATAATTTGTGTGACGTTGGTGGAAAGACTGTTCTAGAAACCGTGTATCCGATATGTGACACACACCAAACATTCAACTTCATTTTAATATTATTGACACACGTTCATGTTTTAAATCGGTAACAGAAAAATATCAATTAAGAATATATCAAACGCGTCAAAATGTAAAATTGAATACAACACACGTACGTACATGGGATTGGTTTCATGCCCACTCCCTTCCATATTCATGATCACGTATAGGAAACGCCGGCGAAAAATGTGGACTATGTAGTACAGTTCAGACTATAGTATAACTCAAATTACTCAATCATGCATATATGCGATAAATATATAAGATATATCTATACAAATCGCTTTATCCACGTTTTATATCCGATATCCGACCAATGTTTAAGCGCGATGGTAGGAACAAGTGAAATCATTTGCCGTAAAATATCATACAAATATATACATTGTGCATTTTTCAGATGAGCAATATCAAAGCCAGGTTTATACAAATCAATATCACCGACAGTACAGGCATAAAACGCGTGTTTACATGTAGCTTTATCATGTCCAATATATAGTAGGATGAAAGAATATAGCTAGTATTATAGCTAGTATTTTTTAATACGTTCATTTAAAAATCGTACACAATTGTACATACATGATGTACGAAATTAATATTTTTGTGTGATTGACAAGACCATTTTACTCGGATATGTTAAATCTTTTGTTTATAAACTCAAAAACCAGCTATATATAAATCACAAATCAACGTTATTGATATACATCATGTGCATAGTTATCATCAATGTTAGAGCTAGAATTTGTTTAAATGGTTAAATTTTTGCAGCAGCCAGCAAGATGTAATAACGAGGAACTCCTGTGAAGGCGTTTGTTTGTATCCAACAGAGTCGGGGATATTTGCGATCGTTTGCAAAGGCCGATATCAGAATTAAAGTGAACATCAAAAGATGACGACAGCTACTGTTGAGTTAACGTGGACAGTTGACAGCAATTATATGATAAGTTGAAATTAGTACATTCTTGTCAACTTTATAGGCAGGTTTCCACCCAACAAAAATACCGCTTCTCAAAATGGAGACGGTAAATCATGCTAGAAAATTTCCTTTGTATCAAAGGCATTAGTTAAGGTCGAGAACTCACTGACAAAAAACTTCCTGTCTGGAGAAAGATATTCCTGCATGAGTGGAAACAAGCCTTTTCATAACTTGCATTTATTCACGCCACAGAATAAAAATCTAATCTCGATTAATTTAAGATATTAAAAAACTACTGACATACAGAAACTTTCAATTAGAAAACTTGGCAAATCAGATAACGTCATGCATGAAACGAGAGCAAAATACAATCTTTACAATCTTATATGCTTAAATGTTTATACCCCAGCTGAACCAATATAAATCAGGTCAAACATAAATGATTTCTTAAAAAATAAAAGATTTATTCTCAACTGAACGAGATCAAGTTCCACTCTTTATACTAGTTTACTAATACAGACGTCAGAAGCCTACATGCATGAATAATATAGATTAACCATTTTATATTGCATTTACGTTGAACTATGTATTTACGAAAGCCACAGAAAGAAATATCTTACGGACATTTTGTAGAGTGTTGATGGTTTATTGAGTTTTAAATGTTGCTCGTATTAGTAGGTTTTAATATATAGATATATATTATGTTAATTGTTATACATAAAAAGTTTTCCCCGTGTCTTTTAACTACTAAGTTAAGCTCATTAATTGTATAACTTGTTGCTTGTAGACCGTCTGAAGTAATCACGTTTCTTCATGCAACACCCACCCGTTAATTTAGAGGATGATTGCTCGGCTTGGTGTTATCCTCTCCCGCGGTTTCCAACACTGGTGGCGTCGGCTATTAAACCGCTTGGCGGTTGGGTTTAGCGTATGGCTTTTTCATTATAGTTTGTGAGGTCGGTCGATTAGACTTGCCTACGTCAACTGGACGCGGGCTAGTATGCGTTTTGGGATGAATATTACGTTCCGACTACCTGGCGACGCTGATCTCATTATAATCGTTGTTTGCTCTCTATATCTCATGCGTCTATACTATTGTAGTCCTTGTTGTGACTCAAACCTGCACCTGTTGTGCGCCTTATTACCTGTTCAGCGTGAAAACCCCACGTATTAGACTGATTCGTTACAGTAAGTGCTCAATTTTCTTTCATGTAGTTACATATTGTCATTGCTACCTTGGTTCCTAAAGGTTCGTATATCCGCCTGCCGCAAAATAAATAGAAAGTAAATATAGGAGCATCTGTTACGGATATTATGCTGTTACAGAGATCTCGCGCTTGCTTGCTTCTATATACAGTCTTTGTATGCACAACGAGCATTGCTTGTTCTTGTTTTGAATTTGTAGATTTACATTATCTTGGCTTATTCCGGTTCTCAATTTGGTAAAAATAATTCTCTCTGTCCCCTTCGCAAGCGTATATTTCTTCTCGCCTGCCAACTTAAAGGTGATGCCCACGGAGGAAGCTATTAGCTATATGAACATACTAATCAAACATTTACCTCAACGTGAACATGTCGATCTTCATCGGAGAAAACTTCGTTGTCTTCAATACTTTCAATAAACTGGGAGGAGAAATGATCGAGGAATCACAATGCAAGAAAACACTCGCGTGTGTGTCCATATAATTACAGTGCTATATCATTACATTACAATACCCGCCTCGTTTCCAAGGTATTGTTCTCTGTGCACTCATGCAAATTCGGGAAGTGTCTATTGTAATTAATATAATATCCACACTTGTACCTCTTGTTCATACCAAGGTGTCACCTTCTCAAGCTCATTACCAGGACTAGATGTGTGATCATCTTGACTCTGACTTCTGTTCATGAGATATTGTGAAATGCTTCCTCTTGTGCGCACTGCCTCTTTATTTTGAATTCCCGCGTTGTTAACCTGGAAAAACAGGTTCGAATAGTTCATTGTTTCCGAGTTCACGAGAGCTTGAATATTATTATAAAAATCTTGAAGAAAAGAACTGAAAAATCATGCGAGCTGTGGTTTGAGACGCTTTCTCTTTTCGACATTTCTTATGTTAATATACCGCAACATCTGAGTCTTTATGTTGCTACCGTGTGCCATCATTACAAAACATGCAAAAGCAAGGGCATCCTTGGCTGAAAATCATTATTAAATAAAATTCATTGCTTTGCAAATCAAACAGGAACAAGATCGTAAAACGTACGCTATCTTCATTTGCTGATGAAACATTTTCCTCTCCCGATCCACGATGGTCTTCAGTTTCATCTAAATTTATTTATCAAAAGAATTTCACATGTCTAGTTTGTGTGTTGAAAGTGGGGCTGGGCCATCCTTGCTATTTTTTCGTGTGGAGAACCGTAACAAAATCATAGATAGAGATGTGAGTCTAATGGTTGTAACTCATTTCCAAGGGGTAAAGAAATTCAAGTGATTGATAATATGAAAAAATTAGTTTCTGACATTTTGTAAATATTTGGCTTCATACTTTGGAATATAAATCCGCATTTATTTGAAATAATTTAGAGAAAACGCATGATGCTGCTGCCTACCTTCATCCCACATTTTCTGAGGCAAAAAGCAACAACTGACAACCTCCTTTTTTTCTCTTTCATCAAATATTCGCTCGAGTGGAACAATTGGTTTGGACTGAAGTGAAGATAATTTTCATGCATGAACTGTTAATGAAACAATAAACTGAAAATAAATAAAGTTTAGCATTATTTATAAAAGCTTTCGATGGAATTGTTGCTTCGACAGCAATGAGGATATAAACACTGAGATAAACTATAGAACACGTATAATTGTATGCTCAGAACCGTCTATTGTCGATCTTACATGATGAACGATTAAGAATATTGAATAAGACTGAGTTTCAATGTAGGTGGTTCTGACATAGCTATAGCCCAGTTTCTTTCAAAAAATTGGCTGTCATATGGAAAATAAATATATATGCAACCGTGATGCAATTGTTGAAATCGATGTTGATATACTTACCTGATTCTCGCAAAGCCAGAGAGCTTTCAAAGTTTTCAAACCAAGGAAAGTAATAGGAAGAAAATTCAACCTAGAACAGAAAACGGGTAATCTTAAGAAAAGAGTTGCTGAATTTTCCTGACAGTATATAGTATATATATTAGGAGCAATTTTTATGATATTATCTTTTTATGATATTATCAGCTAGTATATTAAAATTACACAGTATTGTCACCGTGGACCCGTGGTGGTGACATATGGTCATTATTGTTATCCTTCATGGGACGAAACTGTTTATAATAGCTGATAAAAGCGCATGTGTTTATTATACTCGATCCATGATTCACAAGCCTTTGCTCAAGCTTAATTGATGTCATTCTTCAGGAGACTCTAATATAATCGCACAAGGTTGGTTTCCCCATCTGTTTGAATAACAATTTCTTACATGTTTGCACTAAGATTGATCATCTGAAGATTAGTTAGTCCACCAAAACTTTCAGGAACAGACACAAGATTATTACTATGTAGTGACAACAGTGATAACGATGAACAATTACCGAGCTAAACAAATAGATATAAATGTGCATGAGAGGAAATAAATATTAATTCTTAAACTGAGGGACCGGTGTGTAGAGAAGGGGGGGCGCTCGCTATGCTCAGCGGCCCCTGTTAACCTCGACCACCACCCCCCCCCCCTTTCTCGTGGTACTGATCACCGCCCCCCCCCCTTTCTCGTGGTACTGATTCTCAATCTTCTTTATCGGTGACATTTTGATGAACAATTAACATTCCTATTCGCCATACGAACCTCATCCGGAAGAGACTTGATACAATTGTTATCAAGATTCAACACTTTCAACCGTGCTAATTTTCCCATGCTACGTGGTAACCCCTGCAAAATGATCGTGAATCATACAATAGTTCGCTTGGCAAACACACACGTCATAAAAATCATCAAATAGCCGGAATAGAAAAACAGAAGATCGAACTGAAAATGGTCCTCATGCAAGTAACCGCTATTCAAAATATTAATAGTCTAACGTCTTAAATACGAATCACTTCTCAATTATTCTCTCTCGTTACAAATGCTCTGATTTCTAAGAATCAATATTTCCACGTTTTTTACCTCAAGGTTGTTCGTGCTGACATCGAGTTCCTCCAGATTCTCAAGTCTGTAAAATAATTCACCCGAAAACATATTGAAATAAATCAGTACGGTATCAGTAAAGTATCAGTATGATGAAGTTTTTTCCTCAAGTTGGTTTGCTTAATTAAAATCTCACAAAACGACGCGCAACAAATTTAACGATTTACCTGCCCAATGAAGGTGGAAGAAAAAGCAGATCATTTTCATCCAGTTTCAATGTTTCCAAGCTACTCAAAAATCCTTAAAAATATTTGAGTAATTGATAATATATTTGTCAATATAAAATATGTGATATAAACTTAATATTGATTCTAATGGTGGTGGTGCATGGCTCAAATCATTTCCGGAATGTTAGAATAGACAATGGAATAAAACGTTAAAAACTAAAAACTTAATCAACCAATTAGAGATAATTACCAATATTCTCAGGCAGTTCCAGTAGCTCGTTTACGGATAAATAGAGATCGGTCAAACATTCCATAAATTCAATTTCAGGAGGTAAACTCTCCAATTTATTCATAGAAATATCCAGCAAAATCATGTTTTTTAAAAGACCAATAACCTAGAAAACGAAATAGATAAAGATACAGGAGGGTAAAAAGTACTTGCCTTTCAAAAGTACTTGTAAAAAGTAAGTGCTTTTCAAAACTGTTCGTTGTCAAAAAGGTTGGCCATGCATGTCAGAATATATATACAAATATATAAATATCAATCAAGTGACTATACAAACATGGCTTATTTTGTTTACTTTTCTCTTGTTTCATTATTAATATCAACATTGTTCGTCTTACTGTGACATTTAAGAAATTTTTAAGACAGATTTCAAACGATTCCCAAAAATTTAACGTATGCAGTACAATCACGTGATCGATATTATGTATTTATATTATCTCCAGCCGACAACCTTTGTGACAACGGCCCCTAATTAATTACTATAGCAATGATAGCTTTCCATTCAAGTAAAGCCCTATATACATGCGTTGGAAAATATAAAGAAAATGCCCAAATGTGGCATAACTTCATCCTCCTGTTTGTTCCATGTATACGTTCCTTGGCTGGCTTGGTTTCACCATGAAATATCGTTGGTATTATAATACGGTGGTTTATATTTATTAAAATATCATAAACTTGAATGTGAAACAAACTACGCATGCAAACAAATACTTTCGTTAGGAAAATGTTGCAGGAGATTATCGCTACATTTTTATCTTTGTTTTCTTCTTTGACTCTGGACACTCCACGAATTTCTCGCGAGATGAGCGTTGAAAACGGTGCATCTGAACACGTTAATTGGGACATGTGGAAAGACAGAATTCACAGAGAATATTCCTCCTCCGGATCCGAGGAAGACAATTGTCCATCAACTATAGAATATGTTCAGCTGGGCTATGAACAGCAAATCGAACGTTCTTATACACAGTCATTACTCAGAAGTCTGAAGGTGACATTTTGCATGACTGTTGCTTTATTGCCGTTATTTATTACCGGGTTATTCATCATCTACTTTGACTTAAAAACATGTGATTTATGTTCACAATGGCGTGCTCGAAATTACACACTTTCCTTTGAAATTATGAAAATACGACTAATTGGCAATAGTGTTGAGGTTATAATGTTGAATCTTTGGTTCCCTTTAACGTTACTGGTTCTGTTTGGCATCAGTGAATTCAAGCGTTACTACTCTTCGACTGTCATGGTAGGATTGATATCTGCTCTTCTCTATTCGTTATATTCAAGTTTTTTACTCTTGTATGGTGTTTACGACACGTATTCTTGGTATCGCATACCAGGAAATGTTACCTATGCACTTGCTGTTGTATGGGAATGTGTTATCGTTGTTCGCAAGATAAAAGGAAATTATCCAAACGTATCCTACACACATCGTCATATTTTTACGGTTATTTTGGTGCCGTTTTTATGCTCATTTGCAGTGGCAATGTTTTACAGATACGCAGTTGTTTTCTGGTTTAATTCCTTCGATAACGCAGTGTATAGATTCATAATAGCTATCTCAACACCAACCATAGCTATAGTACCTATTGCTATGTGCAGACATATCGCTCTTTGGCGTTCTTCTCAGATTATTGAACCGGAACGAAGCTTCATTTGTGTCTATTATATCCGCGCAGGGTGGATTTGCTTGTACCGATTCATGCAAGCAGATTTTAAGAGTATTTGGTGGTTTATTGGAATGTCAGTTCTGTCAGGTGTATCGAGTACACTTAGAAAAGCAACGGTTGGTCTTCGGCAAAGGGTATGGGCGCGAATCATAAGATATCTTAATCAATCATGTTGTTCCAGATTGCTTTATTTGCCTGAAGACACACCCCATCACAGGAGACTTAAAGCCGACATTGAGGTACAAAATACACTTTTTGAAAACAATACAATACTTCTAGGTCAAACATATATCGTGTTATACATGATCACAAGCTTCGAGATCTCTCCATGGTCTGTCATACGAGAATCTTTAATCAGAATTGCGATTGGACTGGGGATAGAGATCATATTTAGTTTTCTGTCCATATTCATCCTTATACATTGGCACGATATTCCCATAGCGCGAGTGTGGTCGAAGCACTGGAAACGACATTTGTTTGCAAACGGCGTTATTGTTATGCTACTTTACTAAAGTTTTGTTGTTAGTATTTGACAGACGTGTGTATAGTGAGAATTTTACCATGAGAAACAGCACCATGCCTTATCAAAGTTGGCGATAATTTTAACACGTGAAGTCTACACGTAGATAATTTCTACACATGAAGATATCTATACGATATCTATTTCTATAGAAGAGTGTAAAGCAGGGAAACTTGATATGTATTCTTCATCAAGTATTTACACATCATGACAGCAGGATTACAAATGGATTTACAAATGGAATGTCACTGAAGACCAATGCTGAAGACATTTTACTGCTTGCTGATCTGGAAAAGACTGGGGACAGTTGGCGAATGGAAAACCATTTTTCGAGCAGAACACGCACAGCTTAATCTCCCCATGCATCATTTCTTCCAAATTTATGTCAGACTGCGTGATAGTTACAATATTTCTACACATATGTAGTAGCTACTAATTAGATAACATATATCCTTATAAAGAATAACGAAAGAATTCTAAAGAGTTAATTAAAATACAACAAAATGGATATCTATCGGTTTATCGTTTTCGGTTTTAATTTTATCGATAAGATGACGATGCATAAAGTTACTTACCGGAGGAATTTCCTCAATGGCGTTTCCATCAGCCAACAATTCTTCAAGATTTGTCATGTGACAAATGGTAACAGGCTAAATGAGATAAAAGCAATATTTTTAGATAAATAATGGATACAACTAGGATATCTATGTTCCTAACTAAACGATTTTGGAAAACCGCAGGCGGCCCTAAGGCCTAACCCTATAAACGTGAGAATTGTGACGATACCGAAGAAAAAATCTTTCAAGCAAAACTTTGATGAACAATGTTTATATTTATTATCATTATTATATATATCTTGTGGAAACGATCAAAAACGTTGTATATAAAAATGAAATTTCTACAAAAACGTATATTTACCAAGTCTGCAAATTTATTGTTTCCAATATCCAGTCGTTTCAACTGTTGTAAATTCTGCATTGATCTAGGGTAAAAATAAACCCTTTTTCACAAAAAGAGCTGGGCAGGGTTGTCGTGCCAGTTTTAAAATTTTGAAATTATAATCAGGCAAATACATGTAGACTTATTAATTTAGATTTAAAGTTATTCCAAAAAGGCTCGTTGAAGATGAATCAACTGACTCAAAACATACAGATATATTTAATTGTGTAATGTGATTTTAATATGTTGACGTCTCCTCGGAATAGCTTTAATTAAATATTCACTAAAAATATCAGCTGGTAAAGGAGACGTATTTAGGATCAGTTGATTGTGAGGCTTTTCAGAAACTGGACGCTGTAATTAACCCACAATTGCATATCGAAAGGCATATTGAAAAGAAATGCAAGATATTACTAGACAAATACAGGTGTACTCACTTTGGTAAAACGCTTAATTGGTTTTGGCGTAGTTCAAGAACTTTTAATTGTGATATACTAAATGAAAAGGATAAAAAAAAAATGATGATGAAAATATAATGGATGAATAAAAGAAAAGAATAAATATATTTTAAATTTTTGAAAGGTAGTAAATTATGGAATCATTCAAAATATACAGTACTAACTTCCCAATATTTTCTGGCAAATATTCCAGAAATGTTTCATTCAACATCAAATGAGTCAAAGTTGATAAGTTAAACAGTCCATCTGGCAATCTATGAGAAGTAAAAATATTAATTGGATCATGCAACTTGATTGTGTTTACAACAAAGTTTCTATAATATTTTTGTAATTTTGCATGGTAGTATCACAATAGAAATTAATTAGCTTGTAGGTACACCACGTAAGTAATTAATACTGCAAAGCTTTCGGTCCGTTAACCCAGGCTTTTATCAGTGCAAAATCAATTGCATTATACTAGGAATATAACTAATTGGTCTGGTTACCATTATTATTAACCTAACATGCAATCACCTATAGCTACTGTCTACTGATAATTAATCTAATGAACATACTTAACAATTGGATTAACACTTGCATCAAGTTGCAATAACTGTATGCAGTTCTTAATACTGTCTGGCAACTCTGAGATACCTGTGGAAACAATTATGATTAATTATACCTGCACAGTGATCAAAACAGGTTGAAGATTAAATTTGATTCTCCTAGGTGGTACAATAACAATATACTTACAATTCTTGCTGACATTCAGCGACTCTATACAGTCTAAATTTCCCAAAAACTTTGATAGCTCACATAGATTATTATCAACCACGGCCAAGATTTTCAACTTTGGCAAACTGAATAGTTTCTGAGTTAAAGAATGAACAATAATCTGTTAATGCAAATATATCAGTGGAAGACATAAACATTGATGTGCAACACAAACAAGTGCAAAATGAATGTACTTACCTTTGGCAAAAGTTCTATGTCATTACAATCAAGATATAACTCTTCTAACATTCGACCATTATCCAATATCTCTTGTGGAACTTCATCCAATTTTCTATGACTATAGTCTAGTATTATCGGTTCTTCATCCATTGTATTAAACAAGAACAGTTTTTTAACATGCCAAGCTAACTTGACCATGACTATAAGTCGAAAGCATTCTCAACATCGATCCTGGCTATTTCATAATCTGTTTACATCATGAATTTTCGTTTTTAGTCACGACGATAAAACGCATTATCGATTTATCTCCATAAGTTCATTAGTTAGGGCATTTTTGTACCTGTTCACATCATTCCTCGCCTTTCCTGGCGTGTTTATTGTTTTTCTTAGGACTTTTTACAACAAATATTTTGAAAGAAAACTTTGAGTGCCATTTTATATTTAATTGTAATATAAGCGCTGACACTCATAGCACCGGAAATAAAAAACAGTAAGTCGTGCGTGAAAACGAATTCAATATTCAGTACTCTTCAAAGTTCAAACCCTGATTCATGTGATTTTCCAAAAAACTGAAGATCTTTTGTATATTTTTTGGTAATAGCAAATTATTGCATTTTCATCGCTGCTTCTTACATGTTACAGATAATATATATTTGTAAAGCGTAAATATTTTAAAAAAGAGCTCAAAGAATGTTAACTTTGCATTTTGTGACTCAGGTCTATTTTCGTAACAATAATCCTGGTGGAGTAACTAGTAAGTACCAGGAGGCAGTGAACTGGTTAGAGCTCACCAGAGTTCACTGGTTAGTGACACGCCTGGATAACTTGCTAAACAAACATGAGCCGAGATCCCAACGAGAAAACAGGAAGTCATTACTCATTAATAATTATTTTTGCCTTTCTGTTTTAGCTAGAGCCAGTGAAATTCAGTCTACACCTAATAACTAGAGTTTTTCATTAACTATGGCTTCATTTTCGGAAATTTTATTTCCCGTGCGACGTGATTTAGCATGATTATAACCAACACTGACTTACTGATTCAATCAACATGAAACTTTCAGTAGAAAGCCAGAAACATTGCGACTGATCTTGAAGACAAGAACCGCACCTCTGATGAACCGGTTACCAGCATAGAAATAATAGACAGATATATATACTGATGATATTTTGTAAATGAGCCTTCACAATGATAAAGAATCATAGCTAATATTGATGTTAAAATGTTAAAATTCATCTAGGATTGTATCAAAACACCAAAAAATCATAACACGGTAAATTTGACAGTAACACGGTAAATGGTAACACGTTTAAATTCAGTATCGCATTGATGACTATTTTCTCGTTAAAAACAATTAAAAAAAGACGTTTAGGCGTTTAAATCTTGTCATTTCCAAGCGTGTGCCTTTAATATTACTAATAGTCGTTTTCTATACATATGCTTGTTAGAGACCGCCTCCCGAGACCAGGAAAAGCTTAAATACGTTAAATTTATCTTCGCTCTCAGGGCTAGCCACTGTAGCTGATTCGTCTATGACGCGCTAGGCTTGTGGCGATGCATACTCTGTTTCTCACTGAGACGTAACGGTTAGGTGCACATACATCATGGTCTGGGGGCCGTAGTGCATCTCCCCCTTAGACGGCCGTTAAGATGTGAGTTATGGGGGGGAGTTCTTTCTATAGCAACTGTCCTTGCACCTTTCGTAGTTGTAACTATGTTGGTATATTGCAGCCGGTTGCATAACCAGGTTAGATTGTGGCATAGGCTGGATGATCTCTTTTGGGCGTTTTTAAGTTCTTTCCCAAATTTTTTTTTTCGCATGCTTTCAAAATTTTTCTTTTACATACAAAAAAATACTGGTATTAAACATATATGGAACGGATATGGTTCGAAAAAAAAATTTATATCGATTAAAAACCACCTTAATTAAACCCTAATACTCTCCCCAGTCTCTGCATGGCTGAGTCTTTGAATTAAACAATAGTACAATACCAGAGTCCAGAAACCAAACAAAGGCATCCAGACAGTCAACTCTGCGTTTTCGTTAGTGCCTTCAGCTCGAGAACTGTCAATCAAATGTCTGGATAAATCCCCTGGCTTTCCCTGCAAGTTTTCAAATTAATATTTCAAAATATCTGACATTGAGAACATTACTCAAGATTTTCTACTAATTGTGGATTTGGTTTATTCATCAATGCTCCATGAGATACTTTGAACAAAGACTTCACCATTGTTGGGTATAGCAGTGCAGTATGGTAATCCAGGTAGTTAGATCCCATTGGTAGACCATAATCTCGATGAATCACCCTGAATTCTTCTGTAGCTAAATTTTCATTCCACAACAAGAAACACGGCATGTTTATGGCCATTTTAAGAGCACATTCAATTGTTATTCCCAATTGATTGCATATAAAATCCAACTTTGATTTAATTTCAAATACATAACTTCGAAGTTTGGGACGGCACTTGTAGAGAAAGTGGACAAACCTACTGCGACCATTCGAATCCTCGCAACAATGAATCGAACCACGCAGGTATTATACACTGAAGCCAGAGTTAGCCAAACTTAACATCAGCACAGGGGGTGCTTTTCAACATCTCTCCGCTCAACGAAGGCTCGTCGAGACAATTAACCAAGACCATTATACACACTTATAGAAACATTGTGGACACTTGATCTCTTGCTCAGCTCACAAAGCATCACCAAAACCAGTTCTTTGTTTAAAGGCTGCACCTACTCCTTCGAAAAGGCTGGGACAAATAATACCCAATGCTACAATAAACTGGATAACAGTCTTGATGATTTTATGATCTTTCACGCTCAGATCCATCACGGGAACTCGTGTTAAGTTTTCAGATCTCTTGAGACTTTTCAAAGACAATTTAAGAAGCTATAAAGAGCTCGGTTCTTGCTCAAATATTCCACAAAACGACTGACAACTTCAATTCCTGACATGATCTCAAATGTTCCTCCGTTTCTAAAGCTCGCCATCCGTTTCTAAAGCTCGACATTTCGTGAAATCGAAGTCTAAAGCCTTGTTTACACTACGCAAACTCAAACCCGGGTCGATCCCTGGGTTTGTTTACATTAGTGTTAACCCGGGTTCGACTCAGGGGAGCCCACCTCCAAAGCAGGGTTCAAACTAACCTGGGTTAACCTGGATCAAGCGTGCTTACATTTGTTAAGTTAAGCGTGCAAAAACTAGCCCGAGTTTGCCCTTACCCGAGTTCGACCGGCCCGGGTTAGTTTGCGTACTGTAAACGAGGCTTAGATTAGAACACATGCACGTGATTAAGAGAGCCAAATGTCTCTTCTAACAAAAAAGCGGAAGAGCTTCGCCACTTTGTGGCTCATGCACTGCGCAAGGAAAATGTTCGTCTTGAAATGTTATTAACATTTTGGAATATAATGTCGCTCAGTAAGTGCCCTACTAAGAGGATCACACCGCCACGCACTGTATGAGTTTACACGAGTGTGCCTGGTGTAACCCTACTTAAAGAAATCACGCCAATCGCACTGCACCATTGAGTAAAATTTAATGCAGCCTATGAAGGGACTGGGGCGGATGAAGAGCGTTGCTTGATGGGATTCCAAGACGTAAACCAATCATCATATTCCACTGTTGAAAATCCAACAATATTTTCACGCACAAACTACAAAAAAATTACAAACTTTACATTGGCGCATGTCGACATCAAAACAATTGCTAAGGTTAAAACATAGGAGGGGAACAGAATTGTGGATAAAACTTTAAGTATTTGTCAACTGACCTCTATAGCTGCAGCTATTTCTGGATAACAAACTTCCCAAGGTCGTAATGTCGCCATGATCTTCAGAAAATGTTGTACACTCACTTTTCTTCCCTCCAGCTGTTGAAGAAACAATAGAATAAATGAATGACAAAAAGATTTCTATGAGATGTTTATTCTTCTTAGACATAATCAGTGAAAAGACACTGGGTACAGCAAACGGGGCTGCAGCAAACGTATTTGCTGGTCACAAACAGGTTACTTAAATATATGCTGCCTCTTGTCTTGCAATCAAAATTGTTGAACATTCTATTTTATCTATTTTGATAGTTGAGAAAACTGAAATTATACTCACTGATCCATATTGAGCTATCTTGTTCAATACAATACTAATATAGCGATCATTTTTGATATCCTCGGGAAAATTGTCGATTAGGTCCTTATACCTAGACAAAGATCATAGTTAGTATCCAATAGAGTGAGGATCACTTGTTGACAACATGATAATAATGACGAACACGCATCACTGCATGGTGTTTGGAAGGGGCAATGTTCAATTTTTTCGCCGATCGTGGATCTAATAATAGTCATATGCTGTCTCTTGCATTCATTCACTCATGACACGATGGTATAGTTGTTATATGAATAACTGGTGGAGTGGTGGTGAATAACTTACTCACCATTCACACTCCTCACTAACACGTTGTCTCATTTCTTCACCAGTCTCCACGGGTTCATCTGAAAAACTGTCATTGCGAATTTTCTCTAAAGCATCCCGAATATGATTCGAACTACCGAGTCTGATAAATTTACGTTGTAAAATATGCCATCTTCTTCTGTACTCAAACAGAAAAAAGAAAATCTTGTTGAATTACGCCAACTTTTACCAAAATACCTTCATTTCAATTTTCACTCAAATATCATAAAAAAGAGAGCAAAATCGTACTTATTTTGTCTTTCTAGTTTATCATGTAACAAGACATTCCTTTCTTCCGTCACCTCGCTAAATCGTCTTCTCATTTCTGAAGGTATTTCTGCAACACTATTGCTCATCCGTATGGCACCAAATGTACTCAGAGCAGCCGTTAAGAACTTCCTAAGAGGATGATAATATTTCTATATTTATAGGCGTATTTTTATGGAAATAGCTACGTTTTTTCAAGACGTTGCAACAATCCAATAAAAATTCTTTTTGTGCAACTTCCTTAGGGTACTGAACAATATGCTTAAAAATGCATAAAAAACAATTATGATGTGGTAGTGACAGTGGTTCAGCCAACTTACGTTTTAGCGTTCCTCTGATCTATATATAAAAAGAAAGAAAGCAAAGTAGGCGATGTTTACAACTGCTTGGTCTGTCAGTCAAAGCAAGCATGCTAGAAGCGGTGAAAAAGAAGATATGTGATAAACATTTACCTGTTTGCCTTACCCAAGCCCGCACTCGAGATTCAGCTTTTTTCGAAGAGTTTTCCCCAACTTCTGAAGAAATAAGTCTGTTCAATTCCTCTTGCTGAAAAATCAGATTTTTTACAACATTTCAGTGTCTTTGTTTCTGTTTGTTCGTTTGTTTTTTAGATTGTTTTCAGGGCCGTTCTTGCCTTTTCCGAATCATTGATTAATATTGGAATGAAATTGGGGGACGGACCCCTATAAATACCCCCTTTGGTGCGACCCTTTTTGAATACCATTTAATACTTACAGATAAGACACTACTGCGTTGCTTCGGTTGGTTCTTCTCAGGTGTATTATTATTCATTGTAAATGATTTCATTTTGACCAAACGTTTTTCTTTTACATTCTTACTTTTTTCTTCTCGTGTACCTACATTAAGTTATTCAGGGAGATGACAACGACATCTATAAGCAAGTAAATGTGATAAACTACACACAATTAACACATCCACAAACCTGCAACTGTCTTAGTTTCGTCGTTCATGTTGACATTTTCTGAAATATTTTTTTCACTCTCTACTGGAGTTTCACTACTCTCTACTGCCGGGTCGGTACTTGATACACTAGCCAGCCGTGTTTTCGGTTCCACAGGTGACGCTGATGATTTCACTGCAAGTGTGTTTGAAGATGATGATGTGACGGCTGAAAGACGTTGAAGATGCTGAGGATGAACAGAAATGCGACGAGCTCCTTTACGGTTGCTTCTCTGAAAAATAAATCCAGGGGGAAGGTTACGCAGGTTGGTAAAGCTATTATGGGACAACAAGTTTGTTTTATTGTGGTAAAAATGTTTGACTCTTGACACAACAATTGATAAAATCTCAGCTAGTTTTTAAAAATGAGGTTTAATCTGGATATAAAAGGTTCAATCTGGAATAAGGTCCGTACATTTACCTGTGAAAAGCGTGAAGGATTAACTAGAAGAGTCTGCCAGTTGGATTCAGACTGCCTCTGTCTCTCAACTTTTCTTCTTGATATTCGAGATTCCTCCAGTAAATCTCTGAACAAATTACAGAGTAGTGGTTTTAAAAGCTTTTAGGTTATCATATAATACATAATAGTTAAAACATTAAGTAACAGAGTAATAAAGTAAAGACCGCAGGAAAATGGCGTATTCGACTATGATCGAGTCCGCCGGAAAACGACGTATTCGACCATGGTCGAGTCAGAAATCAGACATTATTCGTCAACAACGTCATTTAAACCATTCCTTACTTAATATTCCAGCAATTTGTTATTGGACTAACAACAGGCGGGAAAACATCTTGTGACATTGCATCAAGGATCCAATTGAGAGCACAGAGTTGACGAAATAAACTTTCTCTAAAGATAAAACAACAACTAATTTTACAGCGCTTGCGTGGTCTGCCAACTTGCCTCAAATAACTTCACTGAGCACGAATCATGAAATATCACCGACACGTAAATAATTCGAGAGGACTGATTGCCTTCTTAATCATTCAAACACAATAATAAGACTCGACTCTCGAGGGGGATTTCATGCAAGTAGAATACATACATGATGATATATATTATCAATATTCACAATTTCTATCATCAGTCATGGCAATTATAGTGAAGCAATAATGATGACATGTTTCTAAAAGTTTCATTATACCTGCAGTCCAAATTTGGCGAACTAATATTTGAGAAAACTGGTGAATATGGTCGCATTGACGAAATGCGAGGTTTTCTCTTTTGATAAAGTTGTCCTGCACTTCTTGATTTCAGAGCTGTCGCAGGAGTATCTCTGCCTCTGGATGAATGCAGGGAATATAATAGTGACGTAATTTTGTGCGGTTTCAAGAAAATAAATGAAAAGAAAACTATATACATGATATTCATCTGGTTTTCACACATCGTCGAACTTGCACTATACGCACTAGCTAGTAATCACTTACGATATACTCATTGAACCGTCTGTGTGAACTTCGAAATTTGTATCTACACCTTTGAAACAAAAATATGCATGACAGAGGGCCTAAAAATTATTTCCGTATCAGAATAAGAGGTCCAACAAAATAGTTACTGAGCAACTAAATTGAATTACTAGTTACCAAACATGTGAAACAAATTATTGAAACTAACTTAAGTAATCCAGAGGTATTGCATCATCATGAGACGATTTCAGATCACTAATTTCTTCACTGAAACAATAAAAATCAAATCAGCATTGGAATTCTTTTCATCAGTCATCTGAGGGCTGTATGAAGCGTTAATTATAAGAGGCTACATGCAGTATTACAAGTATTAATGTCTCTATAGAGATCCGCTCAGTGCCAAATCAGATCATCTTGACGCGAGCGTATAAAGAGAGCAGGTTCTATTTTCTAATGATTTTTTTACGGCGGATTATTTTAAGTTGCAGATCATTTTAATAGCTTCTCATTCATATAATTATGCTGTATATTCAATACTTTACGCGTAATCAATAAATAGCCATATTGCGAACAACTGAAAAATACCATTCACCGCACGTACAATTTAACGTTTGAACGTTCTTCTTCGTCGTCTGATTCATCTGAACTTTCTGACGGCGAAATAATTTTCATGCTGCTCTTTGCATTATCCAACTTCCGTTGTCGCTCTACTTCAGCCTCGTCTGCCTTCAAAAAAGAAATAATCGTGTCAACTGAAACTAAGATGTTCTTATAGTCATTCCACAACTATAATACTGTCAACAATACTCGAGCAAAATGTGAAACCTTCCTGTTCCTTTAGTCAACATTTAGACCGAGACATTAGAACTGATCTAGATGCAGAAGGATTTAGAAATTATGTAACGTTCGTAAATTTTTCAAGCTCGTCCATGAGCCCTTGGGGCGTGACAAAAAAGCATTCTAACCTTTCGCTGTTTTTCTTCTTTGATCAAACGAAACAGGTTGAAACCAAGTCGAACTGCATTAATCATTTTTCTACATGAAAATTGCAAAAGAAATATGAATCTTTCAAGCAGGCAGGTCAATTGTCTTAAGAAGACACGTAAATTCACTAGTTGTTCCCGGCTCTTGAAATATACCCGGGGCCCCAGTTTTCATTACTACATCACGGCGTACCTTCCTTTTGATAATTGTGATTGAATATTCTCCAGCTTTTCAGTAGATTTGAAGGATAAAAATTGCACTTGAGATTCTTACAATTAATATATTTCTTGAATAAGAATAATTTTTTGAATATTTATGCCTACTCGTTAGTCACAATTATTTTAACAGTTTTGTCATGAGGTAAGGGCGTAGCCAGGGCCCTGGCTTTGGTAGGGGGAGGGGGGCAAGCACGCTTAAGGGGTGTCTTGAGACATCAAGAGCAGTGGTTTTCTTGCTGATATACTCGTGTAGGAATAATTAGTAATTTTTCATCGAGACTGAAGAATGAAATAATTATAAAATGAGCGTATATTTACACTGGTTAATTTCCAATCTGCTTTTTCTTCATTCTCGACAGTCTTTGTCTTTGACTTGTGTTCATTATTTTCTAGTTTTGGTTCTTGGATAACACGTAAATCTATATTCTGTTAAATTTAAAAAAATAATGAATTGCAAGCTGCTGGCTGGGTAAGTTTAGAGATATGAAGTTGAGGGAGATTACGAGCTGTGAAGAGTCATGATGGAGTCACGTAACCGTAAGGAGTGTCGCAGCTCCTCACAAGAATGATTTTCATTAGCTGAACTTTACAATACATTTCTGTTTCAACCGATAGCATAGCTTCGTTGTTTAGAAAGCATAGAAAAGCATTTATCCAATTGGACGAAACTAGTACGAGCACTGCGACATGACCGTCACGTAAACCTCTTGTGCGGGAAACATGAGAAACGAAAGTAAACCTAGATTTCAGAGTTAACTACAATTAAGTGTGAAATACTGGTGTATAAGATAGTTTCAGAAATACAAGTGTGTCCTCGGAGGGACATTATTTGTTTGCGGATGTGGAGACACTTTCTGCTGGCGGCACTATCTGGCACGAGCTAGCCTAGGACATCAGCCTTGCGACGCGTAACGCCTCTAGCATATGAAGACATGTGAAAGGCAAAGCAAAGTTTCATCTGCACTCCCATTTTAATTCCCACTACAGTATTTATCATGCTGGGGTATTTCAAAGAATCGAATCGAATTACACGACAATTAGGATATGTGCGCAGGCTGGTATCGAGTTGAATATTGTCAAATTTCAAATTATTTGGCTGACTGTACAGGAGTTGCAGACATGCAGTGGAAGCTAATTAATTAATATGTTTAAAATATTAAAATGAGCAGCCGATAATGATTCACTAAATGATATAATTGTAGTATATACAAACCTCACTGCTAGCATTGATTTTGTCATCTTTCTGGCCAAGTGCAACCAAAATCAGGTTTTTGTCTTCAAGATAAACCTTTCCGAGAGTTTTATACGGTTTATAAGAAACAGAATTATAACCACATTTCTGCATCTGATGATTTCGCCTGACGTAATTTTGTTTAGCAACTTCTCGTCTCTCTGGCACGCTGCATGTATAGACGAGGGAGCTTCTTGCTGACACACGCAGACCTTTATGAGATATTTCCGATACAGGTTTGGAAGCAACATAATTTCGTGGATCTTCTAATGTAGTCATGATTTAGAGAGAGATTTACTAATTTAGGAACTCAATACTATCTTGTAACATTATTAACACTGCGACTATATAAACACTGCGACATAGCTTGGTTACCTTGGTTGCGGTTGCGCTCATTAAAATTCTGATGACTAAATGAGCACTTGACCTGACATTGGAGTTCATAAATCTGAATATTCATTTCGCTATTCCTAGTTTAAATATTTACACTGGCTGCAGTTAAAACACAGGCTGGTGTTGTGTTCTTCGTCCTGTAGTGTAAAACAAAACTCGGAAAAGGACAGTGTCTGCATTCTTTAAGGTCCCAAATGTTAAATATTTTTTGACCTTTACAAGATTGCAGACAACAGATTAGATCGTGATTAGACTCGTGATTAGACTCAAGCCTAGCCAACCAATCGGTCAAGAATGGCACAGGTTCTGACAAGTAGACCGTTTATAGGACAGTGGAAATTATACGCAGAATGCTAAGAAAAGAGATTTTTGACTCTAGGCATTACTACCAGTGAATCTATGTTAAACTTTCTCAAGCAAAGTTGCTGAAATTACTCCATGTGCACAATGTGCATGAATTGTACGCAATTTGCGCTCAGTTTCTTTATTACAATTGCTGTGGCGGGATGAAAAACATATTGAAGCATTCTAACTTTCTTAAGACGGCAAAAACCTGGCAAACGGCAAAATACATTCGTGATAATTTTTTATTGTTAAAAAATACACGTGCGTGAAAAAGCGAACATGAAGACAAAGCTAAATGAGACTGTGGGATAATCCATAAAGTTCCTCATCCACATTCCATATTCTTGCTGTGATCATTCGTCTGAAATATAAAGAAAAATCAGTTTAGCTGCGGTCAATTTTGTGTCAGAATTGTGAGAATTGCAGTATTCTTTAGTGCCTACCTCTAAAAGGGAGGCCCACAAACTACTTGAGGGAGAACAAGGAAGAATGTCCTCATTCGGGACTCTGCTACCCAAAGTTATGTCTGAAGTAAGATACATGTCCCAGTCTCTCCTAGAAGATGAATGATGAAATAATCAGCAGAACATCGTAAGTGATGGTAGAGAAAAAATTCACAGTTTCATCATCTGACAGAGAGAGCGAGGATCTTAATGAGGAATACAACCATGCATTAGGAAGGGGGGAAATCGTAAAGGAAGATAGTTCACGGGCTCTTAATACAATCTCAACATATTGAGAAGGGTGTCATTGCATGGAGTATGTTCCACGTATGATAAATACGAGCAGCTCTATGTGACATCAACGTTTTTTGTATTACCTGATCTGAATGAGATATTGAATACTTTCATCTGCTTGTTCATAAAAACGACGAAACTCAACCAGAGGATCATCTTCTAGTAAAGACAGAATATATCAATAATTTCTCTCTCCCAGCATTTTCTAGAAACAAGTTGATAAACCCAACGATAATTCCTAACCTTTACTTAAGTTAAGAAGTGCTTTTTGTTCTAATCTTTGTTGCTTTTCTTTCATTTCTCTTTGTCCTTCTTCCTCCATTAAAATCACTCTCAAAGCTTTTTCTTCCTCTTTGTAAGTTTTTATTCTCTCTTCAATCATCTTATCAAGATAATCACACCTTGTTGTGAAATTATTATCCTCACTTGATGACGTCTTTGGGTAAACACCTATTAAAAGGTGGAATGTTATTACAACGCCATCGCAAGTCAAATATGCAAAGAAGATATTCTTAATATTACCTTTCTTCTCGCCTTCAGACTGCCTGATCGCTCGCAACTTCGTAAGGGACGTTACTAATTCTTGTAATTTATACGAATCTTGCAGTTTTCGTCTGACTTCACCCAAAACCCCTCCTGCTTCGTGTTTTAAGGAAGCTGCCTGGATAAAATAACAAAAAATATGTAGGAAGGATCAGGACGGAAACCCCAGTGTAAAAATGCTTTTCAGTGTTTATAAGGACATGGTATGTACGGAGACATTGACACGATTTTTACTTTTCTGGCTGCAAGATCTTTATCTCTGATTTCTTTCTGCAGAAGATCAATTTTTTCATGTAAAACTTTCCTCCTCTCTTCATCATTCTGTTTCTCCAAGAAACGACGTCTTCTACGATTTTTCAACCACAACTGTTGTTCACAGAAAAATGGATTTAAAAAATAACTTGCACTAGCTGGAGGTACAATTATTATATCTTCTTTTTCACTCAATGAAATAAATACAAGGCTACATATATCAAAGAATATATTAATACTAACTGTCTCAAAAATAAATTTATTTTAATAAAACCACACACAGAAAAACGTCATTATCAATGTCATCATGTACTGACTCGTTTTTTCTTTCTTTTGTGAATCCTCTGATCTAAATCCTCAATGAGATCTGGATCATTCAAAGTATTTTGCACTGAGATAATCTCTTCCTAAAATAAACCAGAAAAAAATACAGCAAAATACAGAACAGACTGAGCGGTATTATTCAACAACTAATATGACACTCACTTTAGTTTTTTCTGCTTTTGCCAGGCAATCTTCCCATTCTTCAACACCAGACTCAAGATTTTCTTGAAGTTTCTGATATTCTTGATTTAACTGATTATTAAGACTCAAATAACGTTGAAAAAGACTCTGTGCCTCACTTATCTATACAAATATTATAAACATGTGCGTCAGATGTACATACTTGTTAAATGATTGAATGGTGTTAAATAAATAATATATGTTCTGGTTAAAAAACTGTTTCTCTGATTTTAAAAAAGTGAAGTGGGAAGAGAGCAGGAGAATTAATGATCCAGCTAAACAGCATTATTAAAATTTCTTGTATTTTTATTCCAATTTAATTCCTGTAAAAGGCTCATCACAATCATTAGAATCTACTGATGAAAAAATTACAATATTTCTACTCAATCTCATTGTTTGATAAGCAGAAAGTTGGAATAATTGTGCATAAAATGCATAATTTTCATTACATATTTATATCAATAATTTCCCAAAGGATACTAAAAAGGATTCATTCATATGTTCATCTGTTATTTAAACATCCACTGGAGATAATGCTCTGATAATTACCACAAGATGGAGCAAGTATAACTACAGTACAGCAAACAACAAGTTTGTGTGACAAACCATATCAGTATTGGTGAACAGAAATGTTGGCAAATGCAAATATATACAGTAGATTAAACAAGAATGGAGGTTAATGAAAATGGAATAGAAGGCAGGGGATGATTGCCAATGGAACAAGTTAGAATGAGATAAAGCTGAATGCAGAGAAAAACAAGTAAGTAATGTCAAAGTACAAGCAGGTCAATGTAAGATATAAATAAGTAGGGGTAAAAGCTTTATATGCAAAATATGATCCTCTATTTGACAAATAGTGAAAACAACAAAATATTCATTCCTTCTATGCCTATTATATACTGTAAGTAGATAAATATTTTTAAGGATATGAAGAATTGGGTGATTTATATATGCATAAACTATGAAAAAGGTCATCAGAACCATGCTATTCTCTTAACCTATCCCTGACAAGCCCTGGAGGTTTTATTATCTGGACTGGTGCAGGTTTAACATTGATCTTGACAAACCTTGAGAGTCTTTTTCTTTACTTCTGTTGTCTGTATATGACATTGCTCCAACCAATTCTTTAACCACATTTTGTCCACATCTTCCTGACAGGAAACCTGAGTTTGAGGTAATATTTGACTTGATGAACACTGTACATTACTTTGATGTAATTGATGAGTCCCATAATTTAGATTTACAAGTGGAACATTCTGTGATTGATACATATTGGCTGGTTGTTTGCTATTTCCATCATAACCACCAGAGTTAAAATTAAATCCTGAGTTATTCCTTTGGTTGACAGTGTATGGTACCGGATTAATTCCTCTTTGATGGTATGAATTTTGTCCTGGTGGAAACATGCCACCATAGGCACCATTATTGCCCCAAATACCATGTTGTTGAGAAAATGTTGCTGCATTATGTTGAATACCCTGATTGTTATGTGGAACTACATTCCTTGGAATATATGTAGATTGTGGGGAATAACTGGAAACACCAAAATGTGGTCTTGCAAATGTATTCTGCCCAGAATAATTTACTGAACTACCACGAGGCCACGTTTGCTGGCCTTGGTTTGAACCGTTTCTTGAACTACCATCCCCATACATTCTGATGAATACACCTTTTTTGCTTTTCTCAACGCTTTATTTCACACAACAAAACATAGATATTGTGAATTTCTTTCAATGCAGTTTTTTATTCTTGGAACATGAACTTTGCTCAACACTCAACAGTCTCGGCAGCAGAAATGTGCAGGTGTATTATATCATGCAGGATATGATTGCCCTAAAATTCAGGCAACTTTTCTTCAAGATGGCGTCTCGAGCAGGAGGGAGAGCTTCAGGTCTGATAATATTTCGTCGTATTTTAAACCATCCTACAGAATATCTTCTTCTACAAGCATCTTATGGAAGTCACCATTGGACACCGCCAAAAGGACATGTTGAAGAAGGCGAAAGTGACGAAGAAACAGCTTTTAGAGAAACAGAAGAAGAGGCAGGAATAACTTCCAAATCCTTGAATTTGATGAAAGATTTTAAAATTGTTTTAGAGTATCCGGTAAAAGGCGCTTTAAAAAAGGTGATATATTGGCTTGCAGAGTTGACTGACCATGACTGTAGAGTAAAACTGTCGGATGAACATCAAGATTTTAAATGGGCAAATCTTGCAAAAGCTTGCGAGTTAGTACGATACCATGACACTCAAGAGGCATTAACATCTGCTGAAAAATTTCTCAATGGAAAATAACTGCTAAAATAAAGACACAAGTTTGTACTTTGAAGCATGCAAACATCACCTAAAAGAGAAAAGCATGTAAAAATAGAACTGATTTTGACAATTGTAGTAAACTTTTTGTCTGTATTGTAAAAAAATAGAAATGTCCTTTAGGACTTTAATTATAATGTATAACCTTGTAAAGTTAATGTTTATGTTCATTAGTTAATAAGAAGTTGTGTGTATTTTCTAAGGCTATATCATAGTTTTCTGTCTTAGTTATTTCAATATAGTTGAACACCCAGCCTATAGCACAACTATATATCACAAAATATTGAATGAGAAGGTCTGCAATTTTTACCCCCAGATTGGGCAGAAAAGCGAGCAATTTCTACACGAGTCGCACGAGCCTTACACCCATTTTTATAAGTGAGTTTGGTTGTTCATAATATGCAGCGCAGGCATTTCCATCGACAACAACCTGTACTTGACTACACACAGACGTCTGAATTAGATTTAGGAATTTAAATTTATTTGAATACTTTTACAAGAATGAGGTGACAACGGCAATTCTCTCATGCCACGGTTTCACAAAATTAAAATGCAAAATACAGGCAGAAAAACACAACACCCTAAGATAACTAGGACTATATTTACAAATTTTATTTAAATATAAAAACGTTTTGGTAAGCATTGGCATGAAAACGTTTGTACCATTTTTCGTAGCGTTTTTTTTTACTACGAATAATAATTTTACTGTAAATATTAACCAACTTCATCTACATTCAAAGCTTTTAAGATGAAATCATGAAAAACTATATTTATATGAGATAATATTAAAGAATTTCATAGAAAATATCCAGCGTGTGTATATTTGCGAAAGGGTATTCTTCATCAGGATTGCTAACTGAAAACTTCTCGCCAATCTCCGAGATATTTTATTTGCCAAGGGAACAATTAACTTCATTTACTGGTTTCCAGGCCACTGACCTCTGCCTCGGCGTTGTAAACCTCTTGTTGGTGGGATTGCTTGACCTAGTCCTACAAAAATATCAATGAAACAATTCTAAACATTGTCGATGGCGATATCATTTTCACTTGAACCGCAACATTACTTAAATTTAGACGTTATATTTTGTATTCGTATGTTGAAGCACTTTATTATTGGGATGTATCACAAAAGTATAGAAAAACACGGACGTTTTCGAGACTTATATAGGCGACTACAAATGTTCAGAAATGTTTAATACCTTGAACTCTTCGTATCTGCCTGCGGCCTCTGGATGCTTGAGCTAGAAAAGAAATTGAAGTTAACTTTATTTCAACCGCCACCCTTGAGAAATTCAGGTTGTAGCATTTCGTCTGTCTTGACTTATACAATTTCAAGCTGTTTTTAACCCTAGTTGTCTGTGGTTATGACTTCTACACTTACTCTGGGGTTGCCCTGGTCTTCTCAGTTGCACAACTGTGGACTTCTGTGATGGGCGGTTTTCTGAAAAAAAACGGTTAATGTATACACTGAAAATTTAAGTGTTATAAAATCGAGAGGGAGGGAAGCAAAATTGGCATGAAATATTGCGAGTCTTCACCCTAAACAACAAATTATTAAACAAGGAAATGTGGCGCAACCGATGAAATCCAAGATCGTGTTTGATTGATATTAACCTTGACTAGTTAACAAAACTATTGTTTTGCCAGTTGATGTGGAAGGCTCTGAAGTTGAAGAACTTTCCTGGGAATCCATTTCTTTTGAAGAATCTGCAAATGAAACTAAATGTATTGGAATATATACAGTTATAAACGTAATAAATTTATCAACTACAACAAAATTATATTCTAAATACCTAAACGTTCTTCCGCAGGTTTAATGGTTGTCGCTGAGACAAGAGAACTGCCACTGGCTTCTTCAGAATCTTTCACTTCTCTATAATAAAAACAATCATCAAAATGCGAAGATCGACGAACAAATGTTCACATTTTTATTACTCATTGCGAAAGAGAAAATGTCTCTGGTAGTCCCCAAATCAACTTACGCTTTTTGCTCTAATTGTGACGTCACATTCTCATCCGGGGCCTTGCTGGTCTCAGGAACAGCTTCTGTAACTTCGACAGGATCAAATTTTTCGCTAGTTTCAGGAACATTTTGTTCAGAAACATCAACACCACTTGCCGCGATGTCGACCATGGTGGGAGGATCTAATATGTCGTCTGCAGTGCAGATAAAAATTATACAGCATAAACATAAGAATTTCAATGCACGACGTATAATCGAAGAGGCTTTCTCCATAAGAAAACCTTGCAGATGATCAGAAATATTGTTGAATAATATAATCATAATTTTATGACGTACACTTCATAAATAAACAAACCTTCAGACGTAAAATCAATAGTCGCGGCTTCATCCAAGTCTGGAACAACATTATCTAATAAAAAACATTTTGAGTTTACATCAGATCTTCTTTTGAAATTTTTTCTAGGGAATCTAGGGAGTTTTCGACCCGCCAAATTTATACACTGTTAATATACTCAGTTAATTTCAGTTTTTGGACCTTTTCTAAAGAGAGCTGGGAAAACTGCGATGGTTTAAGTATCAATATATAGGAGGTTTAGCTGACAGAATGCATATTAAAATCAAAGTACCAAAACCAAGATCTGCTTCATCTCCTTCTCCAGAAGACGCCATGATATCAAATCTTGTATCATCAACACGAAGACCTAAGTTGGGAACACAATGCCTTTATTTGTTGAATATTAAAATACTTTCCTTTCCCTCTCCGAGACCACTGCAAAATAATCCCGTTCGTGGCTCCCTAAAGCGTTTCGTACCTTCTTCCGTCATTCCCATCGCTAATCCTCCTGTCTGAGGTAAGCTGCTCTCAGTTGTTGATCCAAATAAGAATGATGGATGTTGCACACGAGGTGAACTAAACACGTTACAATATCAGGAAGTTGAACATGATTTTTAACAACATCATTCCATGGACTTACCTTATCATTTCACTAAAACCATCTGATCGTTTTGGAATGAATAATGTGGGAGTACTCGGTACCATGCAATCATCAGTTTCATCAAAGCCACCACCACCAGACTGGCTCTAGGAAAATAACATCAAAGTTTTTTGACCTCATATCAAACACACTACGCCTCGAGCAACAGTAGATGGAACCCTGGGTACTAGATTGCCTCGTAATAAATTAGTGATACGCGAAGGAACTTCTTGGTACGAGCATTATTCGAAACAATGTTAACAACAGCTTGAAGCAGAATATTCAAAAAAAATTTGTGACAATTATTTAGCTAACATCTGCCCACCTGAGACAAGGTGAACGGCGCTAGATGAGACTGGGATCTAATGAATGGTGGTTGAGTCCTAGGATGGACACTTTGTGATGTCACAACAGGCTCCTGAGAATGTTGTTCTTGATGTGATGTCGATATTGCGTCCGTAGTGGTTGGTATAACAACATCTGTACTATCTGCAGATTCTGAGAAATATACAATGAAAGTTACGAGGTGTAAGTTATACATCGTCTGCGAGGCTGGACCTTAGACCCAGTTTAAGTAAAGATAAGGGTCCATAACATTTTCCGAGGTTTTTTTCATTTATACGGCAAAATCAATGTATTCCAACCTTCTTGTCCAGGACCTTGCGACTGTTCTGCAGGAATTTCTTCAGCATCAGCAAATTCTTCTAGACGAGAATTTAATAGCGCATTAGAACGACGCATTAGAACGATCAGAAGCGATGATCTTAGTGACTACATCACCTCTATATTTAAACTATATATTTACGTTCTCTGTTACTCTGTTTCTCAAGTTCTCTGCACGCAACAGTCACAGTAGAGTATTTTTCTATTTATAATATATTTACCTTTCATATCGATGTCATCTTCAACATCATTTTCAACATCATCCTCGTCATCATCCTCATCATCATCATCATCAATAACTTCGACGACATCATCATCTTCATCGATATCATCCGCTTCAATTTGTCCATCATCTTCACCAGCTTCTTCTTCCTCACTATCATCATCAATACATACAACCTGGAAAAAACAAATTCCCAGTTTCAATGCTGAATCAATATTTCTTTGCATTTCTATCAGTTTTTCTACTTTATTGAATTTTGAAACTTTTCTACCCTAATTCTCTTCATAATTTCTATATACATAACAATCAATGACCTCTCTTTCTTCTTCAACTTCTTCCTGTCTTTCCTCATCGTTGTCATCAACATCAATATTATCGTCCTCGGCCATCACATCAAGAACATCTTCTTCATCCAATTGTTCTGTCGTTTCCTCAATTTCTTCCTGCTAAAATAGTGTGTTCAAACCAGTGATAAATCCGTAAATATTTTTTTCTGACAAAGACGTTGAAAAAATCGCGTATTGCTGCATTGGTTACCAGGTGAGCAGTGAAAGAGGCTTATTTCTTACCATTTCCGTTCTTGACTTCTTTGCTTCTTGAAGTCCTAAATTTTGATCTGTTGTGCTACAAACACAGAGAGACACATTACAGTGGTGCATCTTTCACTCTAAAGGAATAATGTTCAGCGCCTGAAGAGAAATACTAATATACTGTACCTTTCACTTTCACGTGGACGTTTGTTTCCAGGTCGTTCATCATCCTCCCTTACTGGGACGTCATCTTCAGGTCTGTAAGAACACAGTTTTTATTTATTATTCTACTCGTAAGACATCTTACGTAACCAAACAATACGAAATCTTAAAAATATGTTTTAAAAACCTGACCTTAACTCTGCTGACTGGATTTGTGCTGAAGTTGAAGGACGTTCATCAATAATAACATCAGAAGGTCTTTCTTCATCAACGTCATGTGTTGGTATGATAGCCACACTTGACGACATGATTGGCCTTACAGATACAGCAGCCACATCTGATGTAGTTGACGTCATTACAGAGGAGGAGACTGGGGTTGATGGTAGAGGATGAACTGTTGGTGTAGCAGAAGTTTGTGCTCGTGCAGAGACTGGTAATGTAGCAATAGGTTCAGCGGAAACTGTTGGCTGAGTTGTAACTGCTGTAGGTACTGCGGGTTGAGTAGTGACGGTGGGTGGCACAGTGGCACGGGGCGTGGCTTGGACTGTGGCTGACGTCATAGGTCGTATACTAGCTGTTGGTGTTGCTAAAGAACGGACTGGTACAGAGTTTGTTGGAGTAGCTGTTGGCTTGACAGCAGCAGTTGGTGGAACAGCAGTAGTGACTTGAGTGCTGTTTAGATCTTCATTCCCCCCTGAACTTACAGTTGAACTGGATGAATTACCCTGACCCTGACTCGCTGCAATTTGGCTCGCCTGAGATTTGATTTTTTGCTGAGCCTGGCGTATTAAACGGTCATACTGTTGTAGCTTCTTCTTTAACTTATCTATTTCACTAAAAAACGATATTTCAATATTTGTTGAGTCAAACACAGTCAAATATTCCTGAAACTTTTTACGAATAAAAAGCTCAGCATGTCGTTCATGCTTGCTATAGACACATCTAAACAATCCACTCATAAGTTGCAATAACACACAGAAAAATTAGTCAAATATAACAGCTTTTAAATACGCTCCTCGCTTAGTTCAACTTTCCCTCCATCTTTTTACAGACCTTTCTTTTTCATTTTCTTTTTCCTGACTTTCGTTCTTTTCTTGTTCGTATTTTTCGATCAACTCATTCTTCTCTTTCAATTCTTTGTCCATTCTTGCATGTTTTCCTTCAAACTGAGTTGATAAAACAGTCAGTCTCATTTCACGTTCACTGCTTGCAGCTGCCAAAGCCTCTTTCTCTTGACGAAGACCTTCCAAGGATTTCTTCAGTTCTTCACATTCGGCAGAATATTTATCTTTCATTGCTAAAATATTCAAAAAAAAAACTCTCACCCGGGAGAACAGTGTTTAAACTAATTCAAGGAGTATAGGTCGGACAAATATTGGAATCACGTAATACTTCGCATTGCGTTGTAAAATGACATACATCAAACGTGCAATTATTTTGATACAACATCAATACTTACTCATCAACTGTTGAATTCGTTTCGTTGCAGAGTTTAGAGTTTTTTTCGATTTCTCTTCTTTTTCCTAAAACATTAACCAAAATGGTTGCAGTAAAAGATTTGTGATGCGCAGTAAACGATTTGTAGTGTGATGATGGTAGGCACTTATGCACAGTGTTCAACGCCTACAAAACTAACCTTGCTTGTTTTTAGGTTCTGATTCAGTTTGTCCATTTCCTCCTGCAAACTATTTTTCTCTTCAGTTAAAGTTGTAATCATATTTTCCTGCTTTGTTACATCACCACTTGGTTGTTCTTCTGAAAGTTTTTTGGATAATTCCTCTTTTTGAGCGAATGTTTCGTCATATTGGGTCTTGTAACGTTTAGCAATCTTTTTTAACTGTAAAAAATAATCACATTGCGTGATATCTACAGTATGAATCCGTTGAACCTGGTCAAATATCTAATAATTTGATACTTTTGGAAGTGTTTGTCTAGAAATACAGACAATACGACGCAGATAGCCATGGAAAATAGCTTGACCCTGCGTGTTATATCTTATCTTACTTGAATAATCGTTTTTGCTTTCTCCTGGATCTCATCTGTTTTAGTTCCCAGTTCCTTCTGGAAATTCTCATTTTCTTCTTTTAGTTTCGCCGCTGCTGCATTATTCTCAGCCTTCGCAGTCTTCAGTTCTTCCTGTATTTTTGCTGTTTCAGTCTGGTGTCAAAATAAACATTTACATCAATCAATATCCTTGTCACTGGAAGCGCTGACAGGATGAACCCGAGCAAAAGCAATGGTTTACCTTTTTCACATTAATTTCAGCTTGTAATCTCGTGATTTCATTCCTCATAGCATCCATTCTCACTTTCAATTTTTGTGCCTCATCCGTCGATGCTTTTTGTTGTCCTACAAGTTGTTTCTTTTCTTCTTGCAATTTCTTCATTTCTTCCGGATCAATTTGGTTCTTACATTGTTCTATCAACTGATTCACTCGTGAACGCCAGCGTTGAATCTTAAACGAGATGATTAAATAATTGATGGAAAGAAAATCTCGACTAAAAACATTAGTTTAACTATGAACTAGAAATAGAAAGTGAACCATGATAACTATATTTAATAGTTTTGTAAACTGTTTTTATACTGGGGTCAAAATATGGACTTAATTTCATTCACAGTCACTCGTACCTCGCTTCTGAGTCCAGTTTTTTCTCCAACTAACATATCTTTCTGAGCAGTCAAATTCTTGATACTTTGTTTTAGTGGATTGATGTCACTTTCAAGACGCTTGGCCTGAAAAAATAGATTAATTTCAATAAAACAACAACTACAAAAGTTGTCCTGCTCTATAGCTAGAAGGCATGCGAATCATTAATACTGGACGAAGATTTATTTGCATGTCAGACGACAATTTCAAGCAGTTTGACGTGTGTCAAACAGTGTTACATAAAATACTGTCATTCATAAGTGTTACCAAAACATATCATTGCATAGAAAACAACCTCATCTCTGTTGTCTAAAACCTTCATAACTGAATTAATAAATGCGCAGTTGTCAATGGGCGGTATTTTTTGTACTTGCCTGTGCTTCTGTCTGTTTCAGCTTATTTTGCAAGGTTTCTTTATCATTGTTCAAAACTTTATTCATCTCCTCTATTTCTGCTACCATCTCAACTTTCTTCATTATTTCCTCGTGTTCAGCGACATCAATAGGAAGTGATTTTGTTCTTTCTTTCTCCTTTTTCAAGATTTCTTCTGTGTCTTGAAGTTGTTTTTCAACGTATTCTAAACGTTGTTGATATCGAACACTCTCAGATTGCAAAAGTTCACTCTTTGTTTCTGCAATTTCCTTTTCTTTTCTTACAAATCTAAGATGAAGGAAATATTTAGTTTACTTTGTGACGCTATGACTGTTATTAACAATTAAATGTTGAGCCTGAGATTCCACGGTGTTTTGAAGAGAACGAATACTTCTAAACGTTTTTACTATATTCGTGCGAGGAAAGTTCAATCAAATCCCGGGACATTCGACGCGAAAATTTAGCATTTGCAATGGCTTTGGACGCAAATTTAAAAACATTTTGAGGAAAAAATATCACGAGACTGAAAGACGGCTAAAAACTGAGGAATATTGATAAATATCAAATTACATTGTCGAAGCTCAAGTGGTGTCATTTCTGCAGAAATGAAGTGGCTGTCTATATTAGTGTCATTCAGAGACCCACGTGGACTTTAGGAAAGTTCGCTAAGCGACATTATTTACCTGATGACTTCCCACAGATCTTTGACAGTTTTATCAACTGGAGCATCAGATGATTCTGGTGTAGTTTCACTAGTTACGCGAATGTCACCGAGAGAACGAGACTGAGCGGCCAGTACTTGTTGAGACAGCTGAAATGAAAATAACTTCAGGTAGAAATAAAGATTGTAAGCACAGAATGTCTAATTCATGTACTAATAATAATGTTCTAAAAATGGTTTTCGATCGTCAAGGAACACTACAAAAGACCAACCTTCTCGCCTTGTTCGTGCAGTAAAGCGTTCTGATTTTTCAGTTCGTCACAGCGTGAAACTAGTTTCTCCAACTCTCCTTTGTGTATATTTTTCTGTTCTTCCCACGAGGCTTTGCACTCATTCAAATTACCCTCGGCATTTTTGCGCTTTTCTTCCGTTTCCGCCAAGCGAGATTCAAATGTTTCTAACTGAAATATTTTTAAACAAGAAATTGCTATACTGCGAGTTTGTAAGAAACTTTAAATACCATGGTAGTGAACGGACGATATAGTTAATGGTCAACCAATGAATGCATGGTTTGACCATGTTTATGTTACACTTGATGTAACAATCCTACCTGTTCTTTTGCCAAAGTCAAAGCCTGAACATCGGACGCATGATGAACCAACTCTTTTTGATATTTTTCTTGAGTCTAAAAATAAAGCCAGATTGGTGTCTCTTGCAGTGAATACTCTGCGTATATCGTGGAAAACACTTCATAAATGCGGTAAAACTCGTGTTTTGCGCTGACTGTCCTATATAAGCTGTCTAAAATTGACGTTAGCTAAATTGCATTTCAACAGTTTTAAATTCGTCAGGAATCGCAGTACGTCTTGTTTTTATTCAATAAACTCGCACATTTTATAAACCTATGTCAATATCTGAGAGAAAAAACACTAACACCACGAAGAGACGATATACCTCTTTAGCCAAGGTTTTCTGTTCCTCGCATATTTCATTTGCTCTTTTTTCTTTTTCAACACACATCTCAGCTCGTTTCACAGCCTCCCTTGCTTCTGACGTCAATATCTCCACTGACTTCTGTAGACTTGCTGTTTTATCGGTAAATTGTTTTTTTAATTCTGTATTTTCTGATGTTAGATTTGCAAGCGTCGCTTGTGTTGATGTGAGAGATTCCTGTAAAGCCGCCATTACTTTCACGTTGTCTTCTTTTTCACCCTCGGCTTTTTCCTGGTATAATTTGCTTGTCTACGAGATGGAAAAAATTCAATATGTTAACTTGGAGTATCTTGTCCCATGCAAAGTGAATTCACTTCGATACACCTTTCGCAAGGCTTTTAAATTAGGTTATAAAGCAAGCAATGCATATAACAAGCGTGGTCAAGAAGCGGACAATAATTGTTCATACCTTGTTCAACTCTGACAGAGCTTCTTCATTTGCAGTCAGCATCGCTTTATATTGATCTAAATGTTTCTTCGAAAGTCCAATCTGATTCTCCAGCACTAAAAATAGTATACAGTAAGCTAAGGCAAATAGAATGAATCTGTGCAGCATTGTTAAACGAGAAAACGATCTTCTTTCTTATTATTGTCATGCAAGCTTCTTGTAACAGCGTCAGTGACACTTACACAATGTACACAGCAACGTTATATTTACATATTGTCGCGTTAACGCCGTTATATTCTTTACAACACCAACATGGTCCCCTGATGCACAAAGCACAATGTACTAATACTGTAATTATGGTACCTTTGTTTCTTGTCTCAGTTTCATACAACTTTCCTTTTATCTCCTCAACTGTTGATGAAAACTGTTCTTCTTTCTCTTTCAATCTTCGGGCAAACTCGTGTCCTAAAATTTTCGATAGAAAGCGATGAAAATATTTCCTAGAAAACCGCATGAAAACATGCAATAATAAGCTTCCTTCTATATCTGCACAAGTAAAACTTTCAATATGTTGCATGTAAACTAAGCTTCCACTATTATCCCCAGTCATCCTCATTATACCTGGACCATCCTCGCTTGCATCTCGTGCAAGAATTTCATTCAATCTCGTTTCACTCGCTAATAAATGTGATTCTTTTTCAGACAACTATACAAAATCAAAAATAGTTTTTAACAACTTCATCGTCTGGAATTCACAAGCCAAGTAAAGGTCCTGAGCTCGAAGTACAAAAAGCTTTGCTAACCTTTATCTTAACACTATTCAACTCTAACTGAAGTGCTTCCACCTTATTTTCTGCTTCTTTTAGAAGTTCTGATTCTGCTTTTAATTTTCTTTTACATTCACCAACTTGGGACTAACAATAAATTTGTATTACCAATAAATAAACAATAAAGAAATCATGACCAGGTGCAAGACAACAATATACATGAGGGCACATACTAATAACAATATACATGAGGGAACATATTGATAACAGTGTCATGTACGATGAGGTGTTTACCCTCTGTAAAGATTTGTAATAACAATACATATTTACAAACCTTGAATGAATCAGCAGACTTTGTAATCTGGTCTTGTTCAGAAGTTAATTTTTGTTTTAAAATAGCGACTTCTTGTTCCAGAGCAGAAACTTGACTTGTATGTCTCGATCTTGTTTCATACTCTTGTCGTTCTAAATTGTTCTGAAAGAAAAGAACAAAATATGAAGAAGTTCCTCGTAATACATAGATATATATTGTGCCGCCCTAAGGTAAGAAGTTGATTTAGCAACTCGTCAACATCCTTCAAATCATTTGCGGGTTTCTTCTTTCCTAGATTGTCATTATGTTACATGCACACCTGCCAATCCTGTCTTGGATCAGATGCATACTGACCTGTATTGTTTGAAGATTGGTTAACAATGTATTCTGTCCTTTTTGTTGATTTATCAACGATTTATTTTCCTCAACGAGTCTTGCTTCCGCTTGTTTAACTATATTTTTCTCTTCAACCAAATTTTGATACATCACCTGAACAAAAAGACATACGTTCTAAGTCACATATACCTGCAAAATATATAGTTGTTCGCTACAATTTTTTATCTTCTCAGACCAAAATGGCTTTACATGAAAAAGCCTGACAGGTCGAGGCCTTTCAGAGCATGGAATATACAACACACGAGCCTATTTACCCTCACGAACATACCTCACTTCGCATCAATTTCTCTTTCACTTCACTTAAATCTTGCTTGGCAGTTTCGTATGATGTTTCAAGTTTTGCAGAAGTTAAAGATAATTTCTCAGATTTATCCCTTAATGCAGCCGCTTCACGTTTCAAACTGTTGCAATTTGACTCCAGTAACTTGTATCTTTCATTTGTATGCTCCAACTAGAAATATAAATCACGCAAGCTCAAATTGCCGCATTGCAATTGGTGAATAAATATGCCTAACTACAATAAGATATTGTTATTAGACTAACACAAGACACTTGGTTAAGGAATTATTGATACCTGAGACATCGCAGTTGCATTTTTTATATTTAACTCTGAGATGGTTGACCGCAGTTCTTCATTCTTTTCCTTGATCTGTCTAAAACACGATGCGATGTTGAATTAACAACTCGATCTACGAACTATAGGTCACGATACTCTCCCGCCCCATTTACTACCATCGATGACATTCCGTTTTTCATTGCTATAGTACCACTTAACAATACCAGTATCAAGATTGCTCTTGAACACAACAAAAATACAGTAATAACAAATCATTCACACTCGTATAAAGCTATAAGCTTACTTTTCATTTGACAGCTTTTCATTTTTGTAGCTTTCAAACTGTTTTTGAAGTTCCTTTAACGCTTCATTTGTTTCTTCAAAAGATGACTGATTCAAGACATTTTGATCAAGTACTTGTCGCGGTGTTATCTAAATCATAAAAATACAGATAAGAGATTTTAATGAATTAAAACCTTTATGAACTGCTTATGATTGTATAATGTACAATGTACAAAAGGCTTTATGAACTGCTTATATACAGTACGACATTCATAGTTGATACGATCATTGGACTGGCCTACAGACTTTAACAAAAAAGTGTTAAAAATTACAGGTGATTGTCCAGTGTTTGCCAAAAGAACGCGATACATATCTCTTTGACGTACAACGGCTTCCACCTTAACAAAAAGAGCATCTTTTCAGAGACCACCTTTCTATACTATGAACCATGTTCCTCATGACATGGCTGTTATTTTATTGCGTACACAGCAAACGAGATACTGTCCACACATTTAGTGTTAATCTTAGAATAAAACTTACCATAGAAGTTTGCCTTTCGCGACTTTCTTTTAATTCCTCCAGCTCATTAAGTGCTTCATCCAGTTTCTGTTTTAGTTCAGTGTGACTGTATGAAGGTAAAAACACCTCGTCAGTAATGTTCTTAGGATTTGCAACTTTGATCAGGGACTTGCGAAAATCAGGATTAAACGAAATTCATCGTACGACTTAAAACATCCAGAACTTCAACTCATATCAAAAAACTTGACAATCGACTGAGAAGAATCATTACAAATATTGTATGCATATTTTTACCATAAGATAAAATTTTCAAATTTCTTACGCCAAATCACTTTTCTCTTTCTGTTCATCTTTCTCTTTTTCTTCACTAAGTTCCCGGACGACCGTCAAGAGCCGTTGATTCTGTTCTTGAAGTTCTTCAATATTTCTAAACAAAACATTTCCACATTCTATAGTCCATTCGAAGCAGGGAAATTAGCGTAGGGAACAAGAACATGCCGCGAACACGTTTTCTGCCATTTTAAAACCCAAACTGAACGACATACCTGAATGTTACCAATCTGCTTGAAATCACTTCCGATGAACTGGAAACCTCGTCATGTGAATGAGCAAGATCATCCAACACAATACTTGATGTAGTACTCACTACAGAACCTCTGGCTTCTTCACACTCCTTCAGCAAAACTTTAACCTGATTTCAAAGAATATTTTTAGTCCAATGAATATCTGAAAGATCAAAACGACCGGACAGTCGAGTCGTTTCGTCGAGAAGTCATCCTATCTGTATCTACTACAGTTGAAAAACTTTATTTTTAAAATTTCCTGGGTTTATAAACACCTCGGCAAAAATATATTTAATTTCACGAGATCACACACACATTATTCAGCAATGCTCACATCTGTCCTTAAATGCTCATATCTGTCCCCAATTCTCGATGAACTCACACAGACTCATGCAACGTTAAACTTTCCGAACCTGCGAGGCAAGATCAGCAGTCAATACTTTCATTCTTTCATTTTCTCTTCTCAAATGTTCAGATTTTTGAACAGCTTCGCTCGTCTCCATACTGTATTTCTCCATTTCCTTAAAATAAGCAAAGGTCTTGAAAATCACAGGCACAAAAATATATAATATGCAGAATATGACACAGGGAAGGCTTTTCTGCGTTCATTTGTGTTGGCTGAAACAGAACACTAACGCGATCTCTTTTATTTGCCTTGCTATACATTACACAATTCCCATCAAACGGAATTGTAATTCAACTCTCTAAAACCCAATTTTTAGCCGTGAAATGTTGTACAATTCTTGCCCTCAAGTTTTACAACTCTGACAGCAGTCCCTTAGATAAAATGAAATACCTAACGAAGATCGGGCGCAAGAAGAACTCCTCAAAAGTTGTTTAAATACAACTCAAACCTTCATAGCATCCTCCAGTTTCAACGTTAGCTTGTCAATTGTAATGAGAGAGCCTTCGTAATCTTTTCGTTGTTGTTGGAGCAATGGAGCTTTTTCTTCAATATCCTTGATTCAAAACAAGATTATGAAACAATCGTGGTATAGGCTGATTGGATAGGTTGGTTGGTTAGGTTGGTTAGACTCGATAAACTTTCTTTCATTATCTATCTCTTACCTTCAAGATATCCTCCAAGTATCCCTTCAAACGGCCATTTTCAGCCTTTTCAATTTCAAGTGAATCGAGAGTCTCAACGTATTGATTGTAAATCTAAAATTTGAACAGAAAAACGCTTTGAAAATGAACTAAAATGTTGTGATAATACATACTGTAACTTAGAAACTTAATTCAGAATACTACCATGTATTGTAAAAGATAATTCAGCCAAATACACTTCACGCAAACATGTTCTTCAGTATATTAAATAACGACTCACCTGTGTCAAGGTCATTCCAGACTTCAAGAATGAACTAGTTGCAGCCGCAGTGGGCGAGAAAGCTGCCAAACTTTCAGCTGACATTGGAGCAGTTCCTGATACGATGAATGAATAAAAAATACAAAAACAATAACAGCTTAAATGAGTGATTAATGTTCTGCCCAATCCAATACTATACACATATATATATTTTTGTTTCTTTAAAATCCAAAGATTTGCATTGTATTATATTATCCTGACAACACTCACCTCTCTGTCTTGCTGCTTCCAACAAGTCATTTGCATTTTTCAGCTCATTTTCAATATTCATCACTTTCTCATCTGAAGATGTTCAATACAAAAGCAATGATTTAAAAACGAAGTTTAGCAACCCTCAAAATCTCAAAGTAAGAATTCAATCTACCATATTCTTTAATAACTCTATCAAGATTTCCTTCACTTTCTGTCAGTTTGCTCTCTACTTCCACACGCCCTGAAACAATTGACTTGATGTAAGAAAACTGTTGATAAAAAGCAACATACAGTGATTTCTTTTGACCAATATAAAGAGCTCAAATCAGTCGGACATGCCAGTACTCAGGAAAATATAATCTTACCATTGTTAGCCTCTTTCAGCAAGCCTTGTAACTCCTCTATAGCACCAACAAGTTCCTCACATTTCAATTTTGAACTTTCAGATGTGTCCTGTTCAGACAATATTGAATTGCTGCATTTTGTAATGAAGTACGCATGGTATACAGGGACCATATCTAGTTCGTATAGTACGCATGGTATACAAGGACCATATCTAGTTTGTATAGTTATGTATGGTATACAGGGACTATATCTAGTTATATTCTTAAACTAATTTTACCTTGTAGAGCAATGCCAGTTTACTTTGGGAAGCAATCTCAAGTTTATATTGTTCCTCTGTCTTTAAGTGATGTTCACGGGCCTAAATGTGGAATGTTGCTGCATGATTTATACATTCTGCATAGATTTACTCATATATTTCTTTAAAAATATACAGTTTTCCAGACAGTTTATTTGACTAAATTCTACAAAGGCATTTCAAGAATAATTGATGAGCCATTTGGCATATGGTAACATTTCTTACTTCTTTCAATTTGTCAACAAGGGAACTTGTTTTGTCTTTCAACTCCTCATTGTCTGTCTTCAGGTTTTCACTCAAAGATTCAAGATTATTTGCCTGTAAAAAATCATTGAATAAATCATATGTACTACATAGTATAAAGCGCAATTGTTATATATAAAAACTTGTTTACCTCATCAATTTTTGCATCCAGTGAAGTTTGCAACTGGGTAATGGTTGAAGTCTGGATGAGAACAGAAGAATATTGTGAGCACATGTGAACTGCTATGCTCTTAAATAAGCATAGCTTGTCTTCTTAATTAATACAGAAGAATTTATAACATGAAATAATTATGTTGCCATTATATACAAACCTGTTCTTTCCTCAGAAGGAAATATTCTTCAGATTTTTTCTTTAGCAACGAGTCAAACCAATCTCTTTGTTTTGTCACAAGATCTTTTTCTTGTTCTAATCTTTTTTCTCGTAACTGCAGATAACATACAAAATTCCAGGCTTGAATACCTTAATACCACTTTTGTTCGCACAATCATATAAATAATCTTTTAACCAACCTGATATGATGTCTCTTTACTCTTAAGTTCATCCAACTTTGCCTGATTATTATTAAAGATAATATTAAATATATTATCTAAAACAGCAGCTAGATCATGAACAAACTATCATTACAAACCTTTGCTTCATATTGTATCGCATTTGCATTGCTGACTTTCTCAGACATTAACTTCCATTCCTCTACAAAACCAAATCATTAAGATTGTTCACACTGGAATGAAATGTAACTGCTCTTTCTGTTCCCTATGTGCTAATGTGCTTGACAGATATTTTAAACAAATTGATACTTGATCACATAGTCTGTCAAAACTAAAAAATCTCACCATTCAATCTGTCAATTTCTTGATTCTTTCTCTCCAATGTAGCTACTAATGTGAGCTTTTCTGCTTCAAGGGTTTGATTTTCACAAAACACTGTTGACTAATGAAGAACAAAATAAACTAGGTAAAAATCTGACTTTATTGTTATGTTTATATCACTTTATGTTTTGTTAAACTATATTCACCCACATAGTTTGTTACAGCAGCATCTTTTAAAGATTCAGCTTCAGACAGTCGCTTCGATTTCACTTCCAAAGCTTCAGCTACAAACAAAACAAAATTGTAACCTCAGACATAGTAACCTCACATTAACTTAGAGGTGAACCTCACAACTATTAAAACTAACCTGTTTCGTCTAAATTCTTCTTTAATATCTCATTTGACTGTGTTTCATGTTCCAACTTACTGTTACATGAAATAAGTTGCTTTTCCAATTGATTGAATTGTTGATCTGAAATGCATAAATGGTTGGCGAAATGTTGAAAATATTTAACATAGTGACTTCAGCTAGAAATTGTATGACTGGGATTTAATGTTGATTTAGCCTCATTTGACAGTAATATTAAAATAGTTGAAAGTCTCAAAATGTATGACATTCATAGAAGTCATTCTTCGCATGGACCATACCACCAAACAAGCTAATGCATCCTGCTATCTTAATACATTAGCAAGCATAATCTATATTTCGGGAAAGCACTGATAATGGCTATATCTTTGTTATATGCATGGAATATATAATCACAATCAATGCTGGATTATAAACTATCAACTATGTAAGCAAAATTTGCATCACACATTCGTTTCTCGCAAAATCAGTTAAGAAAATTGATCAGTTTTTAACCATTAAATAAGAAATCAGTAAGGTATTTCCTCATCTCCCTGCAGCTATTCTAATATTTCCTGGACTGTGAAATATACTCACCAGCATTCACACGTGCACGTCGAAGAATTTGGACATTGTTGATCATTTTCTCTTTTTGCGCTTTCTCTCTGGAGACATATTCGCTAATATCTTTAAATATAGACTTAGCACTTTCGCTAGAGTTTAAAACATTGCATATTGCAGCTTTAGAAAGTCCAGTTTCACGACATAATATCTCCAGTTCTTCCAAATCAGACGCCATCTTTCAAGTTTTAACTGAAATTTGCAGTCAGTGACTCTGACATTTTGATCCAGTGATTTCGACACATTACCGACAAATTATTCGAGCGCAAAAAATAGCACGATGGACGGGAAAAAAATGTCTCGTAAATGGTAGGTACCATCACGGGTACCATCCAGTACCATCACTGTAATGACTGTATCCTCCATCTATAGGTACCTATGTAGATACCAGACACACTGAGCTCTAGTATAATTCCTGCAGGACTTGCTCTAGTTTTTTCGATCGGACTTTTCAAGTTCTGTCTAGTTTTCTAGATCTATATCTTTATCTAACACCTGCTCTATGAATATTGATTCGGCCCCTTAAATCCTTAATTGCCATCGTTGCCATAGAACCGAAAGGAATTGGAACGCTACCATAGATTGTCTTCGACTGGAAATAAAGCAAGTCTTGCCCAGTCTTAAAACCTTCACTAAAAGTCCTAATATTTACCGATGTAATCCACACATCATTATACGCTTGCTAATGTATATTAAGAGATGGCAGCCAAACTTCAACCTTTATTACTAAAAGCTATACAATTTGTGATAATATACGTACATATAAGCGACTGTTCACAAAGTTATGTTTAGTCATTCTTCAATTAAAGAGAAATTAAAGTTATTTTCTCCAGTTTTAAAAATAATTTCTGCAGCTTTCTCTTGTTTATTTTGTAGCAAATAAACACATGTGGACAATGAGCTGATATCCTGACCGACCATTCACTGGAGAAATGAGCAAGATCTTTCAGACAGGCTATATGCCTATATGCCTATATCTCTCTGATTCGTCCTCTTTATGGCGTCACCTTCAGTCTCCGCCATCACTCAAGCCCGTCAAACACTCATTTGCCGTCTTTTATGGTATTCACATGTCACAGAATGATCAAGACACTCCATCTCATCGTGAAATACTGCGGTATAGACTTCATCTACAATTTGCAAACGACGTAATTCCTCGCTTACAGGTAAAGGCTGGCAGCAAATACGATATCTCTTTTGATCTTTGTAATTCCTGTTAATACATTTCACACACAGATCAGCATCGTTTTTCAACTTACAAAGATACGCAAACTATGAAAAATTATGAAGCAAAACAGCACGAACGAAAGAGCCTGAATCAAGTAAGTTATGCTTCAAGCCAGCCAACCACAAATAGTAACGAACTATTATACAAACCTTCAGCAAATTTATTTTCGAGCTCAGTGTTTCCAATAGCTTTAGCAGCTTGACACATCTGTCTAAGGAGTTCTTCCAAACGACGCATGCATCTGATGACACTACCTGAAGAAAAAAAACACACAGTTTAGTGTGTATAGGTATTAATCACCTGCATGAAATAAATCAACCAAGAAACGTGTACTAATATCTTGTACGTGGGTTCAAACATTTTTCGCAAATAAATGTATTTCTTACTGAAGAAAATAAATCCTACTTTATTGAAAGAATAAAAACAAACTGATCCAGTATTTTACCTTCAAATACGTCAGTCATTTTACAGATTTGGGAGAATGCAGCCCCTTTGCTCCAAGAATAAACAACGTCCATTAACTGTGGTTTAAAAGAGCCAACATAATCTTCAATATCAACATTAAGTTTGGCTTCTTGAGAAACTTTCCCAATACGTCGAGCTGTTTCTTGTAGCTGTCGTAATGGCCCAGCTAATTCTTCTGTCATTTTTGGCATCTCCCCGCTCTAATAAGATAATAGTTATTTCTGATTAAACTGACATGTACACAGATCAGAAATAAGGTTCCATCATTGAGTTAAAATAAGAGTATACAGGCATACTCTTATTTTTATCAGAAAAAAAACAACTGGTAATCAGAATAAGAATAGCCAAATTCATGCTACTTGGTAATTTAGCAATTGAAAATAAATCATATACCTTTTCTTGAAAAACAAAACAACTTAACAATGCCGGACATTGTTCAACAGTCAGATCGTTAAAAACTCCATTAAAAATCATCTCCGTCAACACAAGTTCATCGGCGCTACACGTACAGAAGTGAAGAAATATTACCCAGAAAGTACGCGTACCAGGCTGCTTTATCTTAGTGATATAGTAATTATTCTTATCTGAGAGTTCAGTTCGAGATCTGAATCTGATAATTTGATACGAGGAAACGACCCAATACAAATTTCGAGTTTGCAGAAAATCAATAATTATTAGCTTACCTGCTTATTTCACAGGCTACTCTCCCCTTGAGTTCAATAACATCAGCTGCTGTGGAGTAGCCCAGTCTGAAATAAAATATCAAACACACGCGCGATACATGTTAAGGTAAGGTAATAGTAAGGTAAATTAATGAACAAATAGACGCCAGGATAAGGGCAGCCATAGACAACCATTAATGAACTATTAGGAAATGTTAAAAAGATAAGATTATATCTAACACGAGTTCTTCTCCTTCAGACCCTTACCTTCGCAAAACTCTTTTTCTACACTTCAGTTCATCCATTTGTAATATGGTTCGACATTTTTTAATTTCTTTCTTCGCTAGTTTTATATCGTTATTGAACTAGAGAAAAAGACAATGAAATATTTCATCTTTATTTCATCAACATGCAGTAGGAAAACGATAAGGCGCGTGAAGGATGCTGAGCTTACTTTAGATTTCGTTTCACAAAGCTCATAAAGTGAGTCACGATCGGGATCTTTCTCCATGGGATGTGTGTACATCTTGTGTTCAAGTGCCTCGATTTTCTGTAAAAAAGATGATCTATAATTATATCATATCCCATATAAACAAGTTTCACTCAGGACGCTTATATATTATTCGTAATAAAAAATAATATCAAGCGGTACCCTAACAATTGACTTTAAACCCTCGTCTTTAATTCCCATATCATCAATTGGATCCAATAGTGGTAAACCATCTTTAAATCTCTTTTTTACCTCCTACACGGTGGGGAGAAATAAATAAATAAATATTTTCCATGTACACGAAAGTTTTATAACACAAAATCTATCGAGACTGGACGTGTAAATAACGTGCACTAGCAAACACCAATACAGTATTGCTGTCCATGAAATAGATGTATTTTAAAACATTATAGTTTATGAACACGTGTTTAACCTGTATTGATTTTCCAACATTTTGTCTTGCATCAAGTGGTCTGATATCTTTAGGAATATAAAGTCTCACGCTGCTCACAGCTTGAACTAACTGAAGAAGAACTGGGATCACCTGGAATTAAAGATTTTAATATCAATATCTTGAATACGTTTTAGACTTTTCATGACATCTATATTCATGCATTCTTCTCAAACAATGACCAATAAATCTGGCGGTCCAGATACTGAAGCTGGGAGTTGAAATCCCGCTCAGAGCAACGACGTTTTATTTATCAAAGGTGAGCGTAAATGTTGACATATAAAAGTTCTCTTATAAATTCATCTCACATGCACCTGCATCTCTCCTTTCTCGCCAGGAGGGCATGGATTAGGAATACTTCCAGTTGCAGTCTTCTTAGGTTTTAAAGAACAGTTTACTAAAACCTCCAATACGTACAATGATTCTTCAGACATTGTTTCACTCTGTCGAAAGAAAATAAACTTGGATTTAGGTTGAAAGAAACAAGGAACATAAGAATTGCATGGAATGTTAACTGGGATATAAGATGTAAGGATTGATGTGACGATGCTTTCAAATGGTAAATCACATGCAGGTAACAAATCAACAAAGCAATGCACTTCGTTACATAAGAGTAGACTATTTCAATCAAACAATTTTTTATTTGTATAACACTGCATGCAATTAGCCTTTCTAACGATGACGAGTGTGGCGTGCATATGGGCTATATTTACTCTTTTAGCAGATAATCGTCGTTGTTTATAAATAACATTTTTTACCTTTTGATTTGCTTTCTTTTGAAAATTTATGACAACACCCCAGTCAAAATCCATATCTTCGTGCTTGACCTAAACGACAATATATAGAATAAGCTATAGGAAATATAATAACCATTGACTAAGTGAAACTTCGATTATTGGGCGAAGAAATAAAATAGATCACTCACATGAACCAGACGTCCAGGTTGCATAAATGGTAGACAATATTTCGGTTGATGAATGAAACCCTATGAGAAAAATCATTGCATTAAAATCCATTGCATGCTTAATTAATGTTAAAAGAGATAATATGTTTACTATGGTTTTTATTTTAACTTACCAACATATCATTTCCAAGTTTTTTCAATTGTTGTCTTATTTTGTAAAACGAAGAGATGGATTCTTCATTTGGAATCACGACAGCGTCTCGTTTGGTTTCCAGATCTTTCAACCCTGGTAAAAACATTTTTCACCCGCATTTATTTTCAATCCACATTTAAACAATTTGAGTAACTTTTCCTCCTATTTGGCATAATATGCAGATACATACGTTTAACCATCTCAGGAATAGCAGCGTAGTTTTGGTATTGATAAAATGATCGTTCTAACATAATTTCAGGATTAACTTCCTCCACTCGTAACAAGTTCAACACCATGTTGTAAGTAAGACGGAATGCGCTGTTCAATGGATCAGCACTTCCCTAAACAACAACGCACGATATGTATAGGGTGGGAAAATTGGGGTGGGATAACCCGGGGTAAAATACGTCGCGATCGACTATAATACAGTAAACAATTAATTTATAGATTCTTCGATGATAAATGTATAAATGTGTGAAGGTAAACATAAACAAGACAATGTCCAGCAACTTACTTTTAGTAATCCCTTTCCAACATCAGCTCCCATTTTTTCATCAATGATCAAAATTACAATACCGCGATCATCCAAACCTCGTCTACCTGCCCGTCCTGACATTTGAATATATTCACCTGATGTTATCTACAAACAAATCACATACTAATATTCTTCATACTAATATTCTTTGCAGTATCAAATACTTACGTGGTGTACCTACAAGATACTGTCTTATCACAGCCATATTACCTCAGCCTCAACCTCTCATTAGACACAACACATGCCTTTTCTAGAAACGTCATAAGATAACCCACATGATCACAGCATGTTAAACCATTGCTTACCCATCTGAAATCTTTGCCGTCAAATTTCCGTGGATTTGTAAACACAACTGTTCTGGCGGGCATGTTTAGGCCAAGAGCGAATGTCTCTGTTGCAAACAGAGCCTTAAACAAAACAAAATAAAGTAAGGATGGAAAATGTTCAACGTAGCAATAAATTTATTGCATGTTACATCAGACATATAAATACCTTTATTAAACCTTCGGAAAAAAGAATTTCAATTGTCTCTTTCAAAATAGGAAGCAATCCCGAGTGATGAATGCCAATGCCTCGTTTTAATAAGGGCAAGACATGCTCCACCTGAAAAAAATTAAAAAGGTTAACAATTAATCAGCTAAGAACGTTATTCAAGGGTGAAGGGTTCTACTGTACCTGGGGTAATTTCTTGTCGTCATCTGACAAACAATCAATGGCATTATTAAAAACCTCCTCCACGAGTTTCTTCTCTTCCCCTACACAAGAAACACACGGAATTGTTAGGTTCCTACGCCTGTATTATACGCTGGTTCTTTAGTTATGCTGCTGAGTATCAAATATTTTTACTTCAGAAGAAATCGACACTTAAGATTAAAACCGCAGTTTATATAAACAGCAATCACGCAGTTCAAAGTGAATAGTATTGTATAGTATATAATTATATGATCTTTTACTGATTATCCAAACTCAAATTTAGTGATACCAAATAACACAACAGAGTAAACACAAACCTGTATTGAAGTCTAACTTGGACATCTGTAATGCATACGCCTCACATTCTTTCTTACTGAAACTGAATACGATAACAGGTTGAAATTTTCTTTCCATGATCATCTTCACGATTTTAAACGTGTTTGAAGGTCCTGAAACACAACATATAAAACTATATGTTAAAATATAAATACACGTTGTTGCATTTTTCCCATGTAAGCACATGTACGTCATCATACCTATTTTTTAAACATTGGACCATACAAGAGCTGTTTGAATAGATGACGTCATTCGTTGTTTCTCACCTTTTGTTCCTCCTTTTCTTCCTTTTTGTTGTCCCGACCCAGGCCCATCTTGAATCACAGCCATAGATTTCTGGAAGTTATCCTCCCTGAAATTTCCCTAAAATCAATGAATACATCAAGTTACGCGAAATGGACAAGGAATCCAGCAAGGTCGAACTAATTGTCAAAAAAAGTTATTATTTCTCACATGCAATGACAACCAAAACCAACAGAATTGTGCATTGGTTGATGAGGAATGAGAAATACAGAATACACTGTAATGTTTAAAACAGCACACAATAAAACAGCACATAATTCGTCTGAACATGTACTAAATATTATCACTATTTATTAGCCACACCTCCATATGCACAAGTAAATATTTTGCCAAGAATATATTACAATATTTTAATGAACATTTCAAGAACTTACACTTTCATCAACAACCAAAAACAAACCATCTCCTCCAGCTGGGTAAATATAATGTTGTAATGGGGTTGGGCGAAACTCTGTATACACCACGTGACATGGCTAGTAATAAAACATTAGTTCAATAAATCAAACTCTATGTAAAGCAATAAACTCTCTATTTTGTATTAAAACATTACAATTCATAAAGATTGCTTCCTTCTTTACCAGATACAGCAGGTGTACCATAATAATTAGCATTGAAATTGCAGGCACAAATGTACAAACCTGTTTATGAAGATGGGCTATCCATCCTGCAAACTGACTAGCATTTGGAATAGTTGCAGATAAAAAAACGTAGTGAACATTGTCAGGCAATAAGATAATTGTCTCCTCCCATACAACACCACGCTCTACAAAAGTATATATATCATACAAATACAAATAACACAACAAAGCATCACTAAATCATTCATCCCAAATGCACTCTAGTTTTACACCAATTGTTGAGAACAGGTTTTTACATGCATTAATTTAAACACACTGAAAAATTTCCAGCCTACCTTTGTCTCTCATGTAATGAATCTCATCAAAAACAACCCAAGCCACTTCTCTCATCACCTGCAACACAAAATATATCCAGGAAATATATAAAGATTGTGTAACTAAAAAGGTACCATATTCAGAAGCTTTTTTTATTAATAATGACTTGCATTGATTACAACAATTTGTTCGCAAAGTTTAGGATTCGATCTGGTAAATCTACGATATACGTACCTCTGAGCCACGGTACAACATGCTTCTTAAGATCTATACAAAACAAACAGATAATAAATTGCAATATTCATGAAAATAGTTCAATAAAATATATTTCTGATATCTAACCTCAGTTGTCATAACCAGAGCACTTGCACTGGGATTAATGGTGACGTCACCAGTCATTAGACCAACATCCTGGAACTCTTCATAAAGTTCACGATATTTCTGATTACTGAGAGCCTGAAATAAACAAACCCAAAGATACAGTACATGTGATTAAATGAGGTAAAATACCTTAAAATGACCTATATGCACTAACCTTTATTGGAGTTGTATAAATCACACGTTGTTTGTTTCTTAGAGATAAAGCTATTGCATATCTAGAAAAAAATATACAAAATTTATATCCTCAAACCATATTTTCAGGCATATCCCATGGTATGAAATCTAGAAAGTCAAGAAGCATGGCAAGGGTAAGGAAACTAACAAATTATTTTATAAAGAACTTACTCTGCAACGACAGTTTTTCCTGCTGAGGTATGAGCTGAAACCAACACAGACTGAGTATTTTCTATGCAGCTCAAAGCCTCCTTTTGGAAGGGATCCAAAATGAATGGATATTCCTATAATAAATTTCATAACTTGTTATTGCTGATGGTGCTGTAATATGAAATTCTTTACATTCAACTTAGATCGTCGATCATCGATCTATGGCCTTATAAGCTTGGTCAAACAATTTTCTGTACCTTTGCTGGTTTAGTTGTAGGAACCTGTAGCTCAGTGTATGTAACACCTTCAGGAACTGCCACCTAAGAACAAGAATTTTGGTTTCTTCTGCAATACACAGTTGCCATGACTCATGGTGGCATAAACAATCATAATTTTACTCACCTCATGAGTACAAGCTTCAAATGTATCCACTGAAATAATTTCAACAACAGGAACAGATTCCAAAATAGAACTATAAATTAAATTATTCAAGTTATTAGGCAAATACCAATAGCTAGTTTTCACAACAAGTGAATAATGGCAGTGAATACAGCATGTGCATCTCATAAACATAATTTAATAAGTAAAGAGTGTAATTCACAAACAATTAAAATCAGGCACATGCTATCAATGTGCATGAACTACAAAGATTCCCCATTGCAAAAAGACGTATGACAAGATATTTTTCCTCGGGCCTATATATTTGAGGTTAATTCTATCACTGTACCTTTCATCGTCTGTTTTCTTAACTTTCTTCAATTTATCGTCACCACCATCGATCTCAATCTCACTACGTTGTATACCATCAGTGCTGTCATCGAGGCCTCGTTTTTCACCTCGTTGTTGGAAAATACGTTTAACTGAGTCTTTAACATTACCTTCTGAAATATCCGAGGCTTTTTCATCTTTCTTGCTCTCAACATGATCGAAAACAGCAAACAAATCATCACCTCCAAAATCAGCCATCTTGGAACATGATAATGATGGATAACTATGAGCATTGTGAGGAGGGAATCCACCCACCAGTGACCAGTCAGTCATTGATTGAACCAGTGTTTTACTATTAGCATATTATATCACTTCTAGAAAGGAGTAGCAGTATATTATTGGAGAAGTGGCACAGGCCTTGTATAAAAAAGGCTTCTCTTTCAAATATAATGTCTTATCAAAAAAGAACAAGTGATGAGTGTTTGAATTTTGAGGACGCCAGTCTGGTTTATGTTAGTGATAGACATGGTGTACTTACATCTCCCCCAGGATATGAAAAATCGTCAGCAAAAAAGATTGTGAGAGAATGTGATGTTGTTCATGGTAATCTATGTTAATAATAACAAGCAGAGTAGCTGTCCTTGTACTGATTGATAATCTCTATGGGTAGAGATAAGCCTCTTCATATCTCTTAAATTAGTTAAAAGCAGTAATAGCCTCCTTTCCCCCTCCCTCAGGTCATGGTCATATCACATATTCAATAGGTATACTGATTATCTAGCAAAACTGCCTGTCAATATAGCCTTTTAGTTTACACCTAAACAAACTTAACTTAATTCAGCAGAAAGAGTGAAACCAGTATCATTACATGCAAATGTTGTAATGATTTGTAAATATGTTAGAGTTTCATTTTGAAATAATAATAGTCATAGTCATATATTATTCCATGATTCTCTAATGACCAGAGTATCTCAAACAGGGAAGTGCAGTGCAATGCAATTCAATTCAAAGATCAATAGTAAAAAGACCACCCCAGAAAACTTGGATCCAATGTTAAGCTATGGCAAAGAGATTTCTTCTTTTTCAGTTCCAACCATTACTGGCAGCAATTCATTTTTATTTAGGACTAAACCATTCGTCCATTGTTTTAATGATTATTAGATATGAGTATAAGTTACTGGTCCAGTTAGTTATACTCATATCTAGGGTTTTAAAAAAGATCAATTTTTAAAAAGTGAATGAACAATATTCCAAAACTTGCATCGCTTCCCAGGTCATTTTGCGCCATTGACCGTCGCTACCTCCTCCGCAGGCATCTCTTATGTATTAATCAAATTATATTAGGCATGGGTTAGTAAAAGACTAAGAGATGCCTGCAGACATAGTTCTGCGGAGGAGGCTTGGTCGCTGCCATATTTGATAGATCACTTGTTCGCTGAACGGCGTCAAATTACTGAGAACATACCTCATTCCTATAAATGATCTGCGTGAGTCACGAAGCATGCATTTATTGATGTAAACAAACAAACAAAGATATCTCTTCTCTTTGCTCTTTCCATGGCGATGTTTTTTGTGATATTGATTTTAAAATCCAAGCCGACTCGTTCAAACACTCTTCGATTGACGTAACTCTTGATCTTGACTGTGGAACCATTATTTAACCATAATAGGTTCGCTTTGAACAGTGCATTAAGAATACGGCATGCATCATAGTCTTTATCACAAACAAGTTACGAGACATTAGGCCTGCACGATCAAAACACACTTGTTTTATAAAATTCTTTCAAATGATCAAGCAAAAATCAAAATCATCATTTTGTTTCAGGTGCCTCCTGTGTCAGACAGCTTTCTGAAAACCGACAGTCCCCACGAAGTTTATTTCAAATTTGTAAGAACTTTACCACCAAGAATCTTCATCTTCTTGAGTCATTGGATGACTTTCCTGAGACAATTGGTCATGAATTGTTCCTTGAAGCTCTTCAAGTTGAAAGTTTTCATAAAAATCCAGCTTATTTGAAGATTTTCTGTGAAGCTTATAAAGAGCTTGTATTAAAAGATCTGTGTTTAAAAGAAGAAACAATTTTAATTGATGAATTTCTGCCGTATTTTCTATGTTTCAACAATTTACTAAAATTAGACTTGAGTCATTGTCGATTGGGGAATAAACATGAATATTTAAACTTTATTGGAAGAATGAAAAGGTATTAATATTCTAGTTGAGAATTTACACAATTGAAAATATTTTTTATACAGATGATCAGCGTAAGATTGTATGTTTAGTTTGGCAGTTTTCAACAAAATCTCTGGTGTAAAATAGTAAACACTAAGGATCATAGTAAAATCTAAGTGATCATATATATACTGAACAGGCGGTTCCCCGGTAGATCATACTTGTGAGCATCATGCGCCATGGCCGTCAATTTAAAATAAAATGAAAAGACTTTCGAACTCGTAACAAGACCGTCAAGAATAATCATTACATGCATTAAATCTATATTGTGATTTGTATTTTGTAGTTTGGAATGTTTATATCTCAAGGACAATTGCCTCACTGACAGTGGATTGGCAACATGGTCTCTGCCTTACAGGATGTTCAATAATGGACCACAATTTCTCAAAATATTGGACCTCTCATGCAATCCCGATCTTACTTGTTTCTGTTTAAAGTCATTATTTAAGTTTTCTCACCTCAAATGTTTAAATCTTTCTGGGACTGGTGTCACGATGTCACCTGGTATTGCAAGATTTAAAAAAATAATGAACTTTAGTTTGGTCTCATATGTAAGTCTGATCTTCTTGCTTTAGTAAAAGTGACTTTCACATCAACCTGTTGTGTCGTCAAAAAATAGTGAATCCACTATTAATTATTTCTTTCACAACAGCAATGAGATCAAAGAATCACTTTTCTTATTTATCAATAATTCTTTATTCAACTGCAGATAGAAGAATTCAGCCAAGACGCATCTACAATAACCAGTGGTTGGGCTGCCTCGTTTATTTCTGAATTATCATCAAAATTGAATGCACAAAAAAATGAATGGAATGGAAAAAACGAACTTTAAACAATTTCTATCAACGACATGATACTTCAGCTGTGATGACGTCAAGAAAGATTAATACCAATCATTATCCATTAGTATTACTTCAGTCAGTGGAAGATGTTTTACCAGGTACCCTACGGACCCTGCGTGGTGAGAACCAATCAAAAAAAGAAATAGTTACGAGTGACAAATGTTCTGCGTTCAAGTGTCAAAAGGAACGTAAAACGCATGTCAAAGATGAAGGTTTAGATAAACATAATGAAACAAAACTCCTAAACAGTTATCTGAAATATTCATAAAATCACGTTCTGTTGATTGAAACAACCAAAACTTTCCTTAGTTGCAGGTGTAGATAATAGTAAAAACTAGAAGAGTTGTTGAAAATATTTTAATTCAACATCGGTAAGGAATAAATACAAAGTTGTATATACCTAGTCATAATAAGAATCTACTAACGTGTACGAAAACGCAGACTGTCCCCGTAGATACAACAAACTGCTAAAAATGTATATAAATCCCCCCAAACATAATATCCCTTTATGGTGCATATTTTAAAATATTTTGTCAACATTAATACTTCGATATATTTTGTATTAAAATATTTAGGTACTTGATAAAACTGGCTTTAATGTATCAACAAATGTTGGAATTACTAAATCACTGTCTCTTGTACTGACATCATTGAAATTTAAAGGTTCGCTTGAAGAAAAACCAACAATGTCAGCTGGATAAACAGAAGATTCGGTTGTGTTTTCCAGAAAGCGTGTGCTGCTTTCTAGAAATGCTGGTAATGAAGTCATCGGGGTATTAAATGTCACTCCAGCTGCCAACAGTTCTTTCTTATTCTTTGCAGTTTTGCCGCGTCCTTTTCTGCCTCCCTGTAACGATAGAAACATTAACTTTAGCTGAAATAGTTCAGGTTAATGTAAAACGTACAAGGTTATTAATTTTGAGATCTTTGTATTCATGTGGTATTTGAGCTAGCTGCCTGTTTAAAGGACCGTGATATTTACATTTGCTAAAATGTTGACAATTCATGGCCCATTTAAATGCATGTTGTGCAAGACTCACAACAGACACTTCTTACATAGTCTTATTCAATCGGTGCCAGTATTGGAACTTTGTTAGAAAAATGTTACTGCATTAATGTTACAGCCGGTGAAAATCTAAACACCAAGCACCACAAATTAAACCTCTGAAGCACCATCATGCATATCATAAACTGTGTTTTAGTCGAGGCTCATAACGGACGCAAAAGTCTACATCCAGTATTACGCTGGTAAGGATAACTTTTCCGAGGTTTACAAAGATAAATCAGAAGACATTTTGCGTTCTGCATCTGCTTTCGTTTATGCCTTTGTTGGCTCTTATGTTTTACACTTCACTGCATATTTCACTTCACTACACTTCACTTAATTAAATATCTTATTTCCATGCACAAATACCATTGCAGTCTACACGTCATTAAACGTATGGAAAATGTATTCATAAATAAATACTTACTCTCTTGCCAGGTTGTCTGGTCTTGTCGTTGTGTTGCTTAACATGCTTCCTTAATGAACTTGGGTCAGTGTATCGTTTAGGACAACCAGGAAATTGGCAGGCGTAAGGTTTCTACAAGGCAGATATTAAATTACTATACAACAGCCTTGACAGCATATATTGAACTGTAATAGCTGGTGACAGAATTTACGTGAATGAAACACTTCCATACAGGACCAGAGGAATTTTAATCATTTTGACTGCATGTAGTTACTCAGAACGGTAAGTTTGTCAATTTAACTAACATATTTAAGCTGTAATGGAAACTGTTTAGAATTTAACATCGTTTGAAAATGAGGTTGCCAAAAGTATAAATTGCAGGCCTATAAACATGTGAACACCTGAGAAACAGTTTATTGAATAAATCTCCTCGTACTCTTAGACAAAGAGTGTATGGTATCTATTTAAACTTTTGGATCTGTTTGGCATAAATTGCCCAACTGCAGAGATATAAATTGCTATATGCCTAGCGTTCCAAAAACCCTCAATGATGAACCAGTGTTTGAGAAAAATTGAGCTAGATGGTTTAGTCAGTTTAGGTATAATTCTTTGATTGAGAAAATCAAGTGATAAATACCGTATCAATGTGTGTCCTCTGATGTTTCGCTCTGTCTGACGAATTTGAAAAAGCTTTAGGACAACCTCTGTATGTACATAAATATGGTTTCTCTCCAGTGTGGGAGCGAAGATGTATTTTCAAATTCTCCAGTCTTGAAAATGCTTTATTACATCCAAGAAACTAAAACGAGAGAACTAAGCGATTAAATTATTTCACCTTAATAGTACTATAAGCAAAAGGGACACTCCCGTATAAATATGAATAAGCCTGAGAATAAAAAACCAAACGTTCCTGAACGTTTCCCAAAATTGTGGTCACTTTATTTCTCTTCAAATCAGTACCGTTTATAAATCATAGTTTCATGCAGCAACTGCAAAGAACAATTTCTGAATTTTATTTAAATGAAACCCACTTAGTAAAGTTAGTTTTCAAAATGTGAAAAAACTGTGGAAAAGATTATTTTATATTAGCCAAGATGATAACACTTGCAGTCTGTTTACGATATTTCAGGAAGACGATATCTTCAGGAAGCCGATATCAACTGCTTTTTTCCCAGTTAAAAATAGATAGAAAACATGCATGGACTAATTTTTTCCTTTTTCAATGAAATGGATATAGCAAAAAAGATTAAACTTGACTTGAACGATGTAATATTTTTAATCTTATTTCTGCCGGATGCTTATTTTGTTTTTCCTCAGCAGAATTAGGAAGGAAACGAGGGACGAAAATAGATGTTGATCAGCTTTTATATCACAAGAATATTTCTCTCATTATGCCCGATATTGTCATGGTTACACAATTGAATGATCACTACATATAATTAATGAAAGCAAAGAAAAGCCGCCACGAACGGTCTCTAAAATGAACCGCATATGTCCAGGAATTTTATGAAATATTTGCAAAGAACACTCTAGTAATAAAACGTTGCAACCGCTTCTAAGATCTTCAAGTCATTCATAGTTTTAGTAATGAAATTGATGAACCCTCGTGTAGGGATATTGAACACTTGACATTCGAGTTTAACATTGTTTGCAAATAACTCATAACGTGAAATATCCGTTTTATGCAAAATTGTCATTTTTTTCCCGCTTTGGGCGATGTCTTTGTCTTTGGTATGCTAATATAGATGATACTTTTTAGCTAAAAAAGTTTTATATTTCCGTAAAGAATTTTCTATCTTCCAGCTATAATATTTCGTTTTTTTCGTCGTGTCTTGAACAAAGAAATATTGTAAAGTTTGGACAAACAAAAAAACATTTGCATAAATATGCAGTGGAAGGATTAAAGTAATCTTTAATGAGTATTGATCTTGGAAGGACAGTGCAGATAATAACAGACTATGTGTGCATTTTTAATTGCTGCGTTGTGTGAAATTGCTAAAACTATTGTTTAAAAAATCAGCAATATAATTAACCAAAAAGATTGAATGATTAGATCATTTCTTATTTTTATCATCTTCAAACCAAAAATGCGGCTTCCACTGTAATAATCGGTTTGTCACCTTGGCCTCCTCATATGGCTTTCAAAAACTGACAGGACCGAATTTAGCGCGGATTTTAATACGTTATACTTTACTCTGCGCACTTTGAGAGAAACTATATTTCATCCGACTTATTAGAGACTAACAACCTTTTGTATTATTACTTTCTAATATTAACAAAAACATTTAAATTGTTATTATAGAAGACATTCTCAGGATGTATGAATTCCTGAGATTAGCTGTGACACTCCATGAAACCCGCATGTCAGTGCACAGGGCGCGGTGTATGATTTAGAAAGCAAGGTGTTATAATGATTTATTACCCGGTGAAATATTGCTAATTATTGATGAAAACAGAACGCTACCTACCGTGCAACGATTGGGACGTTCTCCGCTATGAACTCTCATATGAATGACCAACTTGTATCTTGCATTAAATGGTTTCTGCTTTCGAACACAATTTTCCCAGTAACAAACAAAAGAATCGTCTGCTTTTCTTTGATCTATATGAACTTTCTCAATATGTCTTACTAGATCATCTTGTTCGTGAAAGATTATACCACAGTTTGTCCAATCACATTTACAAATCTGCTCATTTTCCTGCGCGGGTTTTCCTTCAGGAACGTTATTTTCGGGATGAAAATTACTCTGCCACTTCCTAGTCTCGGTGATTGCAGAAATATGTTCTTCCATAATGCGTTGTGATTCACTTTTCTGTCCAATCCAATTGTTGGTGAAACGATTGTCATTTGTGAATGGGTTATTATTATAGCCGTGACTCTTACTATGCTCAGTTAATACTTTAGAAGATTTTTCTAATTTCAAGCTAGGATTTCTTTTTGCAGGTATTGGTCTGTCTAATCCTACCTCAACTTTGACGACAGGTGGGACTATTTTCTCCGCCAGTTTTTGGCTTTTGAAATAATCCGAATAATGGTTAGTCGGAGTTTGGGGAGTCGGAGTTTGGGGAGTTTGCTGCATCGATCGAATGATCGCGTTTTGAGTAAATTCGTGAGCAGGGTCCTGGTAAGGGGATCGTAGGTTTTCAAATGTTGTTTGGAAGTTGTTTGTGTTCGGTGTTTTAATGCTGGTTAAGTTTAGAGGTGGTAAATCAGGCAACACGGAGGAATTTGACAAACTGCGCAATCTTGCTGCGTTTTTCATTCCCGCTTGATTATTGCCGCGTAATTCATTACCTTGAAGATTATTATTTCCTTGAATGAAACTTGAACTCCTTGAATGAGCGGAGTTAGGCGTTGAATAGTTGTACGCTCCTGCTTGATTCGGCGTGCTTGAGATACCACGATCATCAGTGGAGCACGAGGTTCCCGACATCTCAGGATTTAACGAGAAAGGATTGAAAAGTTTTGTACTGGGATTATTTTCAATATGGCTGACTGTTGTTTGATTACATCTCTGCGCCGACAGATGTTCTTCACTTCCATGATAAAATCTTGAGTTATCATTCATGTTATTGTTATAATTTAATGCACGCACGCCACCGTAGCCGTCGCCAGTATTGAAGGTTGAGTTTGTCTGCGCGGTCATAGCAGAGCTGTGGAACGGAGCAGACATACCACTCTTGGTCTCAACTAGATATTGATTCGAGGCTTGATTTGATGTTTGATTCTCGACTTTGCCATTCCAATTGTTCATATTTGTCAGATGAAAATCATTAGTGTATGTTGAATACATCATATTCTGCCCCTGAGCACACTGTCTACCATAAAACAGGTTACCTGATCCAGACAGTTGCATCACGGATAACCTAGAACACAGAGAAGATATAACATACCTGTACATATAGCATAAAGTACAAAATTTGAGAGATGAAACTCAGTGAGGCGGCTGTGCAATATTAATAAACAATGTGTCATTTCTTTGGTAGAAAACGAGATTTAACAAACATACTCGGAGTTACACGACGTCTTTACTGTGTCCTACACTTGGTACACTACCTATCCTCCAGGCACAATCGTGTAAAGTTGTGAAAGGATGATAAGAAATTATCGTTTGAAGTACTCGAACGTAGTTAAGAGAGTATGAATCGGTGAATGTTCAAAGCCAAGAGACTCGATATCTTATAACTTGATCAGCGGGATATCTCTGTTTGAGTGCCCTTATTGAGAATTCCATGTCAGCCGCAAAGATCACTTTATTCACATTTTGACCAATCAAAGCTCAAGTTACCTAAGTGGGGTCAGCGTTTTATCACGTGATTGATAAGCGGCTGCTTGCAAACATTGTGTGTTGGTTTGAAATATTTTGTCAATAATACAATTTTGATTAAGATAACGGCAGACTTTGCTCAAGATTATGTCCCAAATTTGTCAAATTACTTAACTCATTCGATTAAACCGGCCGTTTCCATTTAGCACGGTGATGTTTTGTTTCTCAAAGTGAATTTCAAAGCAAACGCAGCATGAACTTAGGCAATTGAACACGAAAGAGCTGGCCGAGCTTGAGACACAGCACTATTGAGATAGATATTTGTGGTGACAGCTAAATTGACAGATCTAACAATGTGATATTTGAAATGATGTCGGGACTTTTGCAATGTTTGAACTAGGTATTAATTCATTGATCTTAAAAAGAATGTCTTTACTTAGTCATCAGCTCTCATTTTAATCCCTGTCTATAACGTGCAAACACAAATTTAATTTGCCGTTTTCATAAAATATCCTCCTATTTTCTATTTGACACACGAAGATAGTCAATTACGTTGTATTTGTATAATCGTGCAGGCAAGTTGGCCAACTTTGAAAGTTTTATGAATAACAAACGGTATAACAAAACATTAAAACACGCAATGCTTGCTCTAAAACAAACATCCCGTCAATGCACACGATGTGATCTTAACGAAATGGCGGCATCTTGAAAAAAAATTATTGTTTTGTATGAAGTTCGCGTTTTACTCACGCGTTTTATAGAAAACCATTTTTATAGAACAATCGGGGACAATTACAGTGAAGTTTAAAAACAATCATCAAAAATCGGATTTATAATTTAACCAAATCTGGTTGCATTTATAGGCAGAAACACCCCCTTATTAGGACGAACACAATGAGTTTCCCTGCCGCTCAGTTTATGGACAATTGAAATAGCAGGAGCACCATTTTGTTTATTATCGAGCAACGACTCCCTACAATTTACGTTTTATTCATTAGCAGTTTGATACACGCAATCTACACTTCTGTAATTAGAAATGTTTCGCAATTGCCAGAAATATGTTATGAAAACAAAAAAACGACTTCCTAACAGATAATAAATCTCGCCACACTTGGAAATATGGTTGTACCATTTGGCATTAACAAATGAAGAGAAGCTACTAAATAATATATTATTCTTTAAGTTGATTCTTTTCTTTTCAAAAATTATGTTTCAATCCACAAATGTATTATATTTATTGACGTTGTGACGTTATTGAGACATAAAATAACTTTTGTTTCGTGAATTAAGACCCCGTCGCTTTATACCCTATGATAACTTTTAATTTTACAACAACACAATGTATTTCCATTTAAAGAAAACTCAAGATGGTACGTTTGCCTACACTCTATCAAGTTAAGTCAAATCTGACCCCCAATTAAAAGAACTCTTACGGGTATCTTAATGACATTAGGAATAAAAGCGGGTCATATCACTTGGTAATAACTTTAGATCTTTTGTGTTCGCATACTGGTCATAAAACAAAGACTTATAAACTATCAGTGAAATTTTGTTATTTATACAACATAGTAATGGTAAATACCTAAAGACTAAAATGACTTTTTAATATTTTGAAACCGCACAAAGAATGATTTTTTTGCCGGTCCAATAATAATTGTATATATACATATGGGAGGCAACACTAAAAGACATAGGCACATAGCTAATGTATATCTAAACAAAGCGATCTTGAAATTGTAATAATTCTTTCATTAAATACTATTTAATGTTAAAAAATTATGATTACAAATTTAATTAGCCTTCATTTAATACAAATATGCCCATTAAATTTCTCTAATTATGTCGTTTAAAGAGAAAGTTGATTTAATAGTTGCCCTGACATGCAAGAATTCATGTAAAGTTGCGCAATAAAATTATAAAACTGTGCCGTACTCAAGTCTATGACTACATTATATTAAAGTGCGGTCATTTAACTTGGCCCCTAAGATTACGGTTTCTGCCTGGTGCAGTTAGAATAAAACGTCACGGCGTCAAGATTTTAGGTGCTTTTAATAAGAACCATAACCGTCTCATATATGATCCGCCTTCTAGAAGTTTCTGTTGTTATGATTCCTGAGAGCTGCGGACTTATAACAAAGAGCGGCCAGAGATAACTTAAAATGATTATATTGCACCCATTTATGCCTGGAAAGCTTCACAGAATTACGGTGAATGCATGATGTATGAAAACCTAACCACAAAGGCAAGCAGCTTCTTGAAAGAATACAATTAGGAAAATCTATTTCTTTTGCTAACTGAAAAATGTGAAATTTTTGCCTAAAGATTGTCGGAAAGATCGTGCTGTTTAATATATCGTTGAAGTGCTTAGATACAAACATCCTGTCCGGAAAAAAACCCATAGTACTGCTTTCAATTTCTGTACAAAAAATTCTTTTTGCGGTTTTAATAATAGGGTACATCTTAAGAACTCATTCTGTTGCTCCTTTAACATTCTCCTAATTTACTGTAATTAGTTGAAAGAACAAGAAGATGCGGCATTTTAAAAACTTAACTAATATTTTGTTTTAAAATTCCTTCACGAGATCCGAGTTTGTTTCTTTCACGACGACATCAAATTATTCTTTATAATGAAAGCAGCTTGGTCCACGCACTAACAACCCGACCGACGCAACTAATAACATGAAATACTTAATTATTACTAACATATTTGGACATAACTGAACGATGTAAAATTATTTAGGTATAATAATGTATAATTTGACTGTCAATGTTAGAAAAAGCAAATATATCAACAACTAATCCACATGTTATTTAAAACATATATAGATATATATTAATTGGATAACATCTTCCCCGGATAGGCTATAATTATAAAACTGCCATTTGTAATCTTGTATAGTCCTTTAAGACTAGGTTCTTTATTAATTTTTGGGATCTTACATGGACGCGCTGATATCACGCGTGAGCAACCGCACAAACATGATACCTTGTCATAAATCTTGCGTCCCGCGGTTACTATACTGAAAAATGTGCATGCATGTATACAAAGTTTGAATTTTGAAGTTACATCCAGCTGGTAAAAACCCTCTCCTCGTGATTAACCTTGGTTAAACAGCAAAGCCGTGAAGCATGTGTCGCCACCCGAGAAAGGATGCATGTTTATGTGACCACGCTTATGGTATCATTAAAAACTACCAGGAAAACTCGCCCAAGCACAGCTTAAAACACAGGGCCAAGGACTAGAGGCAGTTCTATTTTAGTTAAACGTACTTCCTGGCTTAACGTTAACACACGTCTTTACGCGACTCAACATAAATGGCACGCCCATATCCTAGTATGGTGCAAGCTATAGCTTTTAGCACTGTCATCTCTCACACTCGTGTGTCTTGTCATATATATTGGAGTGATTATTGTTTGTGGACATACACAATATTCTTTAAGATTTCTCGAACTTTCTTAAAAACTAATAATCAATACTACAAGCGAAACCGATATAAAAGGATTATAAATTTTACTATTTGATTTTGTCAGGATTTTGCTGTGTGTATAGTTTCGAATTTCATGTATAGTATATATATCGACTTATAGTTATAGTTGAATTTTCTAGCCGACTTACCAAAGCTCGTTGAACAAGTAGCATTCAATATCAAAAGAAAATTAATCAGTATCAGACATCAATCATGTTTTAGTTTCGAAATTTGTTTTCTAGGTTTAAAACCATTATCAACCTTTAACGTTCAATAGAATATAGGAGGATATATATCTATAGTCGCCACTTAATACCAGATTCTTTATGAGTTCTGTATTGACGCCACTGTTGTTCGTAATTTATTATAGTGCATGTCTTTTTTCGCTTTACTTGTCATACGAAAGATCTACGAGTCAATGCAGGTTAGCCTACTGTATGAGCTACAATGTTTTCAAGGAATTCACGCATTTTAAATCCGGTTCTTGCATGTGAAATACTGATTTCGAACTGACTGTGTTTTCAGATTCATTTAAAAACTTTAAATCATAAGCAAATATATCAGTTTTTGTCAGAGTTGTTTAAATGTTGGTGCCTTATTAAAACAGGTACATTGCTAGATTGAAAACGCGTGCTAGCCTGACCTCAATTTTTCACTCAAAAATACATATAATACGCGAAGACTCCACCTTTATTTTTCCCAATATAGAAACATCTCAAATTTTCACTCTTAGGTTTATTGTCCTCAGCTTCCGCGTTACACCAGGACAATATACATTCTCTTTCTTCTTATATTGCATTTCAGTAAAACAACACTGATTTTTAGCTATTCAATACCAGCTAGTGACGCACATTCGGCTTTTTTAAGAGTATTAGAAAATGTACTCCTTTTTCATCTTCAGACATTCATTCAAGTGCATGAGGCACTTCAAAGAATGTGTTTTGAAGTTCCTAGTTCTAAATTATGTTTCTGCATAGTGGTATATCAATGCAATAAACATTGGTTCTTGTGAGTGTTTGTTTCTCTGTATATATTCGTATGTATCCGGTGTCAAGCAACCGAATCTGAGATCCACCCCTCCCCTAGTTACATTAATGAATATGGTGGACAATACCTTTTAAGAAAAGATTATATTTTTTGCCATTTATTTTCAGCCATGAAATAGCTCATTATGACTTGATAAACACGACCACTGCCAATCACTATCTTCAATGATAACCAGTGCTAAACGTCATGCAGCCGAGATAGGACGAAATTCACTTCAAATGGTTTCAGGCTACTGCTGTGCTGACCGTCGCACTATGCTGGCTTTATACAATGCGGAAAAAGGGTGGTTCCGAATTGGTATATCCTGCTCAAGATGCAACGGAACAAGTGCGTGAGAAACTGCATACATGTTCATATACATGTACGGTTCGTTTCAAACATCATTCCACATGTTAGCTAATTCAGCTATAGTATCGTCAGAAAACCTTAGTAGTGGGCTTGATTTTTTGA